ATAACATGCCCACCACGTGCATGTCCAGCCTATCTTTGCACACCCTCACCGATGGGGCCTCAGCCACCTCCCGTGGAAGCCCATTCCACACCCTCGGAATCCTAACTGTCAGGAAGTGCTTCCTGGTATCTAAATGGAACCTGGGTTCCCTGAGCTTTGCTCCATTGGAGCGTGTCCTGCCTTCCTCTGCAGGGGAGAACAGGTCTCTACCCATCTCCATGTGACATCCCCTCACATACCTGTATGTTGCCAACATATCCCCTCTGAGTCTCCTCTTCTCCAGGCTGAAGAGACCCAGTTCCCTCAGCCTCGCCTCATATGGCATCCCCTGCAAACTGGCCACCAACCTTGTGGCCCTACACTGCACTGACCCTGGCTATATCCTTACTGTAATGAGGGGCCTAAAACTGAGCACAGTACTCCAGTTGTGGGTGCACCAGAGTCGTATAGAGTGGTAGTAACACCTCTCTTGATCTAGAAGCCACATTTCTGGCTATGCAACCAAGGGTGGTGTTCGCCCTCTTGACCACCACATCACACTGCTGACTCATGTTTAGCCTGCAGTCAACCAGTACCCCGAGGTCCCTTTCACAAGTGCTGCTCTCCAGCCACTTGTCACCTAACCTGTACTTATGACACCTATTCCTACGCCCCAAGTGCAAGACCTTGCACTTATCCACATTGAACGCCATCCTGTTGTCTCCTGCCCACTTCCATAGTCTGTCCAGATCCTTTTGGATCTGGAGTACCTGCTCCTCAGTTGTGGCCACTGCTCCAGTTTTAGTGTCATCTGCGAATTTGATCAGCAGACTGTTCACCCCTTCTTCCATGTTGTTAATGAAAAGATTAAACAGGATCAGCCCCAGGACAGAGCCCTGGGGGACCCCGCTTGTTACTGGCCACCATCCCGATGATTCCCCGCTAATGGTTACCTTCTGCTTTCGGTCAGTCAACCATGCCCTAATCCACCGGACAGTGCTTTGGTGTATCCCAAAACTCCTCAGTTTCTCAACCAGGAAATGGGCTTGTTTGAAACACAACACAGTTAAAATTAACCACAGCTTGTTAGATATGGACAACACAACAAGATGCAGTTAATCAAAACATTTAAGTAAAAGTTTTTGAGTTCTTCATGGTTGTGCTGAAGGAGGGAGAAACCTACAAGCCTGAGACTTGCACAGTCTGTTTCTGTTTCAGAAAACCCTGGTTTATTGTAACAAACAAGTGCAACCAATGACAAAGTGCAGCTAGTTGAAAATAGAAGCATTTGTTCTCCTGCTTGTGGCCATACTGGAAAAAGAGGGGGAACAGGGAAAGCTCGTGAGCCCAAGGCTCATTCATTAATGCAGGATTTGTGCTCACAGAGGGATTTTGAAAGAATGTCATAGGCACTCCCACAAAATGGCTGCCAATGGGGGATTTGTTCATTCATAAAAAGGATGCATTGGGGAGAATGTCCAGTCAAAAAACATATATTTCCCAGAAGGCAAACTGGTAAGACTAACAAAAAAGTAACTTGTCCAAGAACCTAAGTACAAGACAGAACTGGGATCTGAACTCTAAAATACAATACCAGTTTTGTGAACCAAATACTTTGCTTTGTGGGATGACATGCTCCCACACAAAACATTAAAAAAACAACAACAAACCTCCTTTGATGACATTAAAATCGAGGAGTACTAAGTGACTTGATGGTGATACACTGGTTTCCATGGGCACCAATGGACCATTGGAGACCTGCATGTAACATTAAGCCATAGTTAAGCTGCAAAGTGGAAATAAATCAATCCTGGGACTTATTGTCCCCCCTGCAGTTCATTCCAGCTCTTACTAGCAGCATTTTCTTCTTCAGCTGGTCCTGGGTGAGGCATGCACTGTTGCCAAGTTCTGTGGCTTGTGCCAGATTGCAAATACTTTAAAAACTATTTTATTACTTCAAAATGCAATGCTTTGATGGATGTTCATTTTTATAGTTAATACTAAAACAACTTGTAGAACTTAAAATTTAAAAAGCTAAAGCTTTCCCCCACTCTAGCTCATTGTAGGCAGCACACTCCAAAAACACAGAGCCACCAAGCTCTGCATGGTACCCCCTTCAGCTCAGAGCCAAGGGTGAGCAGCTGGCTTGCCCACTGCTGTGGCCAGCTGTGTTTGCCTCTCCCTGGCCATTCCTTCATTCTTTCTTGCCACATTTCCTCGCATAAGAGATACTTGCCCATGGGCCCCATACTAATCTCTGTGTGTTAATCCTTGGAAAATTAGAAAACTTCCAAAATTAACAGTAGTTGTAGTTGTCGTAGGGGCCCCAGGACACTGCTTTGCCCGGGGCCCATAATGCTGTTAAGACGGCCCTGTGAGTGGGTGCTTGCCAGTGCTGGCTTTTCCACACCTGCAAGGCAATGCTTTTTGCTGTGGTCAGTGAAGGACAAACCTCCATGTGCAAAGTGTTCCAAAGAGACGTCTTTTAAATTCAGCCCATCTGCTGAAATGGCTAGAGCCGTGTTTTCAACATGGCCTGGACTCCAACTCGAACGTGCTTGGCTGAGATGGAAGCGGCAGCAGGAAAGGAATCTTCGAGCGTGGAACAAGGGAGACACTCTGTTGAAAGGCCACAGGAGTGTAAAACAGGTCTGGGGCCACAAGCATCTGAAGATGGGAGGAGGCCTTGATAGATGGCTGAATGGGATTGAAGGAGTGATAAGCAACTCGAATAAATATCTGTGGGGCTGCTCTCAGCTTATCTCCTCTGCTGGGAAAGGCCTAACTGTGCCACATCCTTATTTCTGCAATCTTGTCCACTGGGAAGCTATAAATCATTGAGCTGTTGGCAAGTGAATTGCGCTTCTCTGAGGACTGGACTTATACACTAGGAAAGGAGCGGGCGGCAATCTTGTGTTTTCATTCAGAACTAGCCTCTCCATGACTTGCAAGAGTTCAGAATGTACTTCCAGCAAGGTTGTTGCAAATACTTAAGTTGAAGCTAAACCCGAAGTGAAGCTGCTGAGCTTGCAGCTCTGAAAGGCCATCTGTGGTTTGGAAGTCAGTAATTATTGCTTTGAAACCACTCTCCTGAAGATGCTCTATTCTGCCCAGCAAAGTGATGGCTGTGGTAGAACCTCCTGCAGGCTTCTTCACAACTAAAGTGGGCATGTGGAACCTTATGCCAGTGGGCCAGTTGTGGCCCACTTGGGTTTCCACTTTGTCCTCCCAGAATTCCCCAGAGAGCCATGTCCTTTCCTGCAGCCTCCCATTCTAAATGGCTGAAATGCCTCTCCTCAAATTTAGTGACTGGCTGTAAGAACTTTAAGTTAAAATATGATGGAATATTTTATTTTATTTTCGACTCAAGTCCTTTTTCCTTTGTCTCCACCCACCACTGGAATGAGGCCCTTGATAGCTTCTTTGAAACTGAATTTGATCCTCAGGGTGAAAGAGGTTTGATACTCCTGAACTAAACTGTATCTTCAGGAAACTGTCGGATGAAAGAAGTCCTCTGACTATAGATTTCTTGTGTGCTTTATGTTTTCCTCTGCTCCAGGCAAACTTGCATTATGGAAAAATTATTGGGGGATGGAGAATCTGGTGTTTTTATGCAGCTTTCATTTGAAAAATGTTTCTGTTTGGCTCTAAATGCAAATCAAACTATTATAGTGAAGTGAGTTACACTTGGCATGGTTTCTAATCCAAACAAAAAAAAATTAGCCATAAAATTTAATGTCGTTACTGCTTTTGCCAAGTTGTTATTATCCAAGTGTTTTAATTATGGTCGATATTGTTGAAATAAACTCTCCAGAAGTGTGGCTCATTGAACTTCCAAATGTCTCTTAATTTTTGTAAACCTCTTTTAGTTTAATGGATTTGATTATATTTGAATGTTTAGATCATGAGACCTCCTAACAAAGTTAGGACTTGGACTATTGGCTGAAATGTGGCCTTCTGCCTGTCCAACCATGCTTTAAGGGTATAAGGAACAATTCTAGGGAACAAACTGTGTATAAATATTAATTCATTGGTGTCATGGTAAGCAAATGTTAGGAGTTAGTTATATATAAATTTTCCCCATCCATTATTTCAGTTGGCTGCAGTGCATTTTCATACATTAGCTTTGCCTTAGAAACAGGTCTGTTTAAAACACTTAGCTTGCTTATTATCTATGGCACTGTCAAATATGCGAGAGGCAGCCTGTGTTTGAAAGCAAGCTAATCTGAAGGCTCTTAGAGTAACCTAAAAAAAACCTTACCTGCCCCTCTGGATTTACTTGGGGCAAAACTACGTTTTGTATTCAAGGAGCTGCTGCTGAAAATTGTAACCCCGTGATGAACCCATCCTCATCCTCCTGTGAGGATCACTCACAGCAGCCTTCCCAAGTTGTTATCCACCAGATGTTTTGAATCTCAATGCCCATCAGAGCCATCCAGCATAGCCGATGATCAGGACTCCTGGGAGAGCCCTCTGGAGAGCGCTAAGTTGGGAACTTGTATATGCAGTCATCACATAATGTTTCTTTGCACCTGACAGAGGTGGGGAATGGGGAGAAGCAGCAGCTGGTGAGAATGCTGGTGAAAAGGTTCTCAGGTAGGGCAGGGGCCCATATAGAGTTTCTTGCCCAAGGTTCTCCTAAAACCCAAGTCCAACACTGGCAGCCTGTGTGGCATACTGGTTAGAGTGGCAGATTAGGACTAGAGAGGGCATAGGTTGAATTTCTACTCAGTCCCAAAGTTCAGGACATGAGGAGTTACAGCTATGAGGCCCTCCAGGTGTTGTTGGATTTCAGCTTTGAGTTGCCACAGGTCCCCCACTCTTGACCTAAAGAACCTCACTGGGTGGTTATGAGCAACAGCACCTCAAAGTCTTGGAAAGATGGGGCATAAATATAGTCTTAGAAAAGAAAAATTCTGCAAGTAATTTCTTTGTTCCGTACAGTGGAATAACATAAGCTGACCTGAAGATACGTGGTTTCTGGTCAGCCAGATGAGTTTTAGCCTTTTTCTCTCTTTCAGTTTCCACCTGGCTGCCTCCAAAGGACATGGAGAATGCCTCAGGATTATGATGACACATGGCGTGGATGTGACAGCGCAGGATGGAACAGGTGTTCAAGTTGTTCATATGCAAGTTCGTAGGCATGCCCTTGGTCTCTTCTGCTTTCATGGAGTATAGAAACATTTGAGCTGACTCTTTCATACACAGTCAAAATACGAAAAGGTGCAGCTTCCCCAGCCCAGCACCTGGACCACAGCTGCCATCACCATCAGCCAGTAGCTCCATTTGCTTCTGCCAATGAGGGGTGATGGAGATAAGAGTCCAACTCACCTGGAGAGAGTCAGATACCGGGAGGACTGCCTTATACCAACTCATTTATCTGGCTTGCTCAGTGCTGTCTATTTAGAGTAGCAGCTGCAGCCCCCTGCCTTGGGTTGTGGTCTCTCGCCATCCCAGTGAACCAGAAATGTCAGGTACTGAGAGTGGGAGCTAGTGCATTCTACCACTCAACCAGGGCACCTGCCTTTTCATAGCATGCCTGTTTTGTGCTGGATTCACAGCTAGCCACAATGCACTTTCTGATCTCAGACACTGTGATCAGTATATGCAAGGGTTAAGCAGTCACCACTGCACAAGTATTGAAAACGGAACGTGAGCACACACGAGCAAATTCTAGCCTGCTCTGAGGTGCAGAGCTTCAAACAGGCAAAGACTTAAGCTAAGTGCACAGTGACTTTTCCAGCTATCGTTTGCTCAGCATTGACTGAACTTGTGCTTTCCTTCTTTGATGGGCAGCGGCATTGAGGGGAGAGGAATATAACAGCATACCTATTGTTGCTTGCATTGATGTTCTTAATGGAGAAGGAACTGGGTTCTTCAAGCCGGGAGAGCCACAGCCTCCATTAGGAAACCTCTTGCACAGTGCTCCAAACTCTTAAGTATGATTTAATTACTAATGGTGCATCTCGCCATTCTCAGAGTATCTGAAATCATTTCCTATTTACATAGGGCACAGTGCTTTACACCTCGCAGCCAAGAACAGCCATCCTGATTGTGTCAAGAGGCTTCTCCAGGTGAAGTATCTTTTTTTTTTCTTCTGTATTTGCACTTTGGATTTCCTGTTAAATGCTGCTGTACTTTGAAGCACTCCTTTTTAAAGCAGCCACTTAAGGGGAGTTAATTGTCTAAAATAGAATTCCAGAGTTCTTAATATTTTGAAACAATGGTTGTTCCCAGGAATACAGGGATATTCTTAAACTGTGTCCTTCTTTGCTTTGACCTCAGTGAAAACCAGTGATAGAGCCACCACTGATCTCTTGCTATTTCTGATCCAGTAGGTAATGATCAAATATAAAGTATGTATTATATGTGCAGAGTGTAAGACAGGGATTGAGAACATGTGGTCATCCTGTTATTGTTGGTCATGCTGGCTGGAGTAGATGGGGCTTGCAGGCTAACCATACCCAAGTCCATGTTTTCCCCAGCCCTAGTTTAAATTCATGATCTGCATATCTGAGGACAGTGTTTGGTATGAGTTTAACAAGTAACAAGAGCTGCAGTTGCCAAAATAACTCTTATGTTTATTGTGGATGGTGCTTAATTTGCCAGCTAAAAATAGCTGTTGTCCAGTTTTTGTCTGCAGCTGAGTTAGGTAGTCTGTATTAAACGACAAATTGAGCCATGCATTTTTGTGTATATTAAATTCCTCTTGCAATTCAGCACTGAGAGTCATTAATGTATTTCCACCCTTTTTGAAAATCTTTATGGCTTAATTTTACCTTTTGCTAATTTTTTCATGCTGATAGTTGTATCTCTGTTCTATAGCATATGCTTCAGCTTTAGCAAGTCAAGGACAAACAGTCTCAGCCCATGCCTGTCAAGGGGATGCGAAAAGCTACAAGGCTAATTACAAAATGCAGCAAATCTGGGTCCGAGAACCCTAGTTTTAATTTTGCTCCAGTTCTGCAAAAATGGTAACCACCTTCAAAGTGCTTCTTGTTTCATGCCTTGCTAACACACCTTATCTCTCCTTTTCTGCAGTCTAAATGCCCACCGGAGAGCACAGATAGCTCTGGGAAAACAGCTTTACACTATGCAGGTAATATGTCTTCCTCTCTTCCCCCTCCCCCCACACTCTTGCCAGCCCCACATGACCATGCTTCCTTACAGGCTAGAGACAAATGCAGGCTGGTTCTCTGTCTCACTCTCATGCCCCTTTTCCTCCAAAGCCATGGGCTGATCACTGCCAGAGGCAGAAGGACCTGTCCTGCTTTTCGGAAGGAGCCTTGAGGCAGAGGGCAGAGATTAATTCTGCCATGCAGCCATTGCACTTACATAGCAAAGGGCCCTGTATGAAGATATTCGCCTTTCTCTACTTAGTGTCTAGTAGGAAAATGATCTTATGCCTTATAAAATGTCTTACTATGCTGAATGACTTACATGTGGCTGGTCCTACAGTGGTGATGTGGTAGGCAGAGAATGCTTTCCCCATTTGCTACTCAGTGACCCTGTCTGGTATGCTGCATTTTCCTATTCGTGGCCCAGTTACCATCTTGCCCCAGGATTTATTATATAAGCTGTGCAGAAATGCAGTCCTGTTTTAATAGTTCAGCAAGGCTAGAAAATCTCTGCACAGATTCTTTCGGCATTTTTACCAACCATCTTGCACTGCCTTTAAAGATTAGTAAATGTATTATGGCATAGTCCATGAAAGCTTGTACCAGAACAAATCTGCTTTTCTTTAAGGTGCTGCAATAGACTGGTACATCTTACCCTTTTGGAAAGTGCTTTCAAAAGAGTTTTCTAATTTTGCACCTTTCTTTTTGTCTTTGAAGCTGTATGTGGCTGCCTTCAGGTGGCTAAACTCCTGTGTGAACACAAGTGTCCAGTTAATGTCAAAGATGCGGTATGTTCTCATGAGTAACTTCTGTGTTTTTTAAAACTGTTAACAGTACTTCATGAAGCTTCATTTTGAAGCTGCTAAGTAACTCTGTTCAGGACTAACTTCTTCAAACAGGTGCAGGAGGGGGAGGGGGAACAACCAGTTAATATCTCAGTTGGCCAGCACAAGTTAGTGCACAGGGAGACCCCTTGTCTATAACTGAGTAGGTTGACGTGAGCCAAAGAGCCGTGTACAAATGTATTTATAAATGCTTGCTTCCATTTTAAACATGAATGTGTCAACCGAAAAGCATGCAACAGATAAAATGGCAAATTCATGTCTCATTTAGAGTATCTACTAGCCATTGTATTGATCTCTGGTTCTGCACTGACACTGCAGAAATGCAAAATGCACGAAGACCAAATGGTTGAGACTGCCTTCAAGTCTGCACAGTAGGAATGGCTCGATGGGAAAGAGGAGACATGATCCCATGCAGTCAGCCATTGTTTGTAGCCTCCGCCTTCAGAAAGATCCCAGTTTGATACGTCTAGCTATCCCACCCTCTCCAGGAGACGCATGGGTGGCCTTCCATTTGGAGCATCTCTGTTCCTTGGACCCTTGCTCAACTGAGCTTTCAGGTTCAGCTTCAAGTATTTTATCTGTTGAAATTATTAATTACTCTGCTCTTCAGCCAAAAAACAGTGCAGAACAGCTCACATTAGATAAGTGCAAGCAAGACAGACCCATTATATAGCTTACAATCATAATGGCCCAGCACAAAAGGAATAATGGGTGGGGAAGGCAGCGGGAGACCAGAACACTTGGGAACCAGTTCTTAAACGTACAAACTTCTTACAATGATCAGCCAGAATGGAAGTGGTGCAGGGAGAGGAGAAGCAGACTTGAAGCCGGTCTCAGCACAGACGGTCCCCTAGTTCTTTCAAGCACGTCTGTTAGACAGTCCAGAGGAGACTGAGACCAGTATACTGTCCTTAGGAATTTGTGCTGAACCTGTGAGGAAACAGAACTTAGTGTGTGACAGAGACAACACGTTTTTACCATGCAGTACTGGCAGGCTAGATGTGGTCTTTTGCTCCAACCATTGCAGGTATTTGTGCACCTGTTATAGGACATGGCATGTACAGACCTATTTCCACAAGGGGGTTACATTTCCTGGTTTGCAGTGAGCACCTCTGATGTTTATCCTTCTAAATCTGCAGAACATCTTGAGTCTAGCTCTATAGCTGATGGCTTTAATCTTCTCCTTTGCAGGATGGGCATATACCTTTGTTACTTGCAGTACAAAATGGCCACACTGAAGTATGCAAATACCTTCTGGAGCATGGTGCAGACATCAATTCCAGAGACAAAAATGGAAGGTACAGCCAAGCTAAACTCACAGCCTCAGATTCTTCATTTTTAACCTGAAGGCTCTGGATTTCTTTTGGGATCTTTGCTAATGAAAGGTTAAACTTAGAGTTTAGGACATATTGTATGGAACCTCAGGGAAACCTTGGGCTCCCTCCATCAGAAACTTCCAGAATGTGGGCCACATCCAGGGTCCACAAATAGCAACATTCCCTTTCCCCTGACTGCTAATAAGCTGCTGATTTCCTAGTTTTTGCACGTTTTCCTCATTTTGAAACTTGAAAGGCCACTGCTACAGTTTCGTTACTGGCAGCAACAGGTTTATACTATCATATTCTGGTATTTCGGCTCGTCCCCTTTCACCTTTGACTTAACCTATTGCTGGAATGCACCCCCCAAGCATCTTTGAAATGGAATTCAACCCTTGGGCTGCAATGGGTTCCTGGTGCCTGGTATAGCTCTAATGTATACAAACTTCATTAGCTTGCAAAGGCACACACAATAATTGCTTTCACACACTGAGTTTCCTTAATTAAGATTTGTGAACGACAAAAGCTTGTTCTTCCTTGCTGTTGACTTAAGACTGTGACTATATTTTATTCCCACTGTTCAAAGTATCGTACACCGGCATTCCTCAGCCTAGTGCTGCCCAGATGTGTTGGACTGTTGGAGATGGGAATTGTAGCTGATGTAGTTGGATAGTGTCAGATCTGGGAAGGTGTCTTGCACCATGATTTAACTATGCTTAAACTGACAGTAAGCTTCTTAGTTACTTTATTAGTCTGACAGCAATGCAAAAGGCTATGCATGAGATGGCACACCTTGTTTTTGTTTAAGTCACCACTTTCCCAGAATTAGTTTTATATGCTTGACATCCAGGGCACAGTCTAATAAGCTTGCCAAAGCTGTACATCTATCGCCTCCTGAGTCTTGTGAATCATTCATAAAACCTTTTCTCATCAGAATCAGTATGCACCTGTATTATGTAATGCCAAGCTGAATTTGCACTGGCCTTTGCCAAGAAGCTTTTGCAGCAAGGGATAACGGTTTTCAAATAGATTTCTCTGCAGGTGCAGGTTGCATGTGGCTGGCCTAGAATGTTGCCCACCAGACATACCTGTCTCAGCCATGGACCTGCTGTGTGCTACCAAGGGGATACAATATTTGTACAGGAGTCTATGCGTTGAGGTCTGCACTGCACGCTTCCTTATATTGTCCATGTGTTGGCCCTCTCTTAGAACAGCTCTGATGCTGGCATGTGAGGCTGGGAACCTCAGCATTGTGGAAGCCCTGGTCCGAAAAGGTGCAGATATAAACTTAGCAGATGCACTTGGACATAATGCCCTACATTACTCCATGATCTCTGAAAATACAGGCATTCAGAATCTCCTTCACTCAAAAATGGCTCAAGACACAGGTATGTCTATTCTTCTTAAATACTTCCAAAAATATATAAGATGTATACACCATACAGAATATGTCATGGATGTGACTGGTTTTGTCCAGGATTCCATCCATTCAGTTCCATTGTGGCCAGGTGGGGAAGGGAGGACTTGTATCCAGTTGTGTCCAATACCAATTTCTCCATCAATATCTATGGAACTTCCATTCTTAGGGCATTTTAAAATAGCTTCTCAATGTGAACCAAGAAATTACCTATCCAGATAATTATAATAATTATATAATTATACTTTTCATCTGTGTATGTAACCTAGATGATTTATTATTTTATTCTATTTTCTCTATTTTGGCTCTGTTCAACTGTTAACTTACTCACAGATTTTATTATTGGTCTTTTATAGTTGTGGGTGTGGTTTTATGTTGTTCTGGATTTTAACATGATATAAGCTGCCCAGAGAGCTTGTGGCTAGTGCAGGGGGTGGAAGGGGGGGAATGAATGAATGAATATCTCTTGCCAACTAATCTGTTCCATTCCACTTGCTTGCCCAGATTTTTATCCACAATAGTTAACATTTATGCCACTGAGTCCTAATGGGGGTTCACTTGGCGGTGGGTGGATGGGTTCTCCCCTTAACATTGTTCTGAAGTTTCTTTTAAACATTTATTTAGAAGTTCCCCTGAGCCTGTTGATACCTTTCTTTTGTGCACGTGATGCCATTTTGTGTGGATGGGAAGACTTGACTAGGAAACAAAGGAAACACAAATGGGAAGGTTTTCTTTTCTGTTAGAGTCTTTCTTACATGTATTGGAAGATTGAATAAGGCTGACTAAGGCTGCAACCCAAGCATGATTATTTTCATCTAAATTGCACTGAAATCAATTGGACAGATTTGGAAGTGGGTTCATGGGTTTACAATTGGAATATAAATCTCTTAAGTAGAGAAGAATTATCTCTTTGTCAATACAACATGCAATATTTTCTTTCTCTCCTGCAGATGCCAAGTCACCAACGAAGCCAAAGCAGGTAAAGAAAGAGAAAACCACTAATCCTTTATTAACTTAATAACCACTAGCATTATGCTTTTGGGAAAAATGCATATGGTTAGGAAATATGACCACAGCAGAGAAACACTTTCAGTTTGTCAGAGTTTTCAGTAGTATATGCAGCTTTATTCAACTCTTACATGGCTCCTCAAAACATGTTTTGCTGCAATTCCCAAACCATGATTTATCATTAGCATAGCACTCCATCCAATCGAGTGGGTTCAACATCAGAAGACTTGAAATAACTGATCGGATTTTATGGGGTTTAGAGTCTTCCTCAGCCAGGTTTAAGAGCTTGCCAAAAGTGGTGCAGTTCCTTCAGCATCACGTACTGCTCCCACAGTTCAGTGGTGGGGAGGGAAACTATGGAAGACATTCATTGGTGTTAATATGAGCAGTCACTTGGACGCAGTTGTGAATTATCTCATTGTTATGATGGGTTCCTCTGTCCCATTCTGTGGGATTCAGCAGTTAGAGGAGTCTGTTGATACTCCAGTGCCAGGCAGACAGAACAGTGGTGGTGGTGGAGGAGGAAGGTGGGTGGATGCAGGTGATCTAGCATTTGCAAAGGTTTAGGTGATGATTAATTATGCAAAAAGTAAGTGTGGGAGCAGCCTCTAAAAATTCAAGAACGTTAGATGAATAGGAGCAAGGAAACAGTCTCTAGCTATCCTGAAAATGTCTGGCACTGAACATGATAATTAAAAGGCTGCTTGAGGCTGTCAGTATCAGTGCATTTGAGATCATGGTTCAGGAGGAAGGTGTGTACATTAATTCACTATTTCTAATGCTCTGAAGCATGAGTTGCAAAAGGAAGCAGGATGAGCTCATGGTTAAGCATGTGTCATATCCCTGCAGAGCAGTGCCTTGAGTGAGATGAGGCATGAGGGGCTGTTGAAACTTCTCTTGTACCTTAAAAAATAAAAGAATAACGTGTAACACAGACCTTACTAACAAACTAACAGACCTCCCTTTTCTGGCCTGTGACACTTCCAGCATGAACAAGTCTCTAGGTTATGTTCAGAAAGAAGTGGAACTCCAAAAAAACGCAAAGCCCCGCCACCACCTCCAATCAGTCCTATCCAGGTAATGAGCCAAGTCCAACTTGAACATGTTGCTATCTATAGTTGGGGAGGGGCAGTGGAGGAATGTCCCGTCGGGAATAGATCTGGTTAAATTTGCTTTGTGCACATCCCCTTTTTTTAAAACGTACATGTCTCATGTATCATGAGTGAATTCTCACAAGGATAGAAATAGGATGGCTGCTTGTTTGAAAAATAAAAGCTCAACTTGTTTGGGGCTTTGCAGGAGGGCAGTTGGGAATATGACCAGATCCTAAGTTTAGAACCATAGAGCTTATAACAGTCCCGCTTTTGTATGATGCTGACAGTCTTGCCCTTCAACAATCAGCATAAGATTCCTGCGCACACATAACACAGCTTTGCACATGGAACACCCAGCATCTTAACAAGAAGTTTAATATTTAAGCTGAGCCATAACTCAGGTGATTGTTTGACTGCATGCCTGCTGCCTGCTAAAGACGACGGCTGTGTGGTCTCGCTCGCATCAAACTAACAGAAAACAATGACTTCAGCTGGTAAGAGGCACTTTGTGTCCCTAAAGTGCATTCGTCTCTTCCAGCTTAGTGACTTTTCCTCTCCACGCTCGACAACTTCAACCCCAGTATCTGGAAAAGGCCAACCATTCCTTGCCGAACAGGGATCCAAGGTAATACTTGCTTCTACATACAAATGCTGCCTGTCTCTAGTGGGTTGTGTGGCATGGTGGCAAACCAATTTTGTCACCTTAGGTAGGGGATAAAGGTTTACGGTTGGAACCAGAAGAACTTCAGGCAAAAATGATGGTTTCTGCAGTGTTCATGGCTGAACTGTATGCAATGTTAAATGCTTCATCAACAGGAGGTCGCCAGGAGCGGGCCCACAGCATGCTTGTGTGTGTGTGTGTGTGTGTGTGTGTGTGTGTGTGTGTGTGTGTCGGGGGGGGTGGCTTCCTCTTAAACTGTGGTTCTGGCCAAGCCCTCCCTGCTACCCCTGATGCTGTTTTAAAAGGCAGTCATACAACTTTAGGTGACATAGTTAATGTCAGATTTGGTTAGGCTCTTAGTTGGCTAAATCAAAGTATATCTCAGTTGTATTAATCAATATACTATTGAGGCTCTTGTAGTTCTGGAGCACATTATTGTAATAGGGAATGAAAACTTAAATATGGAAGTAGGCTTTTTCTTAGTAGCTTTTGCGACTTGTTAATTACCTTATGTTTCCTTCCATAGCTTAGAAAGGTGTCTTTTCTTGGTCACTTTACCATTTTAGAAGTATTTCATTCTTTCTTTCTCTTTGGATGCCCAAGGTGTCCTAGCAATTGAGAAAAGTTCACATTTGAAATACAAGTATCTATAAATGTAATCACAGCTGCCTGTGAACCAGTCGGGTGGCATCACTTGCCAATGTATATCTGCTGCTCTGCAAAGGAGTGTTTTTGTTTGCAAGTATTTGTGCTTAATTAGTATATGCAGTGGATGTAAACAAATGTTTATGCATTTGTGTTTCAGCAGGAAGAGATCAGTGCCATTCAGTCTGATTGCAAAGATGGGATGAGTGATAGCACTGCAGGTGAGCTGTGTGAAAGATCTTCTGGGTGGTTCTTCAGTGTTCTCTTTCATTTCTCTGAGAGGGACACTATCTTGTATTTCCAAGCATGCTTAGCTGTACCTTGATCCACCTGGTCATTTTACTGCTTTTGTGCATTACAAGAGCTTCCTGAAGTTTAACACAGCAAGAGCTATACATGGTAGCCCTTGGTATACAACATACATTGTGTACAAGGGTTGCAGCTACAAGGTGTCGACATGACACCGCAGAGACCCAGTTTTATTTTCCTCGCTGTGTAAGGATAGGGTCCACTGGTTGCTGTTGCAAAAGAGCCTTCAAGGGTGATGGGAACAGATGCTACTGTTACTGTAATTTGGTGGCAAGCTGCTGATAGTTTCCCTGCTGCTGTTACAGCACCAAATTCAGTGGCAGGGACCATGTTTAATGCAGGGGGTGCAAGCCGTATGGTTAACCCATCATATAAAAACATGGTCAACAAATAAAATGTGGATTTCAGTTTTTTCTGGAAGTGCTTTCTGTCTTTCTCTCTGTTGTCTCTTAATGAGATGCATTAATTTCAGTTTCACATAGCTAAACGCAGCACCTGCTGAAGGACATGTTAGTTGAACACAGCCTTCCCCACCCTGGTGTCTCCATGTGGAACAGCTGGTGTAGAATGATGGAATTTGTAGTCTGGCACATCTGGAAGAGCATCATGCTGAGGAAAGATGGGTGTTTCCCCAACATGTTACACTTGTTGAACTTGTATGCTGTTTTGCCAAAAGAGATTTCTCAGTTTTGTTGAAAACAATAAATGTATTGAAGGCTGGAATCATAAATAATCTTCTCCTTTTGCTTTCTCTTTCATTTTAAAAGGTGCTGATAGCTTATTGGATGTAAGTTCAGATACGGACCAGCAGGATCTGCTTTTATTGTTGCAAACAAAAATTGCTTCTTTGACCTTGCATAATAAGAAACTGCAAGAAAAATTACAGGTATATATTAGAACCGTCCATGCACCAGAAATGGTGGTACCTTTGTGGTGGGGTGGGGGGGAGAGAATTCAAATGTCAGAATAGAGAAATACTTAATTTTAGACTGAAGCGTGACCCATTGAAGACACCAGATCGGTCCATGATGAGATTGAGGGAGCCATTCTGCACCTTCGCTGTGGCTTCACCTGTCTATACCACTACCAAAGATTATTTGTTTTCGGAGGTGCTAATCATGCTCTGCTGAGTTTTGGACTTGTTACAATATGATTCTTGTGGTGGGGTAGAACTGCAGCTGGTATCTGGTTGACCAAGGATGTAAATGGAAGGCTGGACTCGGTAGACCTCTAGTCTGGACTAGCAATGGAAATCGTATGTTCTAATATTGTGGAGGAAAGGTTTTTTTCCTGGATCCTTGGAAGAAAGGATCTCTGACAGGGAGAGGGGAGGAAATTCATGACCCTCCATTAGAATCAGATGTGAATGCTTAATACTGCCATCTGCTGTTTCTGTAGGCAAAAGCACTCAAAGTAGAAGACATCGATACCACCCTAGATTCTTCTCCTTCCACCCACCTGGAGTTTGATCGCTCAACAGACAGGCTGAGTGAGAGCTCAGCAGCAGCTCAGGAGACCAGCTCCTCTTCCCTGAGCTTAGCCCAAGTTCAAGAAGAGGCAAGCAGTAATGAAGTAAAAATTAAACAACTACAAGACAACCTAAGGGAAGTGCAAAGGAGACTGGATAGCTCAGAAGCAAAGAGGCGGCACTTGGAGACCCAGCTTCAATCTGGAGCAGTAGACGTGGTCCACTTGTTAAACAGCTCAGATATTTCAGAGAATGGCTCTGACCTCAACCAGAAATTGAAAGAAACCCAAAGCAAGTATGAAGAAGCAATGAAGGAGGTTCTGCATGTCCAGAGGCAAATGAAGCTGGGATTGGTAGATTCGGAAAGCAAAGAAGCTGACCTGAAGGAACTCAGAGCAACGTGTGAGGAGGTTGAATTGCTAAAAGATGAGCTGAGGAAAGCCCTAGAAGATGGTGAGAAGCTGAGTGCAAGAGTGAGAGAGCTGGAGGAAAAGCTGGGGGAGAGAGAGAGAGGCACTGTTGGCACAATGTCAGTGGAAGAATGCGAGAAGATGAAAAGTTCCTACTGCTTGGTTATTGAGAATATCAACCAAGAGAAGGCTCTGTTGATTGAGAGGTACAAGGAGGGACAAGAGGAGATCAAAAAGCTCCAGGAGAAATTGAAGCAACAGATGGAGTTGGGCTGCAGTGAGGAGACTGCGGAGGTGAGAGATGCAAAGAACCAGGTGATAAATGAGCTAAACAAGCAGATCGGAGAGCTATCCCGAATGTACGAAGAAGCCCAGGCAGAGCTAGAGGACTGCAAGAAGAAGAGCATTCTAGAGGAGGACAATTCAGGTTGCATACCTCTGGAGGAACATGAAAGGCTGATGGAGGTCAGTACCTTACAGAAGGAGCAAGCAGAGGGAGCATTGTCGGAAATGAAGGCTCAGTATGCAAAGGTGTTAAGTGAAGCAACACAGCTCCAAAGCATGGTTGAGGCCCAGAAAAAGAATTCAGTCACCATCACTGAGCATCTTCAGGTGGTCACTGCTCTCAGGACCTCAGTGAAAGAAATGGAAGAAGAAATAGCTGAGCTCAAGGAGCAGGTTCTTCTCAAGGAAAGTGAGGTGCAGCGTCTGCAGAAGGAGCTGTTAGAAGAAGAAGCTGCAGTATGTGAAGCCATGGTGCCCAGAGTGTTGTATGAAGAGCTCCGGTCCACCTCAGAAGGTGAAGTCAACTCCTTGTCATCCAGATTGAAGGACTTGGTGAAAGAAAGGGAGAACTTGTCCACAGATCTTGCACAGTTGAGGAAGGAAATTTCCCAAATTAAGGGAGAGAAAGAAAGCCTCCAAGCACTTCTTGAGGCCAAGGAGCAAGAAATCAAAGGACTGCATCAGCGTTACCATCAGGCACAAGAAGACCTTCTTGAAATGAAAAAAGCTTCAGAGAATTCCTCAAAAGTGGAAGAGGACAAAGATAAGAAGGTTGGTAGACCTAGTGCCTCAAAGCAGAGATGGGTAATGAGTGTCCTCTGGTCTAGAGCTGGTCCCTGAGGCAAACGCTTTCAAGTGCGGATGAACAGATTGCTTTGGTGTTGCTCTCTGCCGCTGGCGAAGTTCGCCACAGATAAGGATCCTAGGCCAGACAAGACTCTCAAAGTTTTTTTCTGCCATGAATATGGAGAACAATAGTGTTGGGAGCTGGGTACCCTTCCTTCCTCTCAAATAACAGGCAGCTCTTTGGCAAAAAGCATTTTATTTCCAACATACAGCCAGCAAACTAATAGGCAGCAGAGGAAGAGTCTCTGAGCATGCACCGAATGGCTTGTTCAGTCCAAACTAGAAACTGTTTCCCAAAACCCTCCTTTACAGTGACCCTGGGTGCTCCCCACTGGAGAAGGGCTAGCCTTCCTGATCGATGCAGGCCCTCTAGTTCGACTAGCCCTTCTTTCCCAGTGTTATGCCATGGAGTCAGAGACTGCCAGGCTCTTCTTGCTCTCCTTCAAGTCCCCTCCCAGCACTTCCCAGCCCTATCTGTTCCCAGGGTATACATGAACACCTGGGGATGGCAGCCTTGAGGTCAGCTCTCCTTCCTCTGCCATCTCTATGTCCGTAGACAGAGCCAGTGCCATCCTGACGCTAGAAAGCAGGCCAAGAATAGCTTTCATTCCCAAGAAACAGAACTGTAGAAACCGCTTCTATCATCCCAGCAGGTTTCCTTGAAGTGCCTTTGCATGAATTTGTTATCATTCCAAGGAGTTTCAAGAACTAGGCCAAAGTTTCCTGAACTCAGCCAGGATTTTCCAAACTAGCGCGTCCCAGATGTGTTGGACTCTTACTCCTGTTATGCTCAGTCAGCATGGTTTTGGGAGGTAATGGGCACTGTAGTCAGAAACATCTGGAGACAACAGGTGAGGGAGGCATTTTCTCAAGCCTTTTGTAATGGGAGTGGCATAAAAGACTATTCGGGGAAACCCAACATAGCCATGTATGTCTAGCATATGGAAGTGGGGGCCAGAGACGTATAGGAATTCTACAGTAGCATTAACCTTGGTTACTTGGGGTTCTTGTTTAGCAAAGATTGCTTACATAAGCCTTTTCATTCCACTGTATGTAGAGGCTGGGAACAGGATCAGGAAGTGCATGAATAGCAGTGTGGGGCAAGTAGGCAGAATCCAGTTTCCCCCATCACATTTTGGATATGTACAGCAGGGGCTTGGAGCACCCTTCAAATGAAGGAGTTAAGGAAGTGAGTCAGAGAGAGAAGTGAATAGGATTATGTTACCAGGGAGGAATTATTGTGGATCTGGATTAGCTAGTCCTAGGAAGGAGTTATAGTTGCACATAGCTTGGGAACAAACTAAACAAACACTAAGCATGCAGGACTGTAGTAGAGTCAGTGCGGAACATGTCAGGGAGAGACCAGGTGCTTCATAGCTCCCTTGGGTGAGCAGAGGAAGGAATATTCCACTAGTGTAGGCATAATGTTTAAGTATGGTTAAGCATTCGGAGTGACTCCCAATTAAAAATTGGCTTGTACACCAATGACGAGAAGAGCAGGAAACCCTGGATTGCATTAGCCGTCCCTAAGCATGGCAACTCCCATCAAAGACCCCATGCTTGGAGCTGCTTCCCTGCCTTGACAGCCCCTCTGGCTGCAAGCAGTTCTCCCTGTACGTGCCTATCAGTTGTTTAGGGTTGTTATGTGGTTTAAGGGAAGAAAACACACTTAAGAATATGATCTGCTTTGGACCAAAGCCTCTGGAATGATGGTCCTTCTACCTTGTAATCAAATGTCTCCCCCACCATTTTTTTCTTTTCCAGATAACAGACATGTCTAAGGAAGTTACCAAATTAAAGGAAGCACTGAACAGTCTTTCCCAGCTTTCTTACTCAACTGGTACTCCCAAAAGGCAAAGCCAGCAACTGGAGCTGCTACAACAACAAGTCAAGCAGCTACAAAACCAGTTGGCTGTAAGTTTATAGGTTACTTGACTGTGCAGATATGTAGCTGCAGGTATCTTGTAGTTGGAGGCTGAGGTCTTCTGAATAAGGAAAATGGGCATAGAAGAATCCGTTTTTGGGTCAGTTTTCCTGCACTGTGTATGGAGAAGCCTGGCTTCATATCAACAGTATTGCATACCCATGTTACAAAGGGACCTTTCTGTCTTTTGCTTTCATGTGAAATTAGTTTTAGAGCTTGCATGTAGAGTTTTTGCATTTCCAGAGTTCTGAGATGACAGAAAGCTTACAGCAGGCTTGGTTGGATTGGAACAATGCAACATATGAGAGGCTACCTTTGAAAATGGTTCAGGTACATCCATTAGCCCAAAATAGAGCTTCTAGGCTGCTGCTCACAACTGGCTGATATGATCCTCCAACTCCAGTGCATCATCGGCTGCACTGGCTGCTGAGGTGTTCCTGGATCCAATTTAAATTGCTTGTGTTGACCTTTAAATCCCTAAATTCCTTTGTGACAGAGCACCTAAAGAAATTACTTACTCCATATATATCCTCCCAAATACTTAGATCATCTCTGGAGGTCCTCTTCAAGGTGCCTCCACCAAATAGGTAGCTACAAGAAAGGTACTTCTCAGTTATGGCTTCCCACTTAGAATTCCCTTTACAGGCAGGGTAATCTGCTGTTCTCTTTCTTATCTTTGTGCCACTAGGAAAACACATTTATTTTAAGTTTGATAGTTTGGTTTTGCCCATATTGTACTGGGATGGCTGGTCTAAATATTTAATATTACATTTTTGTGTCAATTGTTCTTGGTTCAGTTGTGCACTATTTTATTCTTATATAAGGTAACCCACCGAGGGAATTTTTGTTACTGGACTTGAGTGCTAATCCATATTGTATCCAGGTTGCTATAATTTCAGTAGAATGTGGTGTCCTTGCACAGCAAACGGTGATCTCTGGAGTATTCTAAGGCTGTGTGAGTTAGCAGCTTTAGGACTAAGGTCCTAAACCAGATTTCTCAAATGCAAGAGTCACAAAAGAAGTGTTTACTGCTCTGACACTTTGGCCTCTTTCCCTACTCCACCGCCTCCCTACCTGCTCTCCAATTTGATAAAGACCAAACTCACATCAAAGTGAGGGCTGCCTATATACTAAAGCATGTTCTAGAGATGCAGTGTGATGTAGTGGTTAGAGTGTTGGGCCAAGACTTGGAAGATCCAGATTCAAATCCCCCACTCAGTGGTGAAGGTCAGATGTTGATGCTGAGCCAAACACTCTTTTTGTCAACCTACCTTACTTCATAGAGTTGTCGGGAAGGCAAAAAGGGGCCAGGGAGTGAACCTTGTAGAGCACTTTGAACTTCTGGGCAGAAAGGTGGCATATAAATACAACAGAGTGGAACTGACCGTGCTCCGTAGTACAGGGGACATTTTGCATGAGCAGAGGGGCAGAAGGAGCTGTTTTATAGCTACTGTGTAACTTGACTTTCGCTCATAGTATTTGTGACTTTGACCATGGTTGACACCACCAAGTTGAACTATGTAGATCCTGAAGTGTGAATCAAAGTTTCATGCTGGATTGCAGCAGCTAGATTATGTGTATGTTCTGACTAGCCATTTCTTTTATTTAGGAATCCAAGAAGCAACACCAGGATATTGTGTCTGTTTACAGGACACATCTGCTCTATGCTGTGCAGGTAAGAACACATCTCCATAAATGTTCCTTGTATTGGTTTTAGGACTGTCACAACTTGAAGACAGACACAGTTAGATTAGTAGTTTCAAATCTTGTGTCTGTGGACTTTGGCACTAGAAATGCATTAAACTTCTGGCTCAGTGGGTTGCAAATGCCCAATTTGAACCTGCAGCTGCGTGCTATGTAGAGATCCTGCAACAGATACAGACAGGGTACAAATGGTTTCAATACATAAATAAAATGCCTTGTTTTCCCTCAATTACAGATACAGTGGTGAATCATACTTGGAGTCTAGCATATAGGAAGGAGATTTTATCTTTTTCCCCATAATCAGAATTCATCTCCCCCCATCCTACCTCAGCTTGGCTAAGAGGCTTAGATCAGCGTCCACCAAGCAGCTGCCCTCCAGATGGGTTGGACTGCAACTCCTAAAACATTCCCAACCAACATGACAGAGGCCATGCTGGTTGGAAATTATGGGTGCTGTAGTCCAATACATCTGGGGCTAACTAGGTTGAGGACGGCTGACTTAGATAAAAAGCCTCACGGGCTTTGGTTGGGAATGACTCTTCTAAGATACCAGTAATTTTGAAAAGTACCTTTTAAAATTAAAAATAATCAGTTGGTCTTAGCTCTAATTAAGTGTTGCCTAACTGTTTTGGAATGCTTCTCTAGTTGATTGAAAATGCTTTTAATCCATTAAAAGTAAATGTTAAAGTTTTAATCCCTTACCTGTTTATGTGCTAATGAAAGGGAGCATTTTGGCAAACACAGCAATGAGAATAGTATTTAAATTACATTTTGGGAAATGGGGTACTACTTTTAAAGGTAAAACTGCGCTTCAAAAGGTCTAAGTGGCATAACTAATATTTGGTCCCTCCTCCATTTTTTTCCTAGGGTCAGATGGATGAAGATGTCCAGAAAGTGCTTAAACAGATTTTAACAATGTGCAAAAGTCAGTCACAGAAAAAAAGTGAAACCCTTTTTGTTGATCCCTGATGGTGCTGCTGTGGAGTGTGCAACTCGCCTTAAATACGAGATTTGATTGGCAACCTCCCACATAGGAAATTGTCTCAAGTCTCTGCCACATTTTTTCATTTCTATGACTTATGAGCTAATGCTTCCCTTGTCCCCAAGTGCTGTTTTTGTGTCTTGGACACAAATGCACAATGCTCCAGAAATTGCAATTTAAATCATGGGTGGCCTAGGTGTAACCTTCAGTATTAGAAAGGGATTCAGTGCTTCCTTTGGTTATAATGAGATGGCACAACCCATGAAATCCATTGCTGCGTTTTGTATTTGAATAGCTGCACCATTTGGAGGTGGGAGCAGAGATGAATAATTCCGTTCCTAATTATTAATGAGGGGAAAGCAAACTTTCATATATTTTAAGTCACTCAGATGTCAGGTATTACAGTAGATGCAATGTTTGATTCTAACACTTTTTGGCCTTGTTAACTGAAAGGAGATAAAAGCCAACGTCATGAGGCAAGGCCACTGGGTGGCTAAAGCCAGCTGCAGTATGTGTGTGGATTTTTAAATATGGACTACAAGAACACCAGACCAGTGATATGTACTAACTAGATAACAAAGCGTAGCCATGTACTAATGCAGGTCAATGGATTCTGAACACAGCTAACTCTACTACAACCTCAGTTTCTTTATAAAGCAGTAGGTCAAGCTTTCTATGCAAATCCTTGCAGTGCTATTGGCCATGGAGCTCAGGAGGAAGAAACCCTGTGTTCGGAATGAAAAACAAGGGATACGAAAGAACTCGCGATGTTTACAGTGAGCATTGTTGTCTCACAGTTCCAAACCTCACTTTTGTAAAAGATCTTCTCTACACTATATTTTTACTGCCCCTCAGATTTGCAAAGTTCTTGTAACTAAAGCCATTTACTATGTAGTACTTCCCTCCCTCCTTCCTTCCCCACATAGACTTAAGTAACAAACTGTTTCAGCTGTTGCCTTTTCCTGTCTTTCTTTTGCTTGGCCCAGGTCTGTTGTTATGAAATTCAGTAAACCCCAATTTTTAAAAGGCAGAATTGAAACGCACCTGTCCGTGTACCGCTGAATAAGAGGGATGGGTAAGAGTGCCGTCCTGTGGATATTCAGGTTAAAAAGAGCCCTGCAACTCACAGCAGTGCCCAGTCGGGCATGGTGGGTTGGGAACATCGGCAGTTGTAGGACCTTTTTCTGCCTAGATATGCATAGGATTGCGCCCTTTATTCTGCTGTTACCTCTTTGCCAAATGTTGTAAAGCTGAAACATGGATAAGCCTTGTGATTTGTGTTGAAGGGCTGTTCGATGCATTAAATTTATGTGATATAGGAGTGAGCCTACACATCACTTTTAAGCCTAGCATTCATTTAGCGGGGACAGCTAATATATGTAACTCCAAATGTGATATGTGCCCAGGTATGGACTAAGTCCCAGGAGATGTTTAGCGATACAACTGTTCCTCTTTTGGGGCTGTGGGAAGAGTAACGTATGATACTCTGCTTCACCTCCTGCTTTTGATAGCAGGTTTACATTCTTCAGTGCTTTTGAAACTACCAATTCAAACTAGTGTAGTTGCTACAGCATCTCTCACAGGAACTGTAGCTTTCAGGGGGAGATGCTAGTTCCTTTGTCGGAAAGCTTCATATAATAAAACTAGAATTTGTGAGATTCCATTGCTGAGGACTGTGATGGTTTTCAAGATTAGTTTAAACTTCTAGCATAGATATAGTGTTTGCAGGAGCAGTCCTCTGTTTCAGGAACCTAATGGGGGAAATTGCTTTTGAGAACTAGGGAGCCTGTCTTACAGCTTTTAGGTAGAATTGGAAATAACCATAAGTGCATGACACCAGCAGTCTGGGTATCAGAAAACTCCAGAAGCCTAACAATTTACACTGTACCTAAAGGGAATAATTATTTGATTGGTATCTGTGTGTGTTCAAAGTATGCCATAGTTTTACTCCTACTGGTGGAGCAACGTCTGCTGCAGGGATTCCCAGAGCTGTGTAATAAGTGAAGTCTAGAGACAGTTAATTTCTCAGTGCCTCGGAGCTACCAAATTCACCATGCATTAAATAGCAGCCATCTTCTTACAGTTGCCAAACTTAGAGAATAGGAGCATACAGTCTCCTGACCTTGGGCTTTTGTTTTGTTTACTAATACCAATTAATTTTGGACAATGTTTCATAATTCAGTACTTCCTTTTTAAATGCTCCAAAGAAATGTGAAAACTTTGCTGCCGCACTTATGGAAAACAAACAAAAATAACAAACCTAAAGTATGCCAATAAATGCTGCCAAGAATAAAACTTGAGGAACCATTTTGTAGGTTGCCTGGCAAAAAAAACTCAGCTTTTTACCTTGTTTTGTTACGTGTATTTATTACAATTATCATTGTGAAACATTGGAAATTGTACACTATAGCATAGTGATTGTCTTTGTATGTAATTTTACAAAAAGTTTCCTCATTCAGCAAATAAACTTTTTTTTAATCTGCCTTCTTATGTTTTGTGTTGTTTGACTAATATGTTTGTTTTGGGGACAGTACAAAATCCAGAGGGGAAAATCCATTAAAGGATATGAATCTGCTCAGATCCTGACGTGATTCCCAGAGACAGTTCTTGGGGTCTTTCTAGCACCGTCTCTTTAGAAATAGTTTGGTACCAGCCCCTGGCATACTTGGTAGGTACTGAGGGCCAGTGCCAGGCTGCTGCTGCTGTTGATGGGAACTGGGGAGCGTTGGTCCTGCCAGGGGCACCAAGTAAAGCTCCCGGCGCATAGCAGCATGTCCTGACTATTTAGCATGACCATCTTCCTTGCTCATGTCCTGTTCCAATATCAAGGGAGGCATAATTAAGGTAACAGTACAGGTAAATCCAGCCAAACAGGACTGATCTCCATGCTACTGCTAGGCCACCACTGGTGGTGTTTCTGAGCTGCACATATTTATTCATTTGATTTCTATCCTGCTTTTAACTCAAAGCAGCTTACATCATTCTCCTGTTTGCAATCTTACTCTCACCACAACAACCCTGTGAGGTAGGTTGTGCTTCAGGCCCACATACCTGGACATGCCAGAAGAACCATCTTATGTCTTATTTCTTTATTACCCAAACGCCGGAACTCCAGTAATTTTTCAGGAGCGCATGAAATAAAACGAGCAATGTAAAAGTACAGATAATGGTAAAAACACAATAAAAATATGCGACCAAGTTTAAAGCTGACCTTAAATAGCTACAGTAGCTAACACAAATCATAAGACCTGGTAGTCGGCATAACACCTCAATAGTATAGCTATTAAATACACTGTTGGGATAATCTTAAACTGGATCTGAAAGGATAGTAGAGTTTGGGCCAGGGAGGCCTAAATGGGAAGCTTGTTTCATAAATTGGAAGACACCACCAAGAAGGCCCTCCTCGTTGCCCCCAACCATGCATCCCTTGGAGGTGGCAGGAGGAAGTCCCCAGATCTTGACTGCAGTGTTCAGGTAGATTGCAGTTGGGAGAGGAGTTCCATCTAGCACAGTGGTCCCAAGCCATATAGGCCTCCCCAGAAATAGAGCCAGGCCTGTTAGTTTGATGAGTGGCCACCTGAAATGAGTCTTCTCCAGTGTTTGGTATCCCTCGCCTAAAATGCAACCCCAAAGGAGGGTGTTTGGCATTTTCTATTTTTGGTCTTTTTATTTAGGCATTTAGGACACTGTTAACGTGCCTCAACACACTTTGGCTACTTGCTTTTATTATACAGATGCACTTTTCATTCCTGCTATCTTTCAAGTCCTTTGAAGGGCCTCTGGGCAAAAGGACAGGTTAGTACATGCCCAAGAATGATACATGCAAAGCAGGGGGAATGAATAGTTTGATCCACTGAAGCCAAAGTGTTTGGTCACCTTGCCAAGTTGAGCAAATTAATCCAGCCAAGGAAGGAAGGATAGATGGAATCCATGTCTTCAAGGGGAATGCATTAATCTAGTGCTTGAAACTGCAATATGAATCACTGAATTTTTAAAAATGAACACTTTTATTCTTTTTGTCCTTTTAAAAAACAGTTCCCTTCTGAACCACTCAAGTGCAGTGGTGCAGATAGCTCTTTTGTGTGAAGGAAAAAGGCTAGACTACACCACTTTCCACTCTCCTTGTTGGGAATGTGCCATTTTGTGGGCTATCATTTTCCCCTTCCCTTTGTTGCTGAAAGACCTTTCCCAGGAGTGCTATTCTTAATTAAAAGCACACACGCGCAAACCACTGTTTCATTTGTTCCCACATCCTATAGATCGTGTGGAGCAGAGGGGAGAGGAGGTGGTGTCGGATGCTGTGGAAAGGAAGCCTGAACACTAACGTACCATTGTGAGCACCAAGAAAGAAAGCCACTTCCTGCAACGCAAATGAAGGCAGCATCATATTTGGTTTTGTAGCATGGCAGTCTCCCAGTTACTCTTCTTTTAAAAACAGTTTTGACAAGTAACAGATGTATCAAGAGGGGCAGGGAGCACCAGGGAAGGTGTCCTTGGTGCACCTGGTTAGACACCTCAGGGTTAGTGTGTCAGGTGAGGACTGCATGGTTCTTGGTCAGCCAAAAGCTCGCTGGTTTGTTCTGGGCCTGCCTCTCTCTCTGTGCCTAGCACATCTTGTTGCCCAAATTGGGCCCATGTCCTGCTGTGCAAAATGCCCAACATTCACAAAAGGAAAGTTTTCTTTTTAAAGATTTATTCTCAAGAAGAACCAGCTGCCAACAAATGTTCCAAATGGCGCGCCTGAGCAGTCCTATCTGGCCCTTCTATGCATTGATCATGAAAGGGTTACACATAACACAGTTAACTCTTTCCAATAGGTTGCAGAAGTAAAAGGTGTGATCTTTCCTGCCTTTCCTAAAGCAGAAAGAAGCTGCTCCAAGGACAGCAAGGGGAGGGTGGGGTGGGGTGGGGTGAAATATCCTTTGTCCAGTAGCTGCTAACTGTCAAGTGTCAACTAGCCCACTCTGGAACGGCGCCTGCTTAGTGTCGGCTGCATTTCAGGGATGCACAAATGCTGATTTCTAGAAAAGGCTGATTTCCTCTGGCCCAGCTATGTGTTAATGTTTGCATGGTTTCATCAATGACAGCTGCATCTATTAACTCGTTCATCAGTCTCACAACGATTCTTCTAAGGAAAATTCTGCGCTGGGTTTGGGGTGCAGGGCTTTGTGTTTCCTTCAAAGCCCCAGGGAGGAAAGGGAGAATAAAATGGAGAATAAGATCTCTCAAATAGTTTTTTGCTCACTTATCCCCTGGTCTCAGGACCAGCTCCATCCCTAGGACTTCCAGTTCTGGTTAACAGGAGAAATGGCCTCAAAGCGCCAGGAGAGTTTTTGTCTCCAGGGCAACTATAGAGATGCACTGTAACCAAGGCTACAGCTTGGAGGCAGAGCCTTGACTGGAAAGCAAAGCAAATACACCTCGAAACCGTCCACTATGGGCAAGGAGTTGGAGTCTCCAGACAACGGAGCAACCAGGCGCCTCTTGCAGTCCTCGTACCTGGGGTTAAGTTCAACCTGCACACGAGGGGGAAAGCCCTTTCAGTTGAGTTTCTTGCTCTTGTGCTGAGGTAGGAGATGAGATGGCTCTTGGAAATCCATTTAATTGCCGTCGTATACCAGTAATGATTTTAGATTCATGTATTTTTCCTTTGATGGGTCTTGAGAAGGTATACATTTGCAAGGCCAGCGTTTTGTATGTAAGCGAGGTGAGAGCCAGTGTGGTGTAGTGGTTAAGAGCATGGGACTGGAACTCAGGCGATCTGGGTTTAGTCCCCGCTCGGCCATGGAGCCAACTGGGTGACTTTGGGCCAGTCACAGACTCTCAGCCCAACCTACCTCACAGGGTTGTTGTTGTGGGGATAAGCTGGAGGAGGAGAATGATGTAAGCTGCCATGAGCCCTTTGTAGGAAAAAGGCAGGATATAAATCACTATATATATATATAATATTTGCAGAAAGGAGAGAAAAGCAGAGAATGGAACCTATGCAAAGCTGCCAAGGGAAAAGGCAGGTGTTTGGGGGGCAGACTGGCTGGGATGAGTTCTATCCTTCCAACAGGCTGCCTGCCAGGTGGCTGTTTTTAACTTTACCTTAGCTAACTCCACATAACAACCATTTCTCAAAGTGTAATTCCATGAAGTCCAATTCACATGGCAAGTCATCAGTTCAGGGAAGCAGTGGGAATGTGTGGCAATTCCATTCATCCCACACTATTGGCTGTGTTGGCTAGGGCTGATGGGAATTGCAGTCCAACAACATCTGGAGAGGTCCCCAATTCCTGCTTTCCAGTAAACAGCTCTAGCAATTTTTCCCCACGGCTACAAAGGAAGAGGGCAGCGTGGAAAAAGGTTGTGCAGCTTCCATTGAGAACAGGAGAGGCGCTGTGTGGACAAGATGAGAAGGTGGTAGAAAAAAGGGTTTGGCTCAATTTTCTGCCACAAATTTATCAATATGAGCAACTGGGCAAGAGGGAAAAAGGCTCGCTTGCGGCTGGATACAGGTTTAAAGTAATTTAACGGTCATGCCCTCCCCTCAAGTGTCTTGGGAACTGGAGATCTCTTGCACAGCTGTCAGATCCATTTGGTTGTTGTTCCATGCTGTCAAGTTGTCCCTGACTTATGGCAACCCTATCTATGAATGCCCTCCAAAATTTCTTACCCTTGACAGCCCTGCTTAGCTCTTGCAAAAGACAACAACTAGAATTCTTTGGGAAGGCTGTTGCAATTCAAGTGGCGTGCATTCATAATGTGGCTAAAATGTAATAAAGTCTTTCTTTCCTTGAGGGTGGAAAGGCATGTCTGTATGGCAGGTTTGCATGTAGATCCCTTTGCCGATTCTGGATCCATGCATACAGTGGGATGCTGTCTATGTGAATCACCCTGGGAGAAATTCTGCATCTAGCAAAAGTTGGGGCTGGACAAAAAGTTCCTATTCACTGAGTATAACCTGTGCTGTATCTAAGATAGTATTGTCAGTATCTAAGATAGTGCTGACAATTGCAGCTTATGTTGACCTCTTGTTTGTTTCTCACCTGGGCACTGATGACTCCTCTTGGGGCAAGTGATCAGATTGCTCCCTACAACAGTGCTAGGGAAAATGTAACGAAAGAGGTCCTGCCTCAGACCACAGTGTAACTACTCCACTCCACTTTCTTTCATTAGACCTATGCCTCTGCAAGCAACTGACTAGGGGCTGGAGCCAGATTTGCGATGGATCAACTGTGTTTCTCCACTCCCCCTTCCCGTGGCAGGCCCTCCACTACCTGCAATTCCTACAGAGTTAGGGGACCCTGCTGAGTGGGGTGAACTGGATGTATGGGGGAAGAATCCTCAAGAACTAGGCAGAAGGATGTTTGATGGGTAGAATTTGTGGACGGAAGACTTGATAGGTGTACATCATGAAGCTATAACACACCTACATATTAGTCCTGCTGTCTCCAGGGTGGAATTCTACTGGTACCAGTGTGCCTGCAGGCACCTCTCTTGTGCCTTCCTAATCCTCTGGGGTTTTATGTTATTTTTACGGTTTGTTTAACTATTATGTCTTTTAAAAATAATGGGAGGCTGGCATCCAACAAAGTAAAATGCTATCCCCAGCACCCTATTTGGTTTTGAAAGAGGGGTTTTGTGTTTTGGAGTTCCATCTCCACCTTTGCTTTATACCTAAATTCTTAGTTAAGATCTTTTTTTTCTACCTAGCATTCTGGTGCTGAACGTGGCTGAAGGTAAAATAGCAGGGATTATAATCTATCGAGAAGAAAGACAGCCTTTGCCGATAGGTTTGCAATCTAGAAAAACATGGCACACAAGGAGAAGGATGAGAAAGGAAGAGGAAAGGCCTACATAGATTCAGGCCCTATCAACTCCTAGAGAAACAGTAGAACTGAAGGGGGCCCTGATGTTCCCTTTGCCTTGCCAGTTTGCCTTCTGGGAAATGAGCCATTTCTGACCCACTGTGCTCCCCATGGTAGCCTTTTATGAACTGATGAGCCTTCCCTCACCCTGCCATGGTAGTCATTTTGTTAGTGACAAGGGTGGATAAAACACTCTTTGTTTTAACGCCCAGTTCCCAATCCAGGCAATACTGGCAGTTTATTCAGACATGTGTGTGAGATTTAAAACCCCTTGAGACAGGATTCGAGTAGGTACAAGCAGTTTATTCCATACAAAAAGAGTTTGCAAAGGCTGGCTCAGTGCCTCAGTAGTCTGAGAAACAAAGAGCAATCTTTTACTGTTTACAAGAGATTTTATACATTCCTTCCCCCATGCTCAACACTATCCCCACTTCGCCATTGGCTGGTTACTAAGAAGCCACAATCTTCCCCATCTGCCTATATCATACTACTCCTTAATATGTTCCCCCCTCCCGCTCGTACATCCCATGTTCATGCTAATGGGCCTATTAGCTATGAGAGGTGTGTCATTTACTATTCATAAACTTATTACGCTTGTGCAGTACCTTCTAAGAGGTCAACAGGCCGAAGTGGCCTTGAAAATTCTTACCTGACGTCAAAATGTTTCTTAAATCTTGTGGGGAGGATGAGATAATGAGAACAGGCCTTTCTCCAGGCTCGTTATCGCCAGTTGTAAAGTAATCCATTGTCTGCTCTCCTCCACTGAAGGTGACAGTTTTACCACTGTCCCCCAATTTTACCCCTTCTGGTATTTTTCAGAACTTTTTATATAAGAAACCTTATTACTCTTAGAACAACCATTTACATGTTTTGATTGTCAGGCTTTTTTTGCCTTAAGAGACTTCAATGATCCTGTCCTATTCCTGTTTTTCACCCTTCACACTTAGTAACATTTCATTTCTCACATATGGGAAATACATGCAGCATGCAGGCAGCCCCTGAACCCATATTATGGCAAAGCTTTTGCTCATTTGTCCTGACATTAGAATAGTTATAACATTCTCTCCAAATTTCAGATGGCCCAGGAAGGTTGGGGATCCTAGTGTTAGGCCATTACATCTTTATATACACAAAGCTTCCTTAATATACCTGTCTTTGATCTATTGGACCCAAGTGCCATGAACTCTGCTTTGTAGCAGTTCCCGAAGATCTCAGGCAGGAGTTTATCCTAGCATGCTACCAGCCTGAGTTTAGAAATAAATGTTTAAAAACTCTGGAATTTCCAAAAATGGAACCTCAGGAATGTTTAAATGCAAAGTGCATCCTTTACCCCCTCATCTCTGGCTCAACTCCTCATCCAGGGGCAAACTCCTACCCTTCTTAATCCACAATGCCTATTAGTAAATGCTAACAGAATGATCATTCTAGATCTCAAGCAAGCCAGCCAAGCCAACGCTCGCAGGAAAAGGCATAAAACTGGCAAATTCAGTGCCCAAATCTGCCTTGGGAATTCTCAGTAGGAATTATCCCCAATCCAAAATACAACATGAAGGCATGCTCTTGGATACTGGGAGAGCAGCTACACCAGCGTGCTATCCATAAGGAAATGCTACTGGGTGCAACACTGTGGTGGAAATAGCAGTTCATACTGTCAGTTGAGGTTTGACTGCAATCCGTGAGCTAATTTCAAAAGCTCTTGGCAAAGGATAAGTTCAGACCTCAAGCTGCCCCTCCCTCAGGAGATTGCTGGGTGGGGAGAGATGTGGGGCAGTGCTGGCAGAAAGAAAAAGGGATGGTTCCACACAGTTCAGTTGTTCCCACTCAGTTTGGCTCTGGCCTTGCCTCCCACTGGTGCAAAAATCCTAGCAGACTTCTCTCTGGGATTGTGGCCTTCCCACTCCAGCTTCCATGCCAGCTAAGGAAGCAGTCTTATCTCCTGGCCTGGCTCAGCAGCTGGTTTTGCTGGGGTGAAGTGACAGTGTATAGGGCAGGATAAGGCCCAGGTCCCCACTACTGACCTATGGGGAAGAGGACTAACTCTCGTACCTGACAGCCTCTCCAGGCAGATTCATCTGATTCTGCAGAGGAGGCAGAGGGCTTTGCAGTGTCAAGGTTACCTAGTGAAGATTCTCAGGTAGTGTGGGAACCAGCACACCTTGGAAGAAGAGGGACAGATTTCACGGCTGTGTGGGACGCAATAGAAAGGGAATTCCATGGCCCAGTCAGGAGACAGCAGGCAACCTGAGTAGACCCATGGCATGTAGTCCTCAAGCCCTGAGGGTGGAGGCAGGAGCTTTCCTGAAAGGGACAGAAGAAGTTTCGGTTTGGTTTTAGCTCTTCACGTGGACGGATGTCTCTCCCGCATCTCAAGCAGAATGAATGCTACTTTGATTTGTACTGTTCTGCAACCTCTGCTCAGTTTAATAAAATCAACTGTGCTTTTAAGGTTTCATCAGAGTCCAGTGGAGAGCGAAAGAGAGACCTGCTCGCAACCGGACCTATTAATAAACCCCATTACTGCAGCCATTTTCCTTTTGCCTCTGGGGTAGTGACCACAGGCTAGGCTGTGTCTCCACAGGGACCTAGATTTGGCCCACCAGCTGCCAGTCACTGACTCATATGCCATGACGTTTAGGACTTCAAGGACAAGCTTTGACTGGGTCCATGGAAGAAGAAAAGAGCAACAGTGAAGGTGAAGAAATGAGAGCCAAGCTGTTTATGACACCAGCAGCTAAGTTAATACAAGCAAAGGAAAGAGCAGAAAGTTTTGCTAAAAATAAAGAGGTAATGTTTGCTTCCTTACACCCTGCACAGGGGTGGACGTAAATGAACTCATATAGTTTTAAGGATGATAGAGCAGTGCAGTTATAGATGCTTTTTGCAATCTGTTCTAAGAAGACTATCAGTAAAGTCTATCAGAGATTTTGCATAATCCCTGCTCAAGTCTGCATTCTGCCATTTGCCCTGAATTTAAAACCTGCTCTGCCATATGTCTCACTGGATGACCTTGGGCCAGTCATGATCATTCTATCAAAAGATAAAAGTTAAGGGTAGGAGAGTCATATGTATGACTCTGAGCTTGTTGGAGGAAGGATGGGGGAAAATACAATGAAACAATGCGAGGACATTGATCCTGTTGCAAAAGACACACAGTTGAGTAACATTGCTTCATATCTGTTTCTTAAAGAAGCAGAAAAAAATCTGAAATACAAGTGGTCATCCTATTTGTTCATCAGGCCTAGAACTGCATATTAGTGTTAGTATTCTTAGTATTGTTCTATGATGTCCTTTTTCACAAATAAAACAATAGAATCTTAAAAGAGTCAAAACCTTAAGACAGTAGCACACATGCCTAGCTATAAAAGATGTGATGTAACACCATGCCTGAAAGTCAAAGAGTTTTTTAAAAAAGCAGTTATAATTCTGGGCAGCCCCAACCCCAACCCTCACCCCAACCCTTTGCCTGCCAAATGGGTCTCTGCAGACATTGGAGGCAGACATTCTGTGGCAGATCTTGATAACCTGACAGGCTGCAAACAAGATCCTGGGCAGCCAGGCCCTAAGCCAGGGCTGTTGAACCACTGTCAACCCAAGCGCTGAAAACAGTCAAGGACTGCAATCTACTGCTAAAGCGGGTTGGAGGCAAAATGGCAGGGATCACAATCTATCCTTAAAAAGACAGTCCTTGCCCGTGGGTTTACAGTCTGGAAAGACATGACACACAGGGGAAAGAGAGGGGGAAGACACAGGCAGAAAGAAAGCAGACTGTCAGCAGGGCTAGAGGAATAGCACCGCTTCCCTTCTCATCACTGCGAGAAGGTACAGTCCAACTGGAGCAGCCGCCTTGTTTCCTTGGCCGTCCCTGGCTCCCTTATTCTTTCTGCGTCGGCTAGAATGTTTGGTGAATCTCTGCCTCTCCCCGCCTTCCCCGAGAAAATGTGAGGATGTGTCACCACGGGGGTGGCAGGCAGCACTGCTGAGGCACCGCATGGGTTTCATGCATCAGCTGCGCCTCTGCTACTGTCGGAGTTACTCTGACCCAAAGATTCGCCCTGGTGCAGCTCTGACTTTGGTCTCAGTGTGCAGTCAGAAAGGAATGCCATTGTCTTGATACAGATGCTGGGAAAATAAGCAGGGCAGATGCAGTCTGTGTTCCAACTCGTGATTCTCCCTGCCCTGAAATCTGGCTGCTGGTGCTGGGGAAAGAGGCAGGAAGCAGCCGGCCACATCGTTCCCTTTTCACAACACATCTGCCATGTGTGTTTTTTCTGTCCAGGCACACAACGCCTGCAGGGAATTGATCCGATCCGTAGCCCTCACTAGGATTATCTATGGAGATGGACACTGGCGGCTGGCAGAGGCACTCGCCAATCTCGCTCACAGCTACGTGATGCTGCAAGGTGAGGTTTTCTCCATGGTCTCTCAGGGCCAAGGAAACTGGAAGCTAACCTGGTGCTGCTGAGGAGCGCAGCCATAGCAACGTGATGGGCTATTTGGCTACTTCTGCCACTGCTGACATGGTAGCCAAGTGCCCTCTTTTGCAACCGATTGTCCTCTATTTGAAAAGCTGCCAGAAATAGATCCTTTACTTTTTGGTGACGGTTGTCCCCTTTTTTTGGCACTTTATAAGCAGTCACACCATGATGTCCTGTGAACCCGCTGATGGTAGTGTTGCCACTTTTTTTTTGCTCCCGGCAGGCCTTCAGTGTCTTTAACAGACAGAAATGGTTAGCTAATGCTTGTAGCAACAGAATCTTGAAATGGTGATGGTGGGAATTTATTTATTTATGAAAAGCTTTTGTTTGCTGTCCTACCATACCAGATCTCAGGATGGCTTACAATATTTAAAAAGACAATTAAAACAACAATTTCAATAAATAATGAAACAGAACAAAACAATAAATCACAAAACAATCATAGCGACTAAACTTAAAAGCTATTAAATTTTAAAATACTGTTTAGATAAAAAGGTTGTGGCCTGGCGCCGAAAAGAGTATAAACTTGGTGCCAGGTGTACGTTCCAGAATGCACCTGTTGAATTTCTATCTGCAATCGAGTGGTTAATGACAGGGCCTTCTTTATAGTGGTGGTGGACAGAACCACAGCAGGATCACGAAATACCTCCAAAGTCTGTTCTTACTGTGGTAATAGCAGCTGGGAAGAGATGTGAAAAGAACATTGATTTTCACATTTCCCCACATGAGGCTTGTGTCTTCAAAGGCGTGCTCTCTCCATGTAAGACGTTGTAATCCACCTTAGTTTTTAGCTGGGCGAGAATAATGTAGGAAAGACCTAACCATACTTTTAAGAATGAAATTTTAAAAATCACAGGGGTCACATAGCACTGGGAAAGAAGATTAGGGATATGCTGCCATCTAGTGGCTGTTTCATGTATTTATAATGGACTGCAGAAAGAATTCCTGTGTTGGTTGGCTCCAGAAAAAGCAGCGGAGAGACTTGGAACTCCTTACAGACCAGGGGCAGAATCCTACAGCTGCTAGATCCTTCTAGATGACTGCAGAAGACCTCAGATTTCCAGCTCTGGCCAAGATCAGAGCTGGGACTCCGAAGTCAGATGCCTTCCCTCCATACCAGCTGCAACGCTACTGTCACAAGAGCGACTGCAGAGAAGCTATTTGGAGAGCATTCCAAGGGGCCAGATGGGAGGAAACAGGCTCTGCCAGCCCAGCAAATATCCTGTTGACCATCTCAGCCACCCCTTCTCTCACCCTGGGGCAAAATGGCCAACTGCATATTTTGCAGAACGGGAGGAATGTGGTAGCAACTATAGCCTCCATCCTCCTTCCACCCTCCATAGGAGGCCCATTATCTTCCAAGCTTGCTGTTTCACAATGAAGTACAAATCTGTAGCTAGAGGAGCTTATCATGCTATCATGCTTCTCAAAGCCTAATTTGTTTTTAGAGGAGGAACCTGGCACTGCACAGAGATGAAACCTATTTTAAACAAATAAGAGATGACCGGTTTAAAAACCAGAAGCAACATAAACAATTAAAAAAAACAATTAAAAATCAAACTGAGAGCAACATCTCAATTAGAAGCAAATCGAAATAAGTGGGATTTCAAGGCCTATTTAAAGGACAATACAGGTTCACTGCTCCAATTTTTTTTAAAGATGCAAAGCAGTTTGTAATGGTTGTAAACAAAATAAAGACAAAAAGGAGGCCACAAATACAGGGCTACCACAGAGAAGGCCCTGCCTCATATGCCCACTGATCTATTGACCATGATTCTCAGCCCATAAGCCAAGCCTCTGAGAAGGATTTTGAAACTGGGGCAGCTTCATGTGGGTGCTAGCAGTCCTTCAAATAACCTGATCCCAAACCCTTGAGGACTTTAAAGGTTAATACTTGTTATATCAGCTGAACAGTTTAGGGATAATTTTCTTACTCAGAGCCCATTAATTTTTTTACTGCAGGGGTGCAAATACTCAGGCCTCCTTGCATCCCTCCCAGCCATACCACTTGCGTTAGCCTCACCCCTTTCCCCCACCTGATTTCCCAGCTTTTGTAGTTTCCCTACACTCTAAAAGGTTGAAATGCTTCTCCCAAGGCTTAGTTACTGGAGGAAGAGATTTAAGCTGAATATGCCCATATTTTGCCCCATCCCTATTATTTGCCTTTTGCTCTGTTCATTGTTCCAATGTGACCCTGGAAGGTTTTCTGGAATAGAATTCAGCCTGGGGCTGAAAGAAGTTCCACAAGAACATTTGGTGGAAAGGCGAGGAGAGAACTAATGTAGGCTAGCACACACTTTCTTCTGTATTTTTAAAGTAACCTGTCTTTCTAAAGTGTTCTTATTAATTTTCCCAGGTCTTCCTGTTCAAGCTATGCACCATGCAAACTCAGCCAAGAATATCATCTTCATGGGAAAAGCTTACCCATCAGCATCTGCAGATGACAGGGGAAATATTTTGAGTGTCCTGGTGACCATCTACTATACTCTGGGCATAGCGAATCTGATGCAGAAAAAATATCCTTGCATTGCAATGGCCAGAGCGGCTGATTTGGGTGCATAACCCCAAGCAAACCTTGTACTCAGCTATACAGCTCACTGGGGGACAGGGGAAGTCCTTTGGACAGTTGGTCTACCTCACAAGTTTGCTGTGAGACTAAACTGCTTCTGTAAGTTCTTGGAGAAAAGTGACTTGCAGTTTGGAAAATTAATTAGGATCTCACAAAAACATGAATGTTACACTGGGGATCTCGTCTTGAAGAAGTTGTACACCAGCCATGCCTTCCAAAGGTGCTGGACTACAACTCTCATCACCCAGGCAGAATGGCACTTTGCTGCGCTGTCTGAGATGATGGGAAACATAGCCCATCACAGCTGATCAGCACCAAGAGGAGGAAGGCTCTTGCAAGGCACTGCCCAACCAGCAAGGGGGTGCTGTGTATGGATGCAGACATCCAGGCTAGGATAATGGGGTGTTATCCCAATCCACGCATGCGACAGGGGCTGGCAGTTGCCTCAGAAAGCAGACACTGGAAGGTGGCAGCACTGTGTTGGTGGAGAGAACATGTAGGGATGTACTGATGTTGTAAAATGTATTCTGTCTACATGTCATGGATTGTCAGGCCATGGAAACATTTGTTCCATTGTCCTCTCATTGGCAGAATCAGATACTATGAAAATGTGTTCTTACAAGAGTCCACTAGGCCTAATCCAATGCACAAGCATTTAAAGGAGCAATTATGTGAGTGTTTAGGCAGAAAAAAGGCCTACAATTCCCAGCATGCCGCAGGCAACCATGCTTAAAGATTGTTCTTTAAGACTAGGCAAAATAATTGGTGCTTCAAGGTCGGTTGGGGGGTGTTTATGCGTGTGGTTGTTTGTTGTTTAAACACAATCTGTTAGCACGATTGGGTTTTCCCTGACATTTCAACTGGCAAAGAATCCTACCACAATTTGCAGAAGTCTGAAAAGTTTGTGAAAGAACTGCAGGGGTCTGATTTCAGAGGGATTCCTGAACTTAAAGTATCTGAGAAAGACCTTCTTGCAGCATTGGGCAGGTAAACTGAAGACCTATAGCCTGATTCTGAGCTGGCCAGGTTCCCGAACTATATATGCAAAGTGTAAAGTGCTTGGATATGTATTTGCAATCCTATAATTACTTACCAGACAACACCCATCATTGAGTTTGGTGGCTGGGTTCAGACATATCTTTTAAAACACGAACAACCCATGGGGGTTAACCATGAACAACCCATGAAGAAAACTGACAAGTTTGTTGTCAGATTATAAACTGTGAGTTGTTGACCAAGGTGCATTATCTCAGCTGGGTTCAGACAATACAATAACCCACACTTCTGCCCAACAACCTACATACAACCATTGAGTCAGGTTGTCTGAACCTGAATCATTGTTGTCTGAACTTACTCACTGAGACTTAATTCTGAGTAGATATGTATGAGATTAGACAGTTAATGCAGTCCTGAACCCTGAGAGATCTCAAGAACCTGGGACTTTCCCATATTTCCTGACTTCATTATAAGGATGAAGATTTGCTGCTGATAATGAGGGCTATGCAAATCGCAGTGCATATAGCCTTTCGAAATCAAACCATGCAGCAGCACCTGTTAACATCTAAGACTGTTATTCATTTATCGGCAGCTACTTTGACTTTTTCCTGCTTTTATTGGGAGCAGGGGTTCTTCCCAATTTTAATTTGTTATACATGCTCTGATATCTCTTTATGTGGAATGGTTTATCAATTCTATTATAAATACGTAGGAGCTGAAAATCTGACTGCAACAGTTCTTTTCTTCTAGGGCCAGTCTACAGAAAAATATGCTAGATTTGCCAGCAAAGCATTTTGAGAAAGCAATTGATATTATAATTACATCTGAAGGAAAGAGCGCTCCGGAATTGATCGATCTTTATTTGGACATGGCCCGAAGTGAGCAAGTGAAGAAAAATCATGAGAAATCCATAGGATATTTATTACAGGTAAAGAACCTCATAATAAATATGGGCACAGCAGCATGAGAACTGAATTTATGACTTCAACTTCATAGAGCTGCTAGTTGTCCTGTGTGTTAATCTGACTAGGAAGCAACCTTCAACGAGCTGCCTAAGGAAAAAGCCCCATTAAATTTAATGTGGCTTCTTTTGAGACTAGACATGGATTTGACTGCACTTTAAAAATTACAATTGCATCTACCTTGTTATATAAGTATAATGAGAAAGCAAGCTTCCTGACCTTGAAGCTGCAAAAATATGGAAAGTATCCAGTCAAAAGCTATGAAGTAATGGTTGGGTGGGGTAAAACAGAAATCAAAGAACCCTTCTATCCAAGGCATCTGTTGTGCATGTGTGATTCCTCATTCATGGTAGCTTGCAATCCTTTCTATGATGTTGTCACCCTTCAGGGCCTCTTCCATTCTTTGCAACCATTTCTGCAGGGTTTTTTTTTTTTTTTAGATGAATGAAACTCTCCTTTATTTGCATAGCTCTGCTGTGCATGTTGCTACCTGTTGGCTTTGTAAAGGAAAGAAATAACCCCCCCTTCTGGGGGAGGGAAACACATTAAGGAACAGATTTTAATCCTGCAGAGAATCTGGAAGCAGATGCCTTGGTAAAGTGACAGTCCTGTAGAAAAGTCCAAGGTTCTCAGTGATCATGGAGTTGGGCTTTAGTGGCCCATGAATCTTTCCCTCCACAAGCACCAAGAGGCATACACTGTGCAAGATCAGCAACTGTGTGTGGATGACCATGGATTGCATAACTTGTGCAAGGTGAATAATTCAGCTTTTCTTGGTGCAGAGTTCAGATTGCTTTATTTTAGCAATGAGTGTAAATCCTGGCCACAGAATGCTTTTATTTATGCACAGAATTGCTTTCTTAAGGCCTTGAAAAATGAATGAAAAGGTAGTTCATTGCAGTGATACTGTCTTTACCTCCTCTGCACTGTATTATGTCACTGTAGCTGTATCCAAGCTGCCTTGCCCATTTTTGTGAACAGAAGTATCATTTACAGCAGGGGTGAGCAATTAATTTTCCTATGGGGCCACCTGAAAAACTTTGACAGTTGTTAAGGGCCGGACCAATACACTTACAGCTCTGCTCAATATGTATCTCTATAAAAACAGTAAATGAAACATTACAATGATACAATGAAAATGTGGAGCACAGAACAACACTATTTAATGAATATTCACAAAAACATTAACATTAAAATTACATGAAAAGCAATAAATTCAATTCAATTTAGCAGATCCTTCAAAATAAAAGCAGTGCAGTTGTATTGCTTGCATCTGTATTACGACGATATATATTTGCATTGACTTTTAATTTGCCAGTGACCTTCTGCGGGCCAGTCAGGGTCAGCCATCGGGCCGGATGTGGCCCGCGGGCCGTACAATGCCCAGGTCTGATTTACAGGGTGATCTGATACACATGTATTCAGAAACAAGTCTCACTTGGTTTCTTCATGTAAGTGCACATGGGACTGCAGCCTTAACATAAATAAACCATCCTTCTCCAACCTGTTGGTCTCCAGATGCTTGGATGTGCTGCAACTCCCAAAGGCCATGCTGGACGGGAGTTTCAGCTCAACTCATCTGGAGGGTACCAGCTTATGGAAAACTGAAACACAGAATAGAGCCTTGTCAGTAAAATAAATGGAGGCCACAGACATACGTTTCTTAGAGCAGAGGATCTGCCTGGGAAGTATCCTTTCTGAGTTAAGATGCCCCTCTTTCTCTCCACATTCCTCTTCCTCTCTGTGTTTAAGTCTGGGATGGAAGAAACAATTGTGCAAGGTTGAAGCAGCAAGCCTGGTCTTGTTGTTCCCTTACAAGGCACTGACATTCTGAAAATCCTTGGCAATGCCCCCCCCCTGCCCCCACCTCCAGAGCAGTTTTGCACTTCCCCTACCTTTAAAAAAAATGATACATTGATAAATGTAGAGCTCAGCACATGGACTATTCCTACAAAGTTTTTGAAAATGGCAATGAGAACAGGCTGTCTTGAGCAGGGCAGGAGAGAATGGCTGATGGCTAAACTAATGTATGAATTTCTGTTTGTCTGTCCTTTCAGCTGTAAAGGCGGGAGAAAGCCCAGCTCATCCCATTGTGGAGGCATGTGCTGTGTGGTCTCTCTCCCTCTATCACCTGTGTCATCTTTACCTGTATTTTCTAGTCCTCTTGGCTTCAGGAGCTTAAAATGTGGATGCCTTTATACTATAAGCAGCCACCGTAACTGTGATGGTCAAGGAAGGAGAATGCTTTCTCTCGCAGTGGCTGTAGCCCAGCTCCCGTATCCTAGGCAAGATGCCTGGGAAGACCAGCTGCTGGGGGCACGGAGCAAGGGCGCTGGGCACTTGTGCCCTGCCTGTGGGATCCTGCGGGCAGCTGGTTGACCGCTGTGTGAACAGAATGCTGGAAAAACGAGCCCTTCTCCTAATCCAAGGTGGCTGTTGTTGTTCTTAAGGCACACATGATTTGTTTGATCATTTTTCCTTCTCTCGACATGGAATAGTTCTCCCACTGAGATTAATGATGGCTGTGTTTCTTCTGTTCTGCTTAGGTTTTTTTTTAAATTTTGGCTGCTTTATTATCCAGCTGAACAGCAACTGAGTATTTGCCATGTCTAGATGTATGAATGGCTGCTGTACTGGGGAATGCTATCATGGGCCTTTCCCTCCTTTGGTCTGGGAGACAGCAGTAAACTGCCAATAAATTCATCTTGCCAAAATTTGTAAATGACCCGAGTCACAACTTGACATTTCTGACTTCTGGGCACCCCAAGAAGTTGTTTTCCAGGGTAGGATTTTCAAAATGTGCTGGTTGCTCTGTTTGCTTTGCAGTAAATAGCACACCACTTCCATCTAACTTGCTTTTCTCTGTGCAGCTGCACACTGTGGGAGAGCTTATTATGCTCCGCTGCCCTAGCTTTGCTTCGGGAAGAGACAGAGATTATGGTCTGGAAGTGGGTTCTAATCTCTGGGCTATCAGCAGGACTATGTTTTGTGGGGAATAGACTGCCAGCTATTTTGAGGCGCTACTGAGAACTATCAGGCTGACAGAAGACCTGTACAATGTTATGAACCAACAAGGCCTGCTCTTCCCAACAGGCCCATTCCCTTTCAGTGGCTCTGCATACGAAATTCAGTGCTGGAGCTGCATCAACAGCACTGGCACTGGGTAAAGCATATGCTGCAACTGGAGAAGAAAAGTATGCAGGTAAGTAGGTAGGAAGGCATGGTGGCTAATATTGTATTGCCTTCTTTGCAACATATTACTGGACTGGATAAGTGTATTTTATCCTGGGGGCCGCTCACTTCAATATTTCTGCCACTGAGAAATATTGAGTTGATGTGACGGAGGCAGAGTCCAAGGCTCAGCTCTCTCTCCTTACACACATGTGCATGAAGCCCCTTAGGGCAGCCTTCTTCAACATAAATGTGGGGGGCGTAAACCAACCCAGTGCCCTCCAGTTGGACAACTTGCGTTACTCTACGGCCATGGCTCAGGATGATAAGCACCACAGTTCAGCACTTAGGGCGAGAGAAAACTGAAGAAGGCTGACCTAAGCCCCCTCCCTTGCATTTGTGTGTTAAACAAGGACCGGTGGTCCTGCTCTAAGTCTGAATCTGCCATGGGTCCTGAATCAGTGACATCAGGGTAGGACTTCAGAGCCGATATCCAAGATCCCATTCAAGGGAAGGAGCATGAAGGCCTGCTCCATCTCCAGCAGGGCAGGCTTGCTGCCTGTGGAAGTTCCACACGGCCCAGTCTGAAGTGAGGGAGGGTATTCACCCATTACATCCACGGTGTGTCACTGGCTCTGTCTTGTCCAGAACTGCCACTTCTCTGACTGGTCAGGCCTCCCTAAACTGGGTCCCTAATGCAGTGCCAAAGGAGCTACCCCGGCACCCATAAAGCTCTTCACTCCCAGCTCCTTTCCAAAAATACTGTAAAAATATTAAGATACCAGAGCTTCTTCCTGTTCTTAAACTTGCCACTGATCGGCTGTTCGGTGAGAAGAATGAGAAAGCACGGCAAGGGGGTAGAGGGAGAGAAAAATCAAGGCTAGAGGTGAGGAGAATGGAAAGGTAAAGAAGTGGTGAGGAAAAGAAGAACAAGGTCAGATGCTAGGAGTGGAAGGGAGAAGGCCAGGCAGAAGGTGTGCAAGGCTACAGGGGGAGTGGTGAGATACAGCAAGGCAAACATTGTGTGTTTGTGTGTGTGAGAGAGAGAGATGCTAGGAACTAGGGAGGGAGGGAAAGTAGAGGACAAAGGAGGGGGCAAGGAGAGAAAGGGCAAAACTGGGAGACGGAGCAGAGAACAAGAGGGAAAAGTCTTTGTGGGAAGAAGACAACTGGGCAGGCCAGGAAGTAGCTCTCTCCATGTCTTCTTCCTTTCCACTCACATCTTCCCTGGGATGTATTTTGTGGTAGTGCCCCACACGATTTCCTCCAATTCCCAAATGTGCCCACAAGTTCAAAAGGTGAGGGGAGAGACCTTGCCCTACCCTACCACTTGAACTCCTCTTACAGGGCTGCTAGGAATTGAACCTGGTGCCTTTGACATGCAAAGACACCTGTGTCTCTACTTGTGAGCTGTTTTACAGTTGTTAAATGGGTGTACATGGAGCTAAGATTTGGCTTTATTTATTTATTTAGAAAATTTCTAGGCCGCCCCATTCGCCGAAGCCTCGGGGCGGCTTACAAATAAATAAATTAAAATACACAAATAACAATATAAAATACACATAACTGTATAAAATAAGTTGCCCTGGCCAAAAAAACTTTAAAATAAAAATAACATTAACAATTAAAATGACGCTTGAATAAAAAGGTCTTCGCCTGGTGCCGAAAAACAAATAACAACGGCACCAGGCGGACCTCTCTGGGGAGCGCAGTCCATAGATTGGGCGCCACCGCAGAGAAAGCCCTCCTCCGAGTACTCACCCTCCTAATATCCTTCACGGAGGGTTCCCGGAGAAGGGCCTCTCTTTTTGCTGTTCTGGAATGAGAAATGATGCAATAAATTTCTGAGCTGGCTCTTAAATGGGTTTATTCTTCCAGATGGATGACTTAGGCTGATGCAAATTATAGATTTAATTAAAAAATGCATTGCACTCATTTTCTAGAGGCTGCTGAACTGTATCTTGGTGAAAGTCTGATGTCCTATAAAGCGGCTCTGGGAATGGATCATCCTAAGGCAATTCATGCCCTGGAATACTTCAGTAAATGGCTTGGACGAGTGGGGAAAAGGAAGGTAACAGCAGCTCCAGCAGAATGTGGCCACGCAAAAGGGTGCAGAAGCCAGAGGCCACACCGCTGCTCAATTTGCAGGAGACGGGTGGCACTGGGAAGCATTCTCAACATCTGACTCCAACATGAGGTCCGTTTGGGGCAGGGGAGAGTAAAGTCCCCCTTCCTCACATGCTGTGACTCCTCCTAAAATCAGCTTCTGTATAGGAGGTCCCTTTTGGTTCTAGCCCCACGGAGCTCCCAGTATGCCCTGGCATGCCTGGCTTTTGTAGGAGTTTTTCAGTCTAGACACGCATAGGATTATACCCATATTAAATTACTAACTCAGAGAGCTGGCAGTATCTAAATCAGTGGCAATCCCTTTATGTTCCTGCAAAAATAGCTATCTATTATCAGAGAGAAAACAAAGACCATCACATAATAAAGCATTCTGATGGTTTATTTTATTTTTGTTTTGATTTCTTGAAACTCACAAATAATTAAGGAAAAAAGGGAGAACAAAGACAGTTTGTCTTAAAAGGAAAAAAAAAATCCCAGCATGAATGCAAGCACAAAATGCTGCCATATGGTCCAGTGTTTGTAGTTAGCAGAACATCACTCACATAGAAGCACACTTCCTTACTGCACTAGGTAAGCTAATATATTTCAATTATTTTTTCTTCTTCTTTTGCAGCAAGCCTATGATTTACTCAAAGAGTCATTTAAATCTCAGCAAGATCCCTGTAGTGATTTTAATAAACTGGCAGTTGAAAGATTATATATTATGGGCTGCATCTGCCTAGCAGAGGAGAAGATAGAGGAAGCATATCAACTGCTCAGTAAGGTAATTGGGTGAAAACCTTGAAAATTTAAATGAAAACGGCTCTTTTTAAGCATTTTTTCCCCCACAGAATCCATATTTTTAAGGTATAGGACCCATTTGAGCTGAGCAGTTTAAATGATCTACTAAGCCCTTAGGTGGGGATTGCTTCTGAGAGCTGAGAGATTTTGGCTAAGTCAACTGAAGAGAGGTTCCTTGTACCTCCAGCACCAGAGATTTTAGGTCAGGTAAGAGGATCCAGTGGATCCTTCAACTAAACTTTTGGTTTTGAGCTGTGTTTGGTTCCCCTCTTAAAACATTTGCCAAGGGCAGGAGGACCTTGAAGCAATGGCTGGAAATGGCAGGGAAGTGACATGAGGAGAAACTTTTTAACAGTGTGGGCTGTTCAGCAGTGGAGTGGGCCACCTCAAAAGGTGGTGGGTGCTTCTTTAGTGGGGGTATTTCAGCAGAGACTGGCTGCCCAGCTGCCAAAGAAGCTGCAGTGGTACCCTGTAGTGCAGTCCTTGCACTGAGCATGTTATACCAGATGATCTGCAATCCCCCTTCCAATTCTGTGAACCTAAAATCTGTTAAGGAGTGTTTGGAAACTCTCTAGATGTTGCTGAATGACAACTCCTATCATCCTTTACCATTGGTCAGGTTAGCTAAGGCTGATGGGAACTGGAAACCAACGGACACCCACAATGTCACAGATTCCACATTCCTGCCGTGAAGTTGCAGGATCTAGTCCTAGAATTGATCTAAAACTCACCTCATGAGCCACCAACTTACCATCATCCAAAGGGGAAGCGACTGAAAGACCAAGGTGCATGCATAATGGCCGAGTTCCCACTTCACGGCCACACCCCTGCATGGTTTCCACAGCATATAGATTTTTGCCAAATTTACCAGTCAGGTGATCATGTGATTCCCACAGCGATACCGTTTCCCTGCTCAGGCCTCCCATTTATACCTTGTGTCCTGTAGCCCTGCAAGCAAAATGTCCTTCCTTACGCTATTGCTCCCTATGGGCCTCAGCAGCCTCTTCCTTCTCTCCCACCCAGTGGAAGGTAGTAGAAAACAGGTGGCTAAGCAGCCACTTCTGTGGACTTTCTTTCCATGGGACTATATGGTATTTCCATACCAACAACGGTAAAATGCAGATTCTTGGTCTGGACAACTTGTGAAATGTGACAACACTGTTGATTTCATTTCAGCTCATTGATTCTCACCATGGTTTTGGGCAAACTAAAGGTACCAAGGCTGAGTCTTTACTACATGCAAAACCTACCAGTTAAACACCCTCTTAACCATAGTAGATAAATTCTTAGGATGGATTTTTCCCTCTCTGAATACAAGGAGACAGAATAACCTTTATGTTGGGAAGTGTAAAATTATCCTCTCTTCCATTCTACATCTATGCAGTGTATGCAGATCCAGAGTGCTATTTATGGACCCTGTCATAAGAAATGTAAGAAGGTGCAAGAGCTCCTGGATATGCTGAAGATGTAAGTTTCATCATTAAAAAACATTAGGAGAAGAGTAAAGCCGCAGGCAATAGGATGTTCCATGCCGAGATGCCTGCCCTGTCAGCCAGCAGGACCCTCTGGGAACCTGTCTAAGTCTAGAAGGCTCAATATCAACCAAACTAACCCTTTCCCAGATCTTCCAGAATGGCTGATCAGAGAAGCAGCATGTTCAGCCGATTCGTATCCCAACCCAAGTCCTTATATGCACATGGCCTTCTGTGCAAATCCCCCTCTAGGGGATCCACGCACAATGTATTGCCAAAGCATAACGGATGTGGTAAATCACACCTACCTGTGACAACCCATTGTGTTGTCTTTCCTGTTGTATTGCACATTCTCTTTTGATGCAAGAGGACGTCTGTGCCCATTGTAATCAACACCAAAGCAAGCAGATACAGCAAGAGTGCACTAATTGGTACATCTGTGAATACTATAATTCACATACATAGTAATTGGATAGCATGGATTGCTTGTTTTTCCACAGTGAAATCATTGTGGAAGTAGTTGCTAACCATTTTGCTGTTTAAAGTTGGAATTTTGAGGAATGCATTCCCTTCACTGTGTTTACCTGATCAAGTAAGAGTCTTACAATATACACACAACAGCTTCTAGTTAGAGCTCAACAAACTGAGTGAAGCTGCAGCATTATGGTTCTGTGTAAAAATAACTAATTTACTCCAGCTTAGCCAGTACAGCTCACACTTTGAGGAACATTATATTGCTAGTCAAGAATGCAAATCTGAGCCTGACTGTTTATTGCTTGGTAACACTTCCTTAAGAACAAGCAAAACAGAAATATAATTTAAACAGTTGAGGGCACAATCCCCTGCAACACAGACAAAGGCCAACAACTCTCACCATGCCCAAGCCAGCTATAAACATATATATAGTTATGTGGCACCTTAAATAACTGACTACTGTTTTATTTAATGTGGTGTTGCTGCTCCACATGAAGGAACTTATAAAAACTGTTGGGTAAAACCTTTGTTTCCTCTCCTGCAGGATTCCTGCTCTCCATGAAGGGACCAGATATACAAAGCAAAAGACAGAGACAATGCTAAATTGGTCAATCCCAGAACTCTAGGCCAATGGTCACCTAGTCACTGGAACAAGAAAGGCAGACCTGTAACATCTTCTCTGGATCCCTGTTCAGCAAAGTACTTCTAGCACTGGCTTCTACTGCATTTTTTATTTCACATGTGAACTGGAGATTATCAAACATGCAAATACAAAGGCAGAGGATTGGGAAATTGGCTGCTGTCCCAGGGACCCATAATTATGCAAGGTTATGCTTTTCTTGATTGCTTCCTTATATCAAAGAAACATTTGGGAGCCTTTACCTCCGAAAAAAATCACAGCTCTTCCCCCCTCCCACCCCCCCACACACAGAGGGGTCCAGCCTCTCTATACTCCATCTGCTACCCACAGCAATGAAGCAGGTGGTCAGCAGATGCCTGGAGGGGCAGAGATACTATTTTGCAGGTATTCAAATTAGAGGTTACAATGTCTAATTTGCTAAAACTCACCAGTCATGGATTATATTAGTCATATATTGGTTACTGAAATAAATTATACAACAATACAAAATTGAGTTGTTTTCTGCCATTCACAAACCTGTAAGTCATCTAATTTACGTTAAATGTTATATTGGTCAAGGTCCTTGGCTCCCACTTTAGTTCCAGCCCTATATTGTGATGAGACATTAGAAGCTTTGACAGAAACATTGTCCCTTCCTCCTACCCTTTTTCTAGCATTGTGTGACCAGGCGGAGGCATTCTCCCCACCACCACACCTAGCTAGCTTACATCCAAGTATGTGGCAATGAAGGTCAGACAGACCGCCCTCGTAATGTCAAACCTGGCCAAGACGATTCTCCAGCCACCACAACCCCACCAAGGAGCCAGCCACACAGAGGCGCTTCATCCATCTGCACCAGAAGTGGTTGACTCATAGCCCTCCACATATTTCGGCTGACAGTTCCCATCCTACCTCAGCATGGACAATCTTGATGACAGCTCATGGGAGCTATAGGCCAAAACTCAAGCAGAGCCACACATTCCCACTTGTGAGGCATTGTTCTTCCAGAGAAAGACATTTCTAGTTGAAAAGGATGCTTGCCAGCCTGGGCAAAATTGAGTTCTCTGTCCTAACAGACTTTGCTTCCATTGGACTTTCATCCTTTACGTAAGGAAGACTAGAGTATTATTCTGTTTCTCCTGCCCTGCTCTTTCCCAACTGATCTTCTGGGCAATTACTCTGAATACTTTCATTTTTAATTGAATATCCCAATTTTGAATAATTTTAGTGAACGGAGAAAGAAAAAGAACTCGGCATGACAGTTATATTTCTGCTGCAGTAATGTCCTCATCGGGGGAACAGTAGTATTCCACAAAACAGATCTGTCCATCTTCATTTCTGATCATGTATTGCAATGAGAGAAAGCCTCTGTTATCTGTTCGAATAGACACTTTGCATGATAAAGCCAGTGCTTTTGTAGATGGCTTGAGTAATGATATCTTGTATCTGAAAAGCAAATATGGCCTGTTATAATAAGTTATATATAACCATAGCTATAAGTTCAGCTTATTGCCAATTGTTAGATTCAAACAGATTAACAAAATGACCTACAAAAAGAATATTATACAAATATTTGGAACGTCGTATTTTCCTTTTACGTTGCATTATCAGTTCAGTGATCCCTTCCATCCATGGGACTGGAAGAACAAATGCCAAATATTATCAGCAAGCTCAGAAGACAATGGCAGTCAAGTTAGTATAAGAAGAGATATCCTTATTGAAACTTCCCCATAAAACATCCAGCATAGCCTCCAGTGAACAATACAGATCACACTTCCAGCAAAGCACATGCGGCTGAGTTAATGCAAATGAGCCACCACCAAACAAGAGCAATTTGAACTCAAATTATGAGCATAAGACCAGTGAGATCAAATGGGTGTTGTGTGACTATGGATTTATATAATTTGCTTCAGTTTACCTGTTCGTCTGGGTTTCATTGCAGTGAAAAGCTTCAATTAGATCTGAATCTTTAGGGTAGTCCAGATGTGCACTTCCAGCATTCCCAAAAGTAGATAATCTAAGAAAGAGAGAAATGCACAAGATTAGCACAAAGATAGCTTTTTACAGTGGTGGCAAAACAAATTGAAGTAGTTACTGTGGCAAAAGTGACTGAACCTTAACTATGTTCTATTTCAGATGAACGACTTCTTCTTGAGTATTTTGAGGCTTATTACATCCTGGATCTGCTACTAGTCCTGTCACTGGACTATGTTGCTTAGTATCAAAGTGAATGAGGGTTTGTGGGCATCTGTTGTTGCACCTGCATGATGCCAGCAACAAAAAAGTATCATGACTTGAAAAACTAGACCAATCTGATCCACTTATTTCAGAAGCAAGTCCTGCTTTGCTCAACTCTCTGATGATTAATAGGGAATTGTCCTGAGGAAATACGTATAGACTTATACTCTAAAAGCACCACCTTAAGCAGAATTATTAGACAAGGAATCCCACTGAATTCACTGGAATTACTTTTAGATAATGTCATGGGTAGGGCATTTTGGAGGGCCTTCATTCATAGGTCACCAAGATGACTTAACAGCCCCTAACAACAATTTCTAGGCACCCTTGTTTATGCTGCACAAATGTTTTTGCCATTGTATTATTCATGCATTCTCAGTGGATTTTAGTGTTGCTTACTCCAAAAGGATGTGTGATTATTTTTAATGGATAAAAGATGCATGGACAAGACTTCAATATGTAGTTACTACATCTTTGGTAAGCATGCAATATATATAATGTGGATGCTGATGTCTGTTATCTGTTGAACAGAAGAATCCTGCTCAAGCAATTAAATTTGATGGCACTAGCCCTTTTTGATGAACTCTGCGGAGCCAAGGTATTAAATATACAGGAAGACATCATCTCCTCAGAAGCAGGGTATCAATCATAATTCACACACGCTCTTCCTATTATTCACACTGAGAGGAACATGCAAAGCATAATATACATGAGAAATAGTGACCCATTCACAGCTGTCAGTGTAATGTCTGCAGTTCTTGTATGACCACCCTCTGAGCCACACATTCCGAAGCCATCCTGCAGACACCAGCAGAACTGATCGACTTCAAAAGTAGTAAGGAAGGTGGCTAGAAGGGGAAGGGCCTTCTCAGCTATGGCACCCCAATCATGGAACCAGTACTTCAGGGAGGTGCGCCTGGCACTGACTCCTCATATGTTTCACCACCAGGTCAAAACCTTTTTATTTTCCTGACATTTTAATTGCTGAATGGAAGATTCTGGTTTTATACTGCTTTTTATTCATACAATGATTGGTTGCTGTGGATCAGTTATTATGTTGTGTATTATTATCACTTATTGCTTAATTGGTGTTCATTTTGCTTGAATATTTGCATACCCTGTATATGTTGTGGCCTTATGTTTGATGCAATTTTAAATAACTGTACACTGTTCTAGGAGTGTTTACTATAGAACAGTATATAAAAATTTAAAAATACACTGTAAGAGGCTATCCTCACACAGCAAAGTTCATGGTGGATGTCAGACCTGAACACAGGTCTCCTTGATTAAAGTCCAATTCTCTATTCATAAGATCATCCATGGATTTCACAAGGACATAAGAAGGGTCATGCTGGATCAGGCCAAATACCCTCTCTAGTTCAGCACTCATGACCAACAAGATACCCATCACATACCAAATGCAACATGTATAAAATATGTTTTGTCTATTTTGTCTATTTTGATTGCAAAAGTAACAGCTCTTCTCCTTTCCTTTTAGGTTGAAATCCTATAAACCCTTATCAGGAATTAAGTCCCACTACATTCAATGAAATTTACATGCAAGCAGATAAGGAGAGGAGTGCTCTGTTAGATGACAGGGACTCAGCTCAGGGCATTGTGCATGTAAGGAATATGTTTTGTCACTGAACTATGACCCATGCCCAAGATGGATGTATTTATGCCAGTATGCAGCTTGAACTATGTTTGAAATGATGGATACAGTATTTCTAGTCATTACTACCAAGCTAGATAATTTTTTGTACCTGAAATATGGCTTGTCTGGAGACATTATAATTTGCAGCACATCACTGGTCATATCCAGTTCAGAAAATGCCTCTCGAAGCCCCTCCGACTGCAAGATAATTTTGTTTACAACATTTGTGCTGCAGAAATCGAAGTCAAGGAGCTCTTCAGGTTCTTGAGTGCGGATTTTACACACAGTTAACACACCTCCTTCTTCCAAGAAAAGTGTCAGAGGATATCCATAACCCTGATAGCACAACCGAAGAGCAGTCTGAGTTCCTGAAGTGAGAAGAGAGAGGAGCCTTCGGTATCCTAGAAGAAGCACTTACGTTAGTCCTACAACTCCTATTCTGAATATAAACGGACTTCTGCGAAAGGAGTGTGCTGCCAAACTGCCAAGGGTTTGATCAACCTGTTTAGCATATGCACCATCTGTTTAGTATCAAGCATCTTAATTTAGAATGTAGCTAGGAGTGTATGGGGAAGCTGTGCAACTGTGTTCAACAGAGAGCTACATCTAGCCTATGACGCATCAGAACATGCACGCTGCCATACCTGGTGAAGAACTTGCCCCAAAGATGGTCAAACAGTCTAAAAGGATGGAAAGGTTGATTTTGAACATGACAGATTCTTCTTGTACTACAAATTCTTGGAAAATCCCTGCCTGTAAATTAGAGAGAGAGAGAGAAAATGTGAAGGCAAAAAGGTGAAAAAACGGCATCCTCACAGAACAGCACTCCCCATCTTTAAGTGATATTCCTGTGGCAATTAAATTGACAATGGGCATGTTCTTGGAATGCAACTCCCTTTCACAAGGCAAAGATCAAGGAAGAGAACAGAGCTTTACAAAATGAGGATCAGACAGAGGATGTCAACTTCTAACAAAAGAGAACTAAGCTCTAGAAATAAGCTTTTAAATTTCTTCCTATTCTTATTTTTATTTCATTTGGGACATTGAGTTGGATTAAGATTTACTTGCAAAAGACCAACAAAATTCAATAGGACAAGTCTGTCCTGACTTAAGTCGTGATTCCAATCTAGCCTACCTCATAGGGATGCTATGAGCATAAACTGCAGGCGAGAGAGAAGAGAATAAATATATTCAGGCTTGAGCTCCTTGTAGGAACAGTGGGATAGAAAAGTACAAAATAATACATAAAATACCATATATAGGATTTAAACCTGAATTGAACCCATTAACTTGACTAGCAACGGTTTAAAAGCAAGAAAAAGGATGCAATAAAATGAACAGAGTGTATTAGTGCCAGACCACATTAAATTAGCAGCCTAAACCTAAAGATATGCTATCAAAAAAAGATATGCTACAATAAAATAGCACAGCAGAGAACTGCACTGACATTAGATGTTAGCATCATTTAGATGGAAGATATGTATGCCCTAAATTCCTCCCCTCCCCATATACAAATTGCAAACTAGGGCAACTGCCTATATATTTCCAAAATATTTTTTCTCTTTTGTGCATGCTGCACAGAGAGAACTATCTCTTAGTCATGTTAAGTATAACATTTGCCACAGCTGGAAGTACAATATAACAGCTTGGGACAATGCAGTTGTAGTGCTCATTTAAATGTTCTTTGTATTGTGGAAAGCAAGACCTGCTGAGAAGCTACAGAAGGATCCTTTTAGTTTGCCAGAATTCTGCTTTCCTTCCTTCAGCTGAACCCAAATCTCTGTTATGATTAAAAGAAGTAAAATAATGCCAGCTAACCTGAATAAAAGCATTAGCCTGCAAGCACTTTGCATTTTCCACTGTGACCTTGAGTCCATTTGTAGTAGCAAAGCAGGTAGCATGATCTTTGAAATGAATGGCCTTCAGGATATTAGAGAGGTTTCGGACATTGTCAAGTGTTGCTACCAAAATATTCTGATCCTCGCCTGTTTCAGGCTGGGTTGAGAGGGACATGGCCTTGATCTATTACCCCACACTCTCTTTCGCAGGAGCAAAAACAAGATCTCCAGAAATTTTCAGTGAAAACCTGTAGAAGTCAAATTACATTTCAGTTAACTGGAACAATGATAAATTAATGCAACATAAGTATCATTAATTATATTAATGATTATATCAATGTAATCACAGAATATATTGTTATATTAATTTTTAAATGAGGAGTCACAGAATGCATTTGACGAACTCCCTTTGCAAAAGACAAACAACCTTGCCAAGATAATTTGCTTCATAGTTGCTACAGCATAACAAGGATAAATTGGCTTACAGTTGGAACCCTGGCTGCTGCCCTAGCAGAAAAACACAAGTGACAATTTCTGGGTTGCAAAACCATGCTTCTCTGCCAAATACAACACTTTTCTCTACTCTGCCCATGTATATGGCCAGTGCTCAGTTGCACTGTGTATGTGCCATCAGGACAACCTTCTGATTTATGGCAACCCTTTGAATGAAAGACCTCCAAAATATCCTCTCCATGACAGCCCCATTCAGCTCTCCCAAGTTCAAGGCTGTGGCTTCCTTTACGGATTCAATCCATCTCCTATTTGGTCTTCTGCCTTTGATTTTCCCTAACAGACTTGTCTTCTCCAGGGAGTCTTGCTTTCTCTCGATGTGTCCGACGTATGACAGCCTCAGTTGCGCTCGCTGTTAAAAGTCATTGCTGGCCCTTAGGATGGGAGAATTAGCATGACCTAAAGCATCATTAGGGGTCCTCCCCACCCCGCAGCCCAAAGTCACTACGCTCATCCACCCTGAGAGCACGTGCTTTTAAGAGAACGGTGACAGTTAGAAAATCAACAGGAGCAGCTTTACCTATACTTTCTTCACAGAAATCAGCAAACACCTGCTGAATTTCCACTCTGTTATTCAATTGCCAAAGGCACACGACTCTCACCAGAGGAACTCAAATGGACAGCGTGGAGAATGCCTCAGACTGAGAAACAGTCTCAGCCCATCAGAAAAATGCAGCCAACTTTCGGAAAATACCGAAGACCATCCCGCTTTACGATACGTCGTAACAGCCCGCTCAATCTACAAGGGATACGACTGCAAGAGTAAGATCGAACTTCTGGTACAAATGGAACCCGCAATCCACCATATTTTATTCTACAATTAACATCTCTGTAGGCACCGCCATTTTTTCATTGGTAGAGCAAAGAGCTAGGATTTGGGCATTCCCATAGAGGTCTCCCTTCAGTAGAAAGGTTCCAACCTTTATGGTTCTGTAGATCCTCATTTATTTTCTCTGCCCTGTACGGGATAGAGGGCTTCCCACAGAAACAAACGGAAAAGTCCAGAATCGTGATCCAATTAGAAACAAAACGCAATAGAAATCCTGAGCGGAGTTCGTGGTCTTTCTAACTCAGGTCTAAATTCCTGTGAAACATGTTTTAATTCTTATTAAACGATTAAAAAAACTTGTCAAGAACCATGTCTGAATTCGCTATTAATATTGCAGGGTAGAGGCGATACCAAGCCTAGTTTGAATTTCCAGTCACAAATCTACTTTCACAAAAGAGCACAAGCGCTGCAGCATGTTTTAACTGGAAAACTATCCTACAGCTCCCCAGCTGAGGAATGTTGGGAACTGTAGGTCTTATTTTCTGACTAAACATGCATGGGATTGTAGCCCAAATTGCCTTTTCAGTCTCCCTCTAGACACAGTTCCAAGCTTGAGACCTGAAACGTTGCACACCATAAACTTAAAATTGTAAAGTGTACCTTCCATTTTTAAAGAACCAATTCTACGCATGTTTAGGCAGAAAAAATGGCCTACAACTCTTATCCAGGCTGGGATTGTAAAATATATTTTTTCTAATTATGTATCCTAAATGTTCAAACACGGAAAAAGACGAAAACTACCCCAGATGAACACTTGAAAAAAAACCCCACAGAATAAAGCCTGATTTTAAAAGAGCAAAAACTCCCTACTTGACTTTTAACTTTTGCTTCTAAATGGATACTCTGCTATCCTGTCACACTTATGATAAAATCCTAAATGTCGCCGTTGTTTTCTGTGGGAAGTCTTCACTTACTTTCCAGAGAAAGGTCAATAATAATTTGCAAAAGGATAGCCATATTAACCTTCTGTAGCAAAAACAAGAGAGTATCGCGAAAAAGACAAATATATTTTTTCGAATTGCAGAATCTACACTACACCAGGAACTAAACACACTTCCACTAATACCAGCACAGGAAGCGTGTGTCTATAAGCCCGTGGAGAGGCGCCCGGTAAGTCCTAGAGAGGCCCGATTAGTGAGCGACTTCCGTTTGCAGAGGTGGGCGGAGCTTGAAGGGGCAGCAATGGCGGCGGCGAAGAGGCAGCGTGGGCCCGGCAAGAGAGCCCTGGGGGGCCCGAAGAGAAAACGCGCGAAGAAAAGTTCGGGGGAAAAGGAGGAGAAGGAAGACTCGGTTCCTGCGAGCCAAGATGAGTATCATGTACCACCCCCCGTGTCGCAGGTAGGCTTCCTGGGGGCTTGGGCGCGTCGATGTCTCCGTGCATGTGCAAAGTGGTTCTTGGAATACAGAGTCATACAACGGATGTCGCTCTTGCGGCCCAGTGTTAAGAATGTTTACCTGTAACGAACCGTATTCTGTTCGCTGGGGATTATTCCATGGGTTGGTGTAGATTGGAGTTGTCGGCTAGATCCGGGGAGACCCAGGTTCAAGTTCCGACTCAGCCGCAAAGCTTTCTGAATGGCTTTGGTCAGTCGCTAACTCTTAGCCTAGTCTGCTTCCGAAGATCGTTAGGAGGCTGAAATAGAGAAAACTATCATGTGCACTACGTTATGCTCCTTGGGTGAAAGGCAAGCTAGGACTATACCAGATAAATACACCGGTTATAAACTGTAATTTCCAGTCAGGGCTGGTTCGAGATATTTTGTAGTCTGGGGCAAAAGACATAAAAGGGCATCACCTCCCCTCATTCAGAAGCACACTGGATTGCTACTGAATGTGCATTCAACATGGCTTACAAGACAGTGTCTTTTGCCACTCTTATGGCAGTAGCCCTGTTTTGGGGGTGTAGCACAGCCTTGTTCTCCAACAGAGGGAAAGAGTTAGGGAGCTTAAGGATCACCTGGGAGCTGCTGCCTGAGCTGATTGCCTCATGGTCTAATAAGTGGTGCTCCCTCTGCCTACAATCACTGTTTTTCTTGGTCAAAGTTTGATATGGGATTTGCCCCTCATTTAATTTCTAGTTGAGATATACTGGCATTTAAAATGCCATGAGAATTTTTTGTCTACCATGCTTGGTCATGCTGTGTTTTCCTTGTGTAATAAAAGAGATGTAGCTAATTTAAAAAATGTTCTGGAGCACCTGGCTTTCTGTTGTTTTCTGAGTCATTGGACTGAAAGAAGTGGTCTTTGACAGGTGGGCTGCAGTAATTTGGCAATGAGAGAAAAATGTGCATATGGTCAAAGGCATGACTCTGTTGTGTGTGGGGGGGGGAGCGGGGAGGGTTTTGAACTGAGTAGGTCCTGTTGCTGGATACATTGTCCATTTGTCTAATACATGGGCATTTTTATGGGAAAAAATGCAAAGCTTAGTTTTCTGTTTGAAACTGGTTTCTTGTTGAAATATTTGTCCCATTGCTCCCATTTTATTGGTTAATATCAGAGGCCAAGATACATCCTGGGTATGAAGTTATCTGGTTCTTTTCCCCATTTCACCACAACCCTTCTGTCTTGCAGGGGAAATGGAAAAACAAAGAGCGAGTACTCATTTTTTCTTCCAGGGGAATAAATTTTAGGACAAGACATCTGATGAAAGACTTGCGAACATTAATGCCCCATTCTAAAGCAGGTATTTGCTGATTATTGTTGTTTAAATCCTTTTTTCTAGTTGGGCATCTGTGAATATAATAATGAACTATGTAAAAATGACTGATTTTATAAAAATATGTTGATATATAGAACAAAGCCAAATTGAATTAATTATTGTGAAATTAGGCACATTACTGTCTTCTGTTTGTGAAAAGTGTCTTACCTTTTGCTGCAAGACAGAAAAAATATAGTAAATATTGTACTGGCACAGTCTCTGTTTCACTTGTGTAAGTGCACAGATTTTCCCAGTCTGTGTATCCAAGGCCACTTATAAAACAGCATTTTTAAAGCACTAACTGCGTTTGACTGGAATGCATAATACTGTACCCTCTCTGTACCACAATTTGTGGTGGGGGTGTTACAGAAATTTATAGCTGTGCAGAGTGTCAAAATCAAGTTTACTTGAATTTAGTGTTACGGCGCTTCTTTTTCTAGTGCCTTGCAGATTGTTGCCCCCACAGAGGATTATGGGGATGGGGAACAAAACTGACTCCTGGGCCAAGCACAGTTGCCCAACCTTTCATTAGAAATCTACTGACATGCAAGACTAGTGCTTGGTAAAAGGAGCTCTCTCTCCTGGCAATGGAGTGATCCAAGGGGCCTCGGCTTGCCCAGCTGTTAGCAGTTCATGCTGTTACTGTCCAAGGCCAGCAGTTCTTAGCTAGATTTCCTTGAAACCACCTTTAGTTATAAGCTGGGAGCCCAGATCACTCCCTCATCCCTGACAGTTGAACTTTCAGGAAACTGCCTAAATTTAGGTTAACCCTTCACTGCCTCCCCAAGACTTTCACTGCCATAACCCTGTATTATACTAATCAAATAATTGGTTAATGTATGTTTTCATTTGTGTTCTAGACACCAAAATGGACAGAAAGGATAAGCTGTTTGTCGTTAATGAGGTATGTTGCAATTCTCTATTTTGTCTGTGGTTGCTCAGCTTACTGTTTTAGCTGAGTGAAAATGTGAATCCAGCTCTTCTCCATCCAATCCACTGACTTTCCATTGTATGCTGAAATGGCTGCTTCCTGAAAATGTAGTAAATAAAGCATTAAGAGCATGTGTGAACTGCATCACCCTTGTTGAGTCTCATGATGCTTAGAAGATTAAGAAAAACTGTTTCTTCTGAGTAAATCTGAGTGGTTCAGATTCAGTAACTTTGTCTTCCTTGTTTATACAGGTCTGTGAAATGAAAAACACCAATAAATGTATATTTTTTGAAGCAAAGAAGAAGCAGGATCTGTACATGTGGTGAGAATAATGCTAACATTAGAGGATTTTTTTCCATTCTAATTTCTAACATCCTTGTGGATAAATATAAAGGGTAAGGCAGGAATGGGGAATATCCTAGTCATTTGTCAGGCATCTAGTTATTCCAGGTTGCCATTCTTGAATGCTGATAATAGTAAAGGTGGGAGATAAGGAGGAAAAATACAGCAAGTCAGAAGGAATCGGCTACCGGGCCACATTTACCCCCACTACTCTCAGTTCTCTCAAGTCTATGCAAGAGGTTAGATCCAATCTTCCCCAAGCCTAATGCCCTCCAGATGGCTTGGACTTAAACTCCCATCTACCCCAGCATGAACAGTGGGTGGGAATGCTGGGAATTGAAGTCTGAAACATCCAGAGGGCACTAAGTTGGGGAACCAAATTAAATGTTCAAAGAGCTGCTTTTTAACTGGCAGGGGGCTGTCAGAAGCAGAAATTAGGTTCCTAGGCAGCTTTTAGAGTTGGGATTGGTTCCTGAAAGCAACTCCCAAGACTTCTTTTCTTGGAGGGGCAGCAGGGGAGAGGGAAGAATATCCAGCAGGCAGTTTTCACAGCACAGCAAGCCCTGACTTCAGAGGTCTGAGTCCTGAAGACAATGCATGTGGGGCTGCAGGGGATTCTGGCCAGCATCCAGAATATGGCTTTGAGGAGCCATAAAACAAGGAGCCAAAAGCTTGCAAAGACAAGCATTTCCATCAGCCAGGCAGGGGCTTATTTGCATCACTTTCAGGCCATTCTTGGAGAAAAATCCATTTCATGTGATTTCCCATAGTTTAACATGACTCATACGACTTAACATATGGGCCAATTAGTAACTGCAAGAAAAAGATGAACGTTTCTCCTAATAATCTTTCTTACCTGTTTCAGGCTTTCAAATGTACCCAATGGGCCATCAGCCAAGTTTTTAGTACAGAATAGTAAGTTTATATGTCTGACCAAATGACTTTTATTGCTGTCAGTTATTTTCAATTAAGTGTTTGAACAACAATGCAATAACATACTATGTTACTGTTACCAAGTATAATTAGCTGCTACACTGCTGTGTGTGTTGCAGTATTTTAAAAGTTTTTTGGTGCTCTAATTGACTAAGTAAGAAACTAAGCAACTAACATTGCATAACTGCTTAATACTGTTGCAGTTCACACACTGGCTGAGCTGAAGATGACTGGAAATTGTTTGAAAGGGTCGAGACCACTGCTGTCTTTTGACTCTGTGAGTATTGATTTGCAAGTTACTGGGCTGTTTTCCATTACTTTATTATTAGTAATATTGATCTTTTTCTTGCAGGCTTTTGACCAGGGGCCACATTATGCTTTGCTGAAGGAGCTGTTTATTCAGGTCAGTATCTGGCTGCTCATGTAACAGAAAAGTTCATCTTTAACAAATCCTGATTGCTGTTGCTTTTGCTAAGGACAGCACATTGGTGAGGGCATTTTCTCGGGTCCACAAATCAGAGGGTGTTTGTTTATTTATGTATTCCATTTTTATAGTGCCCAACAGGCTAAGCACAAATATACCTGGAAAATCTACAGTCTCACCTCTTGAACCTCCATGCATTTCTTTGCTAGTGCCAAGTTCAAGAGGTTGAAGTTGGAGTCTCTGTGTGAAGACTGTGCTTTGTTCCAAGAATAAGGATGGTGGGGTCAAGCAGTTGATACGGCTCAATGTGCATGCGCTCTGCAAGCCTCAGGGCTACTCTGAGCAGAAAGCAGCCAAAAAAATAAAAAAAATTGGTGTGCTTTCTTTTATTAAATCCTCTCTGCAAAAAAATGCTATGCTACCATATTGGCAGCCCTGAGGTGGTTGTATATAATGAAAGGCACTACTCCATATGTTGGATAAACCTAAATTCCTGGTTCTGCCAAGGCCTTATATTTATGCTGCAAGCTTTACTACATGCAAAACAATACTCATATTTGCAGGATTGGGTCCTTAACTGATTATAGTAACAGAACGATGGAGGCTTGAAACTTGAAAAACCTGGTTGATCGTTCCACGTCCTCTTCTACTGTCAAAAGCTTCCAGTTTTATTGTGTGCTGCAGCTGATGCCTGGACGTGTCCTTTCAGCTCCACTTCACTGTGATATGAGCATGCTGGTAGAAGGGATAAAGCCACGTTGTGGCAGAAACTAAGAATGACCAGGCTATCAGTTACATTGCACTTTCAGTCTAGAAACTGCAGAGATGTACTGTTTTTTGATAGCAGGGAGTATTAACAGCCTAACCATATGGTAAACTACTTAACAGCCATTAACAGAATAGGAAAAGGGAATACATGGGTTAAGCACTGCTAAATCTTGTAATTCCCTTGATGCTCAAAAAAGTTTTCATGTTTCCCCCACCAGATTTTTAGTACTCCACGGTATCATCCTAAAAGCCAGCCTTTTGTAGATCATGTCTTCACATTCTCCATAACAGACCACAGGATTTGGTTTCGAAACTACCAGGTTAGTTGCTTTGCTTGTGAGAGGTAGGCGAGAACTGTGGCTTGCACCTCCTGGCATCCATGCACAGCATTTCAAACTGGAGATCGCCGCGTGAATATTGGCATAAGCTGATTTTGTCCGGCACAAAGTAGCCTTTGGACTTAGTTCAAAAACTCAGAATTCCTCCCGGGGTAAATCTGATGAACTGATAGAACCCCCAGTCTGCACACACCTGTTCATTGTTCTTAGTTTATTCTTAACAAGTTGAAAGGCCTGCAAACAAAGACCCACATTTCAAAACACGGGGAATAGCACTTTCATTGATCTAGTGGCATAGCCAGCCATTTTAATGGCAGTTAGGAATTCAGAAGAGCTCCATAACAGACTTGAATGAGCTCAGCTTTCTGTGAATTCAGTCCACAATTGCCTTAGTTGTGTGAATTACATGGATTTGGGGACTGTTTTTTACTTCGCATAATTTCACCCAAAGGAAAAATACAAAAAAGCCCCGCTCCGATTTGTAAATGTGCATCCCCTATTAATAAAACATGAAAATGTTTTTGAGGAGAATTTGTGTATTTTGGAGAGCTGCACAGATTGGGTAGTGCAAACACATTTGCATGAAGTCCAGTTCTGTAAATGGGCAGACAGTAGAAAAACATGCACCTGAAAATCTGCAAAATTCAGAAGAGATGTAACAAGTCCATATATACCTAGTGGGAGCTTCCCAGGATAAAGGAGACTTTTGACTTACCACTAATGCAGGGGTGGGCAATTAATTTTCCTATGGGGCCACATGAGAAACTTTGACAGTTGTTAAGGGCCGGACCAATACACTTACAGCTCTGCTCAATATATATCTCTATAAAAGTAGTAAATGAAACATTACAATGAAAATGTGGAGCACAGAACAACACTATTTAATGAATATTCACAAAAACATTACAGTACATGAAAAGCAATAAATTCAATTCAATTTTACTTATATAGCGCAAATTTACAACATATGTAATCTCCCAGCGCTTAACATACGAATTAGAACAGAATAGAGCAACAGAAAACTTAACAATCCAAGTTGCCTTTGGATTCCTTGTAAATGCATCCAGCTTTGTTTGTTTGCATTACCTCAGTTTTTTTTTTTTTTTTTTTGTTCAGTGAGAGGAATCTAGTCTGTTTTGGACTTGAACGATGATATATATTTGCATTGACTTAATTTGCCAGTGACCACCTGCGGGCCAGTCAGGGTTAGCCATCGGGCGGATGTGGCCCGCGGGCCGTACGGTGCCCAGGTCTGCACTAATGGAATCCATCTTCTTGCTCCTTGTTCCTATCTGGGGCCTGACTGGGAGGGTTGGAGCCACTGAGGTCAAAAGCTGTCAAAATGCCATTTCCAGAGGGAAACTTGAACTTGTGTCAAGTACATTAAGGCAGCTCTTAGATGCTTCGGCACTTGTATGGTAAAAAAAAACCCCCAAAAAACTGTTGAATGAATACAAATGTTCAAGGTCCTATTTGGTGGGATATGCAGACCTCTGTATTAAATATCCCAAATATTTTTCACTGAAATAGCAAATAATGTTTTAACTCTCTCACAGATCATAGAAGAAGATGCAGCCCTTGTAGAAATTGGGCCCCGCTTTGTTTTAAACCTTATCAAGATATTCCAGGGCAGCTTTGGAGGACAAACGCTGTATCAAAATCCTCATTACCAATCTCCAAATATGGTAATTATTTCTCTTTAACATATGCATTAGATTGGCTGATACCTGTGACTTGGCTGTGGACCCAATGTTTTCCCCCATATACCAATTTAACTCACCCCCAGAGGAAAAAATAAAATATAGCCCATGGCTCTAACATTTCCAGAAATGTGTCATTACTCCATAAGAGGTATAAGGAACGGGGCAGTGAAGTTGCAGACGTGCAAGCCAGTTGGGCAGCGCAGTCTGTGTTGCTGCACTTCTGTAAAATCCCATGATGCTTCACTGTAGCAAGGATCCCAGTGGCAGGTCCTGTCCTCCCTTGCCTTGGATAGCAGGCCATAGCATACACTATGAAGTTGTACAAGTGGCTTGTAGATAATGTACTCCACAGCTTGGGAGTGCGCCTTGACCCAGAGCTGTCACTGGAGTTCCAGGTGGCAAGGAGTGCTTTCCTACAACTTCGACTGATCCATCAGCTGTGTCCTTACCTGGATGAGCACTCCCTAGCAACACTGATACATGCTCTGGTGACTTCCCGCTTGGATTACTGCAACGCGCTCTACATGGGGCTGCCCTTGAAAACGGTCCGGATACTGCAACCAGTACAGAATAGAGCTGCCACATAACGCCGGTCCTCTACCAGCTCCACTGGCTTCCAGTTGAAGTCCGGGCCCAATTGAAGATGCTGGTTTTGTCCTATAAAGCCCTAAACAGCTTGGGACCAGGATACCTGAAGGAACATCTCCTTCCTTATATGCCCTCACGCCCCTTAAGATCTATGGGAGCAGCCCTGCTCTGGGAACCCTGAGAGAGGTTAAAAGGTCATCAACTTGGAGTAGGGCCTTCTCTGCTGTGGCGCCCAGATTCTGGAATGTACTTCCCAGAGAGATACATCTGGCATCAAGTTTATACTCTTTTCGGTGCCAGACCAAAACCTTTTTAATAGTATTTTAAAATTTAACAGCTTTTTAGTCCCTCTGGTGAGATACTGTTTTGTTCTATTATTTATTGAAATTGTTGCTTTGTTTTTAAATATTGCAAGCCGTCCTAAGATCTTGTATAATAGGATGGCATACAAAAGCTTTTAATAATTAAAGTGACCTGCAAAGCTGAGATTTGCTTTTAGTTGACCAATGCTAGCACAGTAACTGAATTGGCGAGGAGGAGATATGCTCTGTCACTGAGTAACAAACTGGTCTGTGCAGGTTTTGTGTCCTGGGGTCAGTCTGTGGTACACTCAGATAGCTTCTCTGAGCTCTACTCGAAACACTGAAGAACCACCAGACTGTAAACACAATGCTGATGTCTTGATTCTGTGACATGATACAGGCAGGCTCCCAATAGTGCTTGTTCTTCAGCTGTGACAGAAGGAATGTGCATTTCTGTGAACTAATTTATTAACTCATTTTATCTTTCCGGTTTCAGCATCGGCGGGCAATACGGTTGGCCACTGCTGCTAAATTCAGAGAAAAGCAGCAAATGAAAGAGCTACAGAAACTGAAGAAAAAGGAAGAGAGGCCACTTATTCCTGAAGATCCCACAGAGCAAGTTTTTGCAACACCAGCTGAAGAAAAGCCAGTGGAGGTACAACTGGTGAAACCGGAGCCAAAAATTAATTTGAAAAAGAAAAATAAACCACACCAGCGTGAAAGGAAGCTGAAGAAAAAGCTTGGTGGAATTAGAGCATAGACTATTGAAAGGGGGCTGAAATTCCAACCATGACTTGACAATGTGGATGTTTAATGGGTTTTTACTCTACCTTTTTTGATAAACTAATTTGTGCATAGTTTTTAAACTGTTACATGTTGTCAGCTGATTTTGTAATATTTGCCAAATATTTCCAGTAGTACCCTTCAGTAAATTTATTAACATGGCTTCCAAAATGCTTATTGGCTTCAAAAATGAATTAGTGTTACATATAAAGTGGCTTTAGATAAGGCCAGTTGTTGAACTAGTGCAGAAATATAGCTACTACAGAAACAGCCCACTGGAATAAATCAATAATCCGTTGGACCAGCCATGATACCACCGGGAAGAAACAGAAAAGGACAAAGTGGAAGAACTTTTAACAATGATTAAGAAAATGTAGGCTAGAGCTGTTTACGTTTTTGCTCACATGATTTTTTAAAGCTGCAGTTAGAAAATAAGTGCTGGTAGAGTAGGTAAAAGTCTCTCTTGTATTTTCCCTGTTGCTGTCCTGATTGTCCTGGTGCAGCTCTTACCGGATGCTGTGTGTTCCATCCCATGCTGCTGGTGCCCTTTATTTTTGCATAACTGGTTTTAAGGTAGGGTGTGCACCCACATGCTCCAAGTGAAATTCTGCAGCAAGTGAAGACTGTCTAAATTAAAATGTGTATTTGCCTACTTTTGGATTCCATTTGCACCCTTTCAAACACACACAAACATGAAGCTGAATTATGCAGAAGCTTAAAGCAGGGATTGTCCTGCTCAAGTTTCTTGTACCAGGGCATGAGGTTGTTTCCCGTTAGACTTAGCAGCAAGACTAAAGCATGACCACGCCCCCGTACTCGTCACTGTCTCTTTAATATGGTTCTCACGCACAATTTTACAGTCGAGAAGCCCCACGGGCGGCTTCGTTTTTCCATTCTTAACACACTCGACGTTGACACAGTGCCGAAGCCGCGTCCTTCCACGCCTCCCCCCGCCCCGACGTCTCGCGGGTCGGCTCCGAGCATGCCCGCGTCCACGGCGATGCGCAAGCCCCGGCCCAGTGCCTCGGAACGGTCACGTCTCCCATGTTCTCAACCATCAAAGCGCCCACCCCGCCCTTGTGAATGTTCGCCACGGCGAAACACAGGTACCCCCCCGCGCTCCCGCTTGCGAGGTTCGCACTCCGACCGTCTGGGCCATGGCTAGATCCCCCCACCTACAACTGCGGGGGGTTCGCACCCGTCGGTCTGAGCCGTCGAAGCCGCCTCCACCCGCGCTGCTTCGGAGACTTCCCGCCTCGGGCCGCCCCGCGCTGGGCCGCCGCAGAGCCCGCGGCCCCCGCTGCTCCGGAACGTTCGTGCCCAGGCGTTCTAAGCCGTCCAGCTCGGCCCGCCGCGCCCGAAGGCGAAAGGGGCCTCCCCGCGGCCTCGGAAAGCTCGCGCCCCGACGTTCCGGGCCGCCCAAGGCAGGGCTCCTCGCCGGGCCCGTCCTTGGCTCCTGCAGCCCCGCCCGCTCCTCCGCCCGGCACCACTCGGATTGCTGCTCCCGCTCGCTCCGCCCCCCGATCCGGCGGAGGGAAGCGGCTCGGCCTCCCCTATGGCTCCTCGGCCCCTTCCGGCCCCTCCCACGCTTTCGCCGGGTGCCGCTGCAGTCGTCCGGCGCACGCGGGGGGCGGTGGTGGCGGAGGTGCCGCTGGCTGGCGAGGAGGGCTGGGAGCGGCGCTGAGTGCCGGGAGCTCCGCGGAGGATGAAGTGCCACTACGAAGTGCTCGGCGTCAAGCGCGACGCGTCCGACGAGGAGCTGAAGCGAGCCTACCGGAGGCTGGCGCTGCGCTGGCATCCAGGTACGTCCAGCCGGGCCTGACGCGCCTTCCGTGCGGCTGAGGATTTTTTTCCCCCGCACCTTCCGGTGAGATTTGCCTAGTCCCTGGCGTAGCCCTTTTCCATCTGCTGCCCTCCAGGCGTGTTGGTCTGGGATGCTGGGAGTCGTAGTCCAACACGCCTGGAGGGCACCAGGTCGGGGAAGGCTTCTGTGGAGACTTGCCCCAAGAAAAGTGCCTGGAGTTGCCTTCCTCATTCCTGAGGCTTCTTTTCCTTGCTTTCTCTTTCTCCCTTTTCCCTCCTTCCTTCGATGTGCCGCCCTGTGTAAGTTTAGCCAGAAAAAATGGCCTACAACTCCCAGCGAGCTGCTGTCTGGCTAGCGATGACCCCAATCGTGTAAGTTATATAAAGATTGTGTCCACAGTTCAGTTTGATCCTATGGACTCTTACTGAGCTCCGTTGAATGCAAAAGGCTTACTTTTTAATAGGTGCTATAGGATTGTACTCAAAAGTAAGTGTGTACTTGATAACCATTTAGTTTTTCTACTAATATAACAATGAAGGTTACTACAATTTTGAAAAAGCAAACATCAGCTAATACAGTATAAAATTTAACCCTATGATGATAAATTTGGTGTAACATGAACAATAATATATATGTACAAACAGCAGCCACAATCATGGACTCTTTACCCTTCACCTAGTAACTCAATGTTTTTCCTTATTTTGTTAATATGTGGTGTTTTCCAATGTTATTATAATTGTTATTACTTTAACATAATGTAGCTTGAATTTTCTCATGGAAAAGTGATTTATACATTCTGGTAATCAAGAAGTAATATAAATTGAGATCTCTTTTTCCTACATTTCCTTGGGTCAAGAGGAAAGTACATGAAGAAATGTTTTAGGACATAACTGGCTTAATTTCCAGGTGTATAAGAAAGAAAAGGCAGTCAGAAATGAATTACTTGATAGTCTAAGCATCCAAATAGTCATAGCACTCTGTACAATTTATACTGCAGTTCTAAGCATATTTGCTCAGAAGTAATTAATAAATGCTATAGAATTTATTCCCAGAAAAATGTATATATAGGATTACAGCCTAAGTACAGTTTGTTTCTACCTGAAGTATGGTAATCAACTGACTGTGGATGAGACTGAGTTAAGAGCATTTGGTGCCCAGATATCATGGATGATGTGTGTATAATGTTCAACTAGATTTCTCAAAATTCTTGGCATTCATTTAGAAAAACCTCTTTGTTTGGTTCAACCTCTCTGAGTTGAAACCCAAAACATCTGGCGGAAACTAGAATTGGCAAACCTGGCTTACAATGGAAAATAAAAACCATCAGATACATTTCTACATATCTGTGGCAATCCATCACAGCAAAAACAGAATCCTGACTCATTTTTAAAATTAATAAATTCATTATGGAATTAGTCTACAAAGTTATGCCAGGATAAATGTGCTTTACAGAGGTCACAATTGTTCATAGTCTCTCTTGTTTTAGACACAAAGCAAGAGAGATACTTTTGTCAAGTATTTTGCTATCCAAATTCCAGAAGCATGTCTATATACTTTAGGAATGAATTAGTTTAATGATCTGGCAGCAAAGGGCACATTACAATGTTAGAGCCTCATTAAAATAATTGGCATGAGCAACCTCATTGACCTTCTGGGAGTGCAATCCTGAACGTGTCTACTCAATGAAATACCCATTACATCCAGTAGAGCTTACTTCCAAATTAGTGAGTGTAGGATTATAACCTGCTGCATTGTTCTTGTTGATGTTAAACCAAGTATAATATGTTAGTGTTGTGATGTATTTGATGATGTGTGTGCGTGTTTATTTTAATTGTATGCATTTTGACTATTACCTTAATAGAAAATCCAGATAAAGTTTTCAAATAAACCAGCAGTGCAATCCTGCCCATGCTTAAAAGTAATAGAGCAGTGATTGGATATGTTCCTTAATATCACAATTAGAAACATAGAAACAGAGCGAGTCAGAAGGGGTCTCCCGGGCCATCTAGTCTGACCCCCAGCTCCAGCCGGCTCCACTCACGACATGCCCACCATGTGCATGTCCAGCCTATCCTTGAACACCCTCACTGATGGGGCCTCAACCACCTCCCATGGAAGCCCATTCCACACCCTCGGGGTCCTGTCAGGAATTACTCTGTTGATGTTCATTTTTCTTTTATCACACTATTTTATGATAAAATATTTATGTTGTGCCTGTCAATATACCTGGTGCCATGCAAAATTTACAGGCCTGGCCTTGCTACAGTTTTAAAAATGAAGCAAGTTGGCAATTCTCCCACCACTCAGTTTCTATATGTGCCCCTTTTTGTGAAATTATTGAGTAAACCACCCAATGCAGGTGATGAACAGGAATCTATAATTTTGTGTGGGCAAGTCTCTGCCTTTCAAGATCATCAGCGGAAGATTTACCTGAATTTGAGAAAATGTGTTTTCTTGGTTTTTTTTTTGAAGGTAGCTCATTGTGTTCTAAGTACTAGGGATGGTCCAGAGGTCCATTACCCCCTCCCCCAAACTCCCTGCAACAGCACCTGTAAAAAATAATAGCACTCCCGGACTGGCTGTGGATCAGCAAAATGGTCTTGTTTGCAAACTGATTTTTCTCCTTAGCTGGTCCAGACGGCTTTTTGGGGATAGGGAATGTTTTGTAACAAATGTGAGTATGGAAGAGAGTTTTGGGGGCTACTTTTGGCCCATCGCTCCTGCATATTAATTGGGAACTCAGCTGGAGCCTATGGATGCTTCCGCAGCCAAACAGTACTGCCTGCTCTCACAAGAGGAAGGTTTTAGTAAGCTTAGGAGAGCCACCCCCAAAACAGCAGCACAGTGAGGACCGAATATGTTCAGGTGCCAGAGAATTCCAACTAATTAATGAAAGAGGAAGAAGCAAAACTGTGGTAGGGTAGTGGTTGTAATGGAGAGAATGGAATAAGCAAGGAGATATCTTGGGTGGATGTGAGAACATGAGCACTCTAAACTAACAGTTTGCTGCAGGTTCAGCGTGCCATTTTCATGTTTGTGGTCTCTGCATTCTTTCTTGTGAGAGCATTCAGGGAATCAGTTCCACAGGGCTTATTTCCAAAGGCACACAATTGCGATCAAAGTCAAATTTTCTTCCACTGCTATTTTTCCAGACAAGAACCTAGAAAATGCTGATGAGGCTGCAGAACAGTTCAAGCTGATCCAAGCTGCATATGATGTACTAAGTGATCCTCAAGAAAGGGCATGGTAAGTTTTGCTTTCTCCTCTAAACAGCTGACAGACCTCTTGTCCTTTCTGAGTAAAGCTGGACTCCCTTTGAGTGGAAGAGCTTAGGATTTATATAGCACTTTAGAGCATTCAAAGTTCTGCTGATAGATAGTCTCTGTGGTCTTTTCACAACACTCCTGTGAGGTAGATCAGAGTTGTTGGGGCTGCAGCTACAAAATGTTGCTTACCTAGGCCACTGGGAAGATCATGGCTGAGACAGGGGACTTCCTGGCTTAGGGTGCTATGCCACCAAAGCGACGTGGACACACACCCCAGAAATGGCTTTTCTGGCTTAGCTTTGACCCTGGAATCAGAATAGCAAAGTCCTGGAGGAGAAGGTGACTCTTTATGATGCCTGAATATTCCCTCCAGGATCAGAGGCTGAACAATTCGCTGGGAACATGCGCCATGCTACTGTCCGCATGTCCTGTTCATGGGCTTCCCACGGGGGCACCTGGTTGGCTAGTGAGCAAACCAAATGCAGACCGAACAAAGCCTTTGGCCAGGTTCAGCATGGCTGCTCTTACATTGTATTCCTCTTTGCTTTCTCATGGAAAAAGTGTCAGGGTCTCAAACTTCTTTTGAAGGTACGACAATCACCGGGAAGCTCTGCTGAAAGGAGGGGTCGATGGGGAATATCAGGATGACAGTCTGGATGTGCTCCACTACTTCACAGTGACCTGTTACTCTGGCTATGGAGATGATGAAAAGGTAATTCAGAGTTATACTTCTCCCCTCAAAAAAGAAGAGGATAGCAGAAGCTGTGGAATCTGCAACAAAATGTTGCAGGGTGGAAGATGTATGATCAGGATGTCAGCCAGCTATTATCTTTTGCAGAATACTCCATTTCGTTTCCTTCCTTCTCTTTCCGTGTTTCTCTTTTGCTCCAACAGCCAGCTAGCATCTGGCACCCACTGGACATGTGTAGCTTTCACTGAGCTGTTTTGCTTCCACCCTTCCCACTTTAGCTTTTTTTATTAAGGGACAGGAGTATTTCTGGTTACCCTAGGTTCCCCAAAACCCCCACTGGTACCTTCCTTTTATGCACAAATGGTCTTGTTTGGGTTACATGAGTAATCATGCCCAGAGAATCAGTTCACTATCAATACATAGGATAGAACTGGCAAGGAGAAGAGACCAAACGGACATCCTGAAACAGCAACTTACCTAGGGCAAGTAAAAGTTGCTCATGGGTGATCAATCCGGAAAACACCTTTGAACAGGAAGGGGGTTGATTGGTTTGTTTGTTTTCTTTTCAGTTGCCAATATTTTCCTAGATGTCTTTCTTCTATTTTTATTTCATGAACTTTACTTCCAACTTTGTGGGAGCTAATGTGGTGAAGCGGTTAGGGTGTTGGACAGGGTCACAGGAACCCCGGGTTCTAGTCCTTGAGCCAATAAATGACTCTCAGTTTAAGCTGTCACAGGGTTATTGTGTAGATAAATGAAGAGCTGGATCGTGTAAGCCACCTTGGTTTCCACACAAGAGGAAAAATAGAAGAATATAAATGCAATAAAAAATACAATCTGGGTGTGTTTTTGTTGGCTGCCGTGAGCTCTATATTTAGAAAGCAGGTTGGATATACATTTTTATCAATAAAGAACATTGTAGAATTAGAGAACACTGCCTGTATTTCTTTTGGTGAAAGGAAGTCAGTTTGTTTGCTGAAACATATGCAGTAGCTCTTAATGCTTCCTAGAGGAGAATAAAAAGTGTGGCAAGAAGACACTGTGCCCATCTGGAGGAAACTCTTTTTTTACTTTACTTATTATTTATGCTGTTTACATGCTACCCTCGAGGAAAGAGTTCTCATGGTGACCCTGAAATAAGCAGGTTAAAACCAGGCTGAACTAACAATGATAAGTAATATAGTAAATATTTTGAAAGCCGTAGAAAACTTAAGTCATACATTTAAATTTGCAGTGCTTTGTGGCCTGGTAGGAAAAAGATAATGGTGTTAAGGTCAATCCTATGCATGTTCAGACAGAAAAAAAGCCCACGACTCTCAGCATGCCCCAACCAGCAGGGTACACTGGGAGTTACAGGTCTTTTTTTTCTGTCTAAACATAGGATTCTGCCCTTAGGCAAGCAGCTACAGTATTCTGTCCGAATCTCCAACACACAAGCCAAGGTGTTGCTTCACTGTTCTGACTTCTTTTATTGACATGGTTATATCGTGGGCCCTGATTTCTCTCAGAATGATCCTGTTGTCTATTTCAGGGGTTCTATGCAGTGTATCGACATGTTTTTGAGATGATTGCAAAGGAAGAAATGGAAGCCATGCCAGAAGAGGATGGTGAAGAATTTCCAACATTTGGAGACTCTCAGAGTGACTACGGCACTGTAAGCAACTGGTGTACAGTTCACATTTGCAGAATTGGGGGCTGGCTCAATCTCTTACTGGAAGTATTTCGTTTAAACTGGGATTGGTAGCTCTGTATAAGGAGCTGAGTGGGAAAGCAGGGCAGTCTTCCTGCTCAGTGAAAACAATTCATTTCTTCCCCTTTTCCCACCATGCCTTATTCCTTGTGTGTTGTGTCTTTATAGATTGTAAGCCCAAGAGTAGGGGCTGCACTGATTATGTAAGCCACTCTGAGAGCCTTTTTGAAAGCCACTCTGAGAGCCTTGATTTTAAAATCAATAAATATGCATGCATTAGTGAATTAAAATCATTAACAGTCTGGTACAAGGATACATCTGTATGGATCATTGGGAGATGCAGCCATGTTCAATGAATATCTACCCAGAAAGAAAGTCTACAAAGTTCAGCGAAACTCACCTCTCCATCAGTGAATGCCTTAGGTTTGCAGGCTAAGTGGGGTAAGCATGGAACCTGTGGGAAGCTGATTGTGCATTTGATCACACTGAGCCAAGCAATTATGCAGGGCACTATTGCATTTGGAGTAGGGGGAAATTTCATTCCAAATCCCTATTTAGCCTTGAAGGTTACTGGGTAATCTCAGAATATCCCTCCTTGCAGGATGCTTTGGTTGTAAAAAGTAAAATTCCATGTGGTTGACCTCCTGGATTCCTGCAGGTAAGACAGGAAACAAATGTGGTGGATTTCAGAAATAAAGAGAATAAACATTCAGAGTTCTTCTGCTGCACAATTTCCGCAGCTGTGGGCTGTCTGAAGTCACCGCCTCAACTTGTTGTGGTGTGGCACTTCAGGCTGTGTGTTGCCACAAAAGAGAAGGCATCACTGTGTCAGAGAAATGGGCATCATAATCCGTTTGGTGAATGGTGACTGGCTACTGCTCTCTCTTCAGTGTGTGTTCCAGGTGGGGGGGGGTGTTTGCTTCTGTGTCCCACTGCCTGCTTCGGGGGGTCGTGGGCCCTCCCTTGAGATTGGTCCATGTGCTGATGCCACTTGAGGAGCATCCTCGTGAAGTGGCCTCTTACAGTTTCCTTCTGAGCAGCACTTTCTTTCCATCAATCGGCAAGGAGAAAATTGGTCACTTGTGGTTGGGGTGCAGCTTCAGAAAAGTTCTTGGAAGCAGCATCCCAGCAGAGGGTTGGGTGGAAGGCAGGAGAGGGATGGGCGACCAACCTATCAACAAAACTCTTGTTCCTAGTAACTAAGTCTTAGAAGAGACAGTTTTCTTAAAGAATTGAGGGAGGGGCTGTGCAAACCTGTAAACGACCAATGATTGGTGCCCAGGGAAATAATGTAATAATTGGTGGTCAGGTCTCATAATGTAGAATTGCCTTTGAACTATATTTGAAAATAAGTAAATAAATTGTTTGTGTTTGCGTTACGAGTTTCTTCAGAATTTCTGTACTTGTTGATATTTCCTCTTACATGCTCTTCTCTGTTCCCAATTAGGTAGTACATTGCTTTTACGCTTACTGGCAGAGTTTCTGTACACGGAAGAATTTTGCATGGAAAGAGGAATATGACACAAGGCAGGCCTCAAACCGGTGGGAGAAGCGGGCAATGGAAAAGGAGAATAAGAAAACCCGGGACAAAGCGAGGAAGGAGCGGAATGAGCTGGTCCGCGAGTTGGTGGCTTTTGTTCGGAAAAGGGACAAGCGCGTGCAAGCCCATCGGAAACTTTTGGAAGAACAGAATGCTGAGAAAGCAAAGAAGGTGGAGGAGCTCCGGAGACAGCAAAAACTGAAACAAGCCAAGTATGAAAATCCTAGGAGCTGCCTGGTGCTTCATTCTGCCACTTGTGATCATCTAACAAAACAAAGTTCTTCTTTCTTTCTTTCTGCTTCCTAATGCCTGTATTGTTGTGAGCCGCTGCATGCAAACAGTAGCTTGTAAGTTACAGCACGAAGGGTGGTGAGGTCCCGACAGAGGCGCAAAGCTGGCGCTGTCCATGTGGTGTTCACCCATATACCTCCTGCAGTGACTGAAAGCTGCCTTCATTCTTCCTGTGCTAAAAGCTACCTCTGCACAGCAGGCTTTCTCAGAGGATTTGTCCATGGTGTTTGCTTCCTGGCACAAATTGGGGCGGGGGGGTGGTTGTAATAGTCCACAGTGGCACAGTTTTGGCTCCTGGTCTTGACCTTTTCAGCGCTGCATGGGAACAGGGAGCTTCTTAGCAACCAAACCACTGAACTGCAGAGCCCTTAGTGAAAGCCAAACCTTATTGTTTGTGGTTCATTTTGAAGGCTGGCCGAACAGTACAAGGAGCAGAGCTGGATCACCATGTCTGATCTGGAACGAGAGTTGCAGCAGATGGAAGCACAGTACCAAAAGGAGTTTGGTGATGGATCTGATGACGGGGATGAAGTGGAGGAGCAAGAGGAGAAGGAAAGGCCAGATGGTAAGGGGGAAATTTAACTTGGTTTTTCTCCCAATTAATCATGTGTAGGATTGCAAGCTAAGCCTGCAATGCTGAGCATGGTTATTTGGGAATAAGCCCCACGAGGATTGCACAGTCGGACTTAACTCTAGGGGAACAAGCATGGGATGAAGTAGTCGGTATCATGACAAGCATAATTGCAGACTCCACCATTTTTTGGTCTTTTTCAGATAAATTAAGTGAAGAGGGTGGCGATGCTGAATTTTATGATGAACTGTATTGCCCTGCTTGTGATAAGTCCTTTAAGACTGAGAAAGCGTGAGTTCTTTCCCCCTTTGGCTTAAAGAAAACTAGTCTGCTGGTGGATGTTCAGTGGTTGTCTTGGGTGTACTCACTGGGAGTAAACAAGTCCCACTGACCTCAGGGGACTCCTGCCCAAGTGAGCATGTGCAAGGTGCAGCCTCAGTTTTAATAAAATGCAGCCGTGTGCCACTTCAGTTTGCTCTCAGTAATGTCTGTTGGGCCGCTCTCCGCAGCATGAAGAACCATGAAAAATCCAAGAAGCACCGAGAAATGGTCGCCTTGTTGCGGCAACAGCTAGAGGAGGAAGAGGAGGAATTTTCTCTTGCTGCAGCTGATGAGAATGGATTGGACAGTAAAGAGGAAGAAGAGACCGAAGACATTCCCAAACAAAAGTACTTACTACCCTGTGAAACATTCTTGTTACAACATGATCATGGTTTGTTATTTGACCCACACCACTGCTAGTAGGCCTTGCAATGAACGGTAGCCGTGGAGTGGTGCCACCCAGGCCGCCAGCCAGCCATGCCTGTTCCAGGCTGCTCCATTCCATTGCCCCGTCCCCAGCCCTGAAGCAGTCTGCTGGCACTCCATGGACACTGAGCATGCTCAGTCCTTGTCAGATGTATTTCGTCCCATTTCCACTGCACGTGCACACCCCTTCTGCAAATGTTGAGGTTTTTCTAATCCCACGCAGGCATGCTGCCATTTTGGCCATGTACTGATCCACACTCGGGGAGTGAGTGAGTTTAGAGTTTGCAAGATGGAAGGCCGCTTTGCCTAACTTTTCAGAGCAACTCGGTAGGTGGGCAGTGTTTCATGGGTGAGTGCAGCACATGTGGACTGCAAAAACAGAGAGATTCTGCTAGTTTATCTGAGATGCATGTGTTGTGCAGCCTTTGAGATCCTCTCGCATTGTCTGTTGGCTTCTGTTGGTTGAAATGAAAGCTTTTTGGCCGTCGAGTCAACTGCTTGGATGTTATGGAATGTCAATTAACACTCCGGCTTTCACCTCTGTTGGAGCATGACGTCCAGAGTTGATGCAGGGCTGTGTGTTGAGGACTAGAGGTGATTCAGCAGCTAGGAGAGTAGACCAGAGAGCTGTACCTTTTAGGGGCAGAGGGCACATTCAGAATTCTGGAAGGGTGTGGCAGGCACTCTTGCGAAACGGCTGCTGGGCGGTAGGACTTCCCCATTCATAACCTGGGCTGCGTGGTGGGCATGGGCAGGCCCAAAGCACTCATTTGCCAGCAGCCAAATTAGGGAGGCTACTGGAAAAGCAACGTGCACAAGGCCGAGGGGGGTTCTGAGTGCCAGAAAGCCAAAGCATCTTGTGTGCAGTGATGGTGCAGCAGCGTGCCAGCCTCTGCTTAGAATATTGTTTTTTTCTAAAAAAGCTCGAGAAAGAAAAGCATCTGGTGCCTGATGCATGCCAGGCAAGGTGCCTGTGGGCACCATTGGTATCGCCAAGCACTGCATTGGTGGCTCTGCATGTAGGCCAGGTTGGGACTCCAGGTGGGCCAAACTGGGGCAGTGGATCTGAAGTTCACCCGCCTTGGTATTGCAGGAGAGTCAGCCCCAAGTTAACTCTGAGCATTTCACGTGGTCAGAAAATGGTTGAAGGAAGACAGCTGACTGTTCAATCTCATTTTTGTTGCACAGGCTCTCCAAGAAACAGAAGAGGAAACAGAAGCCAGTGGTGGTAGGTTTTTATTGCAAATTCCCTCTTGCCTCCCTTTGGGCCAACTCTGTGTGAGGTTAGACAGCTTTTTGGGCTGTCTTGCATTGGATGGGTTTGGACTTTAAAAGTTCTATTCTGCCGAAGCAATCCCTCTCCCAGCCACAGCCAACAGTTGAACTGGCCCTGGAAGTGGAGTGGAGAGACTATGTGCCATCTCACCCAGCACGACTTCAGCAGCTTCCCTCCTGGCTCATATCCTGGAATGGACAAGATGGTGACAGTGGGGGCTGGGCATTTTTTAGGCCAGCCAGCTCTGGGCCTCTCCTTGGCCAAAGAAAATACCAAGGGGGTTCCCTGTTTTTCCCAGAGTACCTAATCTCAGGGTCGAACATCACACCATGCCAAATGCTTAATGTGTAGCTTATCCTAACTTTTATTTTGTTTTAGTGTGTGTGAGGGACCTAATCTGCACTGGGACCAGAACACGGGGGGTGTCGCATTTCCTGCCCAGCAGCTTTCTCCCTGACTCCCATAACTAACAAAAGAAAAAACCTCCATTGGCACCAGTGGTTCTGTCTGTCTGTCTGTCTTTTGCATCCTCCCTTTGTGGACAGTAGGGTGAATTTAGGCAAAGGTTTAACACATCCCTGCCTGCTACCAGTGCGTGGTGGTCGCATGGAAGAATGGGGCCCTGCAAACTTACACAGACGTTTAAAACTAAGTTAGAATCAGCTGCATGTCGTGCATTTAATGCAGCTCCTGGTTCAGCCCTAAGGCAAGAAGTCTTAATGCAAAAGGGGGTTGCTGCTGTTGCACTTGCACCAGTTTCCAAGTACGAGGCAGACCAGGAATGGACAAACTGAGCAAACCCTCTGCATCTGGAATAAAGGATCCATAGTTACTTCCCTCCTGGGTCAAAGTCTTTCCTTTCTAACTGCTATGAGTGATGTCCAAAGAAGGTAGGCTTACACTTGCTTGCATGCCCAGATTCTGAATTTTGGGCCCCTTGGCTTCCTGACTGGTTTGGGCAATTGCTAAGGTTGTCCCCACTGCCCAGGTGAGGAGAATAGAGGCTCAGAAAGGGGTTACTCACTTAGCTTTGGAGGGAAGAAGGCAGCTGGTAAGGAGCACAACTCTAGCAGTACCCCTTTACAATGGTTTCCTGCAGAAAATCCTGCAAAGTATACTATGGGAGGTGCTGCGAATTCCCTGAGACTTCCCAAGTGACTGCTAAACCACTTTAAGTAACGGGATAGCAGCTGACTAGACCCAATAGGAAATATCTGAAGGGTGGTGGGTTGGGGAAGGTTGCTCTAGGTCTTGCAAATTTGAGTTTTCAGGCCTTTTGTAAGCTATTGATTCTCACAGATCCCATAAATGAGCTATTAATCCTTCATACAGGTGCAAGAAGACCCTTTCCAAGATGAAATGACAGAGCAACAAGTTGATGAGACAAGACAGGCTTGCAATGACAAGCACGATGGTGAGACAGAAGTATCAGAAAATATCAGTAAAAGCTACAGTACAGAAGATGCAAGTGCTGGAGAAACTGTAGAATCCACAGTGGAATCCAAAACAGAGGTGAAAAGGTAAACATGTGATTTGGACACCAGCAACTGTTCATGCAGTTTAAGCCCTTTATGTGATACAATCATTTCTGATAACATAGTTCTGCACATGATTCTTTAAAATGTAGCTGTTTCTCGGTAGATCTTTTTCCCCTCATTAATCTTGGGGCTGTCCAGGTTACCCTGCTGCAGGATAAACTTCACACTGGATTGCTGGCAACTGTCTTATCCATAACAAATGTGGGCATGCTCTCACTTGTGTGCATGAACAGTATAATAGGGAGACGGGGTCCTGGAGGGGAACCTCGGCTTGGAATCAACAAACTTGGTCTATCCATAGATTGAATTACATTCACAGTATATTGAAAATGGTGACCTTTTGCACAGTATCCAATGCGGTACTTGTATCCCTGGCAGTTCTTTTGTGCAGGCAGCCCCATAACATGCAGAATTACCACTTCCATGGGAAAACCCAAAATGAGTGGAGAGGTTTTTTTCAGTGGAGCTCACATAAGGCAGGTCCACAAGCCTCTCCCAATCCAGAAACAAACGTTCCTGTTCCTTTCAGGGCATCTTGAATGAAGTGCAACACCTCTGTTGTGTAAGTGGTAGGCGGATCTTGCTTGTGCAAGAGTGTGGGATCCACTGCTTGTGGAAGGGAGCTGGTGAGGGGCAAAGACTCAGCAGGGGATGCTGCCCATAGCAGCCTGTGAAATTATGAAGTTATTTTTGCAGCTTCTGAGCTTCCTGAAAAATGAATAAGCCATCTAGGCCCAATCTGGTCAGTGTGAACTGCTTTTGAACCATATTAATTTTACTTCGATTTCTTCCACTAAAATCAATGGGGTTTAAAGAAGGGTTTGTCCCTCTGTCTGCAGAACATACAGTAGCTGCTCCAGGTTAGAGGGGCAGATGAACAAGGCTTTCTTTTTCTTTTTAGCAATCCTAAAGCAAGAGGGAAGAAAGCGAAAGAGACAAAGAAAACTTCTGCAAAGAGTTCTTCAGAGCATCAAGCAGTGGTATGTAAAAAGGATTTGGATGGCAAACATTTTGACTATACTGAAAGAGCATTAATGCGTTTAGCATCCCATTTTTTCAGTATTTTTCAGTGTTGTAAGTTTGCTCTAGTTCCCCCAGAGGCTCCTCAGAGTTCCTTCCCTTTAAAATCAGATTGGGCTGAATCTAGATTTAAGCACGTTCAACTGATCTGTTTGAAACTGGGCCTCTCAACTAGGGATGTACAAATATTGAGAAATCCTTTTTATCAATATTTTGCAAATTGTCAGGATGCTTTTCTTCTGCCATCGGTTCATTGACAGGATGAGATTTTGTGAAAATCTCTGCACAAGCAAATCCTTGAAAATACGCAATTTTTCCCGCACTATGTAAATCTCTGAAAATGCCTATTTCACAGTTTAGCTATGGGGGATTGTATCTTTTATTTTTCATATCTTCAGCAACTAAACTTGCATAATGTTATGGAAAAAGTAAAAAAAATGGTATAGAACTCCATGGAATTAGAACAACTTGGGAAAAGCCTGCCATATGTGGAATCTATCGGTCAGATTCTTAGAAATTTGAACTCGTGTGTCTGTTGCAGAATTCTGCAACATCTCTCTCTGCTCCCAGCCCTTCCTTCCCACAGAAGACCAACCAGTCCCTGAAAATACCACATGGAGAGTTAGGGGACCCTGCTAAATGGGTTGAACTGTGGGGTGGGGTGACGAGCCCCCTAAACTCAGGGAAGGGACTCTTAGCAGAACTCTTACTCCTGTGAAAGGCCAATTCCAGATTTCACCCAAGGTCTGCAGTTCCCAGTTTGTCCTCTGGTGCATATAAGGGTAGAGAATGGCCAGGCGTGACTTCTTGTTGAGCGCAGCTGGTAGGGCTAGGCCCGGTTTTTGCCCTGCGTGAACTGCAGTGTGCAGCAGTTTTGCGCAGACCAATGGGGGTTGGAAATGCTCCCTCAAAGTAGGACAGGGACTTTTTCTGGGGTGGCAGGCTGTAATAGATGATAGAGATTGCAGTAATGCTGACAAAATGTATTTTTCTTTCTTCCTTTTTTTACTCTGTTTCGCACGGCCAGCGAGATGCCCCCCTCCAGTGTGTCACCTGTCATTGTGAATTTCAGTCCCGGAATAAGCTGTTTGAACACTTGAAGGCTACGGGTCATGCCAAGGCAGTGCAAGCACCAGCTGTTAATGGACCCTTGAGCAGCAGCAGAAGTAAAAAAGAAAAACGGAGGAACAGATAGACCATCAAGAGCACTGCTGGTTCCTTGGACTTCTGCAACTCAGAAAGGCCCCTTGATCATCCAAAGAGACATGGGATTCCTACCATGAATTGAAAGTGGGCCAGGAACTCCTCAGTCCAACAAGAATACCTGTTGTGGCACATGTTTTAAAATGGCATCCCACCTGGTACACATTTGTGTATGCACTTTTTAAAGAGAAACTGGCCTCTCCCTAATGGCCACATAGTAGCTGCTCACATCTCTGGCGCAAAATTTGGCAGTTCTCCCCCACCTCCCAAAAGCACAGGTTTCTTCTAAGAATGTTCTTCCCCCTTAAACTTAAACTTAAACTTGTAAAGACAAACATGTATAGGAAGAAGAAATAAATTATTTTGCTGTACACTGCAGTTTTATTTTTAGAGCTTGCTGCATGTTATGCAAGTAGGGCCTGGTTTGATTTCAATTTTTTAATCTGCCTTTTAATGCACATGGCGCCCTCATGAAGCAACTTGCAATAGTGGAAAAACATCAAGTTATACATTAGAATTAAACAGACTCATACACAGCAGCGGTGACTTGTAAGCATGAAATGCAATCTGGAACAAATTAATTGGCACATGTTTGAAAGGCAATGGTAATAAAGTGGTTGTACATATCTCCTTTGTGAGAGAATTCCAGGGGAATGGAGCCAACACTGAGAAGACTGTGTCATTGTCCCTGTCATCCCAGCGCCCTTGCTGCTGGGTCAGGGTAGAGCAACCTTAATGAAGTCAGTCCTTCAGATAGCATTGGTCAGGTATGCTCATCACATGCCGTTGTGCATGGGCAACACACTTCTGGCTACACGTGCAATGACGTGTTCAGGCAGAGTGCCTAAACGTCGGAAATGGAGGGTGTGCTACTTGAAAGATGGCACTGGCTCTTTCCTGCTCACAGAATAGGTGAGGCAGGCAAGGCGGTATGGTCATCGCTTCCCTGCCTTGTTTACAAAAGTTAAATCCTGTTTGGTGGGAAAGGGAGGGCTCTTCCATATCCCCAACCAAAGCTGTTTACTGGCTTTGTAAAAATGGCAACAAGCTGTGGGCTCAGAAACCACACAGGCATCCTATGTTCTGATAGACAATTCTTAGCCAGCAAGGGAAACCGGTGCCCAAGGACTGTTTCCATTTATAGCTGCCTGGTGCTAGATAGGAAGTCGAAATGGGCATGTGCCAATTAGTTTCTAGCTGCACAGAGGGGAGCAGTGCCCCATATGGTGGCTGCATTCCCAGTGGTGTTTCTCACAGTAAACCTGTCAAAACACTTCTCATTTGTCAGCTGCAGAGTTTTAATTACAGGAATAGATAACTTCTAGCACGAAGTTAGTAGGCATCCAGCAGAGCACTTGCGAAATGCTAATTTGCAGCTGCTCTTCTTTCTTTATGTCTTGTTAAGGCTGCATGAAAAACTTCCAGAAAAAAATCCGCATCTTCCTTAGTGATGCACATTGGAGGTTTAATTCTAATGGTCTGCAGAGATGGAGAGAAAGAAGTTTACAAAAACACTGCAGGTTAGTCCTGCTTTACCTCCTGCCCTCCGATTAGGAGCAGATCTTTATGTGCGAGGGTTGTGAGCTCCATTCAGTTCCGGCACTCTAAACAAACTCCTCAGCTCAGAACTTTTTGGCCGCACCAGGGTTTGAATGATGAATCTTGATGCGGGTGGAGTGAAGGCGGGAATGGGTGCTAATAAAAACGAACTACCGTGGTGCCTCATACTTTGAACCACTATAGCTTTGAACCATCCAGAGTTCGAATGTTAGAATCAAGATAAAATTGCTCTGCGGTTTGAACAACGCTTCTAAGTTCGAACTGCAAGCAAAGTGAAAAAAATGCAGCAGCAAAAATGCCATCAGTTGTGTGTCCAAGTTTGGGAAAAAAAATAATACAGTAAAAGACATACTGCCATTAATCCCCCTCAAAATACTCCCCCTCGCTTCGAGCACACCCCATTGTCCTTGGCACTTTGTGAAGCAGTTCTGGAAGTCCTTTTTTGTGAGTGTCTTTAGTTGCACCATCGTAGCTGCCTTGATGTCCAGAATTGATTCAAAAATTGCCAGAAGTGTGTGTTTTGAATCAGAGGTTGCTGGAAGTGTGCGTTTTGAAATGGAAGTCGCTGGAAGTTGTGTGTTTTGAATCAGAGGTCGCTGGAAGTGTGCGTTTTGAAACGGAAGTCGCTGGAAGTGTGCGTTTTGAATCGATTCAGAACATTGAAGTAGCCACAACAGCGAACTAAAGACACTCACAAAAGAGGACTTCCAGAACAGCTTCAGAAAGTGGCAAGAACGATGCGGTGAGTGTGTTTGAAGCGAGGGGGAGTATTTTGAGAGGGATTAATGGCAATGTGTCTTTTACTGTGATTTTTTAATTTAAACATTCACCATATTTTTGATCACACTTCGTATATAACCTTGAACTTAATTCATTTCAGGATTTGCTGTTTTGAGTTTATCAAAATGGGAATTTTAGGGTCTGGGAACGGATTAATTCATTATTATATTAATTTCTATTATTTCTAATGGGGAAAATTGATTTGGACTTCAAGCAATTCCGAGTTCAAACGGCCTTCTGAAATGAATTAAGTTCGAAGTACGAGGCCCCCCCGTATATCTGGAAGGCCTTCTGTGCTGAAGCCATGCAAGTCCTGCTACTAGAAAAGTTGAATCAATGTAAAATGAACAGTGAAATGCTTTTTTGTATGTTCATCTGAGTCATCACACTGTCCATAAAATCCCAAGAGCCTGTCCTGGTTAGCTACCACCAACTTAGACCCTATCAGCATATCTGCAATGTCATGGTTCCTTGCCCATGATGCATCGCTTTAGATTCACTTCCATGAAAGCATCCTTGCAATTTAATCTCTCGTTCACCCATTTTGGAGATGATCATCAGCAAACTTGACCATCTTACTGCTTATTCTCTAACTTAGGATCCTATGTGAACAAGTTAAGCCATTGGTAGAAGTTCAAATCCTTGAGGGAAATCACTCAAGGATTTGAAGCTCTCCATTCCTCTACTGTGAGAACTGCCCCCATATTCTCACTCTGCTTCTATCCTTTAATAAGTTGAGCCAAAAGTAGCTCCTCTTCCCTTTTAAATACTGTAGCTCCTCTTCCCTTTTAAATAAAGAATCATAAATTTGTAGAGTTGCAAAGGGCCAGAATGCCACCGGGTCCAACTCTGCTCAGCACATGAAACCAAGTTAAGTCATCCCTTGCTCAATTGTCTTTGCTAAGGGCTTTATCAAAAGCTGTTGCTTAGTAAATGTCACTAAACAAGCTACCAGCCCACCTAGAGCTTGTTGATACTCTCAAAGAACAGTACAAATTTAGTTAGACAAGGACTTACCTTGGCTAATCTTGCCCTATATCAAGCATGGGCAACTTGCAGCCCTCCAGATGTTTTGCTCTTCAGCATCCATCAGCCATCACCACTGGCTGCACTGATGGGAGTTGTAGGTCAAAAACATCTGGTAGCCCACAAGGCATTCAGCCCAGTTCTATGTGATTAATAATAGGCTGATGTTGCCACTGAATGTGTGTGTGTGTGAGTTTCACATGTCTAACAAGAATATACGATACCTGGAAATGTATTCCTCCTTTCCCAATTAGCACTCCCATATCTTTGCAGTCCTCCATGATCTCATTCACTTCTTCAGCTGGAAGAGGCTGGCGAGTTTCCTACAAAGAACGACTAAGCTTTAATTTCCTCTTCTTGATTATTTTTATTCAAGCCCATGAGAAATGACTACAGTGCAGACAGAAAGCAAGCCGTGGTTCGCCACTGCTCTAGTTACTAGACAGGGAACCTGCATAAATGCATATTCACACGCCCAAGTCAACAATGCAGTGTGTTGGTCCAGAAAACCACAGCATGGGCACAATCCGGTGTTCCCGTGCAACCTGCTCCAGCTCAGCAGCAGCTCCTCTGCTTTGTCACAGAAGGCTCTGCGAGGACTGGCTAATCACCAGCCCAGTAACAACATGCAGAAAGAAGTACCAGCTTCATCCCTGGTTTCTGGGAAGCAAGTGCTCAGACATGCAGGATGGACAGACTCCACTCATGTAAGATGCAATACAAAAATTCAAGACCCACACAGCATGTTCCTGACCTTATTCTTGACCATCTGTATGCCAATCATAAGCCCTTTTCCACGGACATCTCCAACGATTTCAAATTTATCCCGTAGCTTAGCAAGCTCCAAGAGCAAATGTGTTCCCACATTCTTGCTGTTTTCCTGCAAACCATCTTCTGCTATTATCTGAGCAAACACACATGCACAAAACAGACAGGAAAGCATCAAAGACACTGAATTAGCACCAATCAGGCACATTTAACTCTAAAAGAATAGCAGAACTGTACACCATTACTGCTATTAAATCCTTGTCTCCCAGTCACTATAAGGGAACACTTGGCACAAGGGTGGGAAACTTGCTGCCCTGGCAGTGTTGCTAGACTACAACTCCCATCAGCTCTAGACAGGACAGTAAAAGATGTTTGGAGTTATGACCAAAATCTGGAGGGCCACCTGTTTCCCAGTTCCTGATACAGAGGCAGGTGTGTGTTGGGGTAGGGGGGTTGTACATATGTCAGGGCACCAGCAATGACAGCAGACCGCTGAACTAGTCCAAATCTTTTAGCCATGAGCATAGCATTACAGGGATGAGGCAAGCTTGTTAAAAACATAAAGAAATGGGTTGTCAGTTTCTTACATCCAGAACAGCAGAACTAGCCACACAGGCCACTGGGTTCCCTCCAAATGTGTTGAAATGGATGGTTTGCGCCAAGGCATCCATGATCTCTAAAAAGAAAGGTCATTCGTGTTAAAAATTCATGCATTGCATGGGCTCACTGAAGACTGTAGCTGAGACAAGGTCCTAGAGCCTATGGCCAATGCACTGGCGAATTTACGAATGACCAAACAGAAATACAGAAAATGGATTTTTAAAAACCCAGGTCAAACCAAATGGCAGAGTTAGCATGACCAAGTGCCCAACATTTATTTAGCTTATTCTGAAATTAAATTTGACACATTTTGCGCAGCTACAGAGCTCTACAAGAGTCAGATTTGGAGGCAAAGCAAACTAAATCAGACCTTTTTAGTGTTCTGTAGTATGACTGCTGCCATTTTGTTTTTAAAACAACTGGGTTTTTTTTTTCAGACCCCCCTCCCTGTCTGGAGTGTGTAGCAACCCATGATGGGAGGAAGCAGCAGAACAAAAATGCTCCGACCTCTCCCCCGTTACTCACCCTTCCCACCTGAAGTGCCAAAGGAGGCACCGTCATGCAGCAATCAGTGACAGGATCCCCGAGAGGCTCGGCTGTCATGACAACACTCCCAGTCATTGAGGACCATTAATAGGGCAACCCAAAGCATATTCCGTGGTACCTTGGCTCACGCACTCAATCCGTTCCAGGACTCTGGTCGTGACCCAAATTGGTCGTGAGCCAAGTCAAATTTCCCCATAGGGTTCAATGTAAATAAGGTCAATCCATTCTGTAACTATTTTTTTTAATCACAAAATGTGAAGCAGGAGCGCTGTGGTGGGGAGATGGGCGCGATCACGGGCGCGCTTGGGGGTATCTCCCATCTCCCCCCTCCCCAGCGGATCCGCGATCTTCACCTGATGCAGAGTTCACAACCTGAGGCAAATTTTTTCAGAAATTTCTGAAAATTTCTGAAATTTGATCGCTCATCAGCAGCCCTTCAGGACTGGGATGGCTGGACTCGGAGCAGCACTGGAGTATCACCAGGCCCTCAAAAACAAGGAGGATGCAATGTGCCTTCTTCACATGGGAGAAAGAGCTCTGGGCCTGCAGCAGACACATTTGAAGCGTGAAAGCCACTCGCACCTGGCTTCGTGACAACGGCTGCCACTGGAAAGCCGCCACCCATTCCCTTTGCCATGGTAACAATGTCAGGAACCACATCATGTCCTTGAAATCCCCAGAAATGGCTGCCCGTTCGGCCAAATCCAGTCTGGACCTTCAGCAAACAAGGAGAAAAGCGGTTGCTTTTAGATTTCAGGCTTTTTCACACAGGACAGAGTCTATCATCTATCTATCTATCTATCTATCTATATCTATCTATCTATCTATCTATCTATCTATCTATCTATCTATCTATCTATTTATTTAAAGTTTTTATATGGCATCCCCATTGCTACACAGCCTCGGGATGGCTCACAATAAGAAATAAATAAAACAAATAGAATTACAATTACAATTAAAACTTGGAAACACACTGGCTGCATAATTACATCTATAAATATTAAAGATTATTAAAATACTGTTAATCTCTGGGGAGCGCATTCCACAGATGGGGCGCCACCGCAGAGAAAGCCCTCCTCCGGGTACTTTGCTTCCTGATATCTCTTACGGAAGGCTCCCGGAGGAGAGCCCCTGCTGCCAATCTGAAGGGGTGGGAGGGCAAATATGGCCGCAGGTGTTCCTCCAGGTATCTGGGTCCCAAGCCATTAAGGGCTTTATAGGTAATAACAAACACCTTGAATTGAGCCCGGCCTTCAATGGGAAGCCAGTGAACCTGGTAGAGGACTGGGGTTATATGAGAATAACGCCCAGTCCCTGTCAGCAACCTGGCTGCTCTATTTTGCACCATCTGAAGTATCCGGACTGTCTTTAAGGGCAGCCCCACGTAGAGCACATTACAAAAATCCAACCGGGAAGTAACCAATGCATGCGTCACTGTTGCTAGGCAGTCGTCCTCCAGGTAGGGACGCAGCTGATGGATCAGCCGAAGCTGATGGAAAGCGCTCCTTGCCACTGCCAACACTTGAGCTTCCAACGTCAGCTCCGGGCCGAGGAGCAATCCCAAGCTGCGGACCTCGTCCTTTAGAGGGAGTGCAACCCCATTCAGGACAAGATCCAAGTCACCTATCCAGGAGTTCGAACCACCTACCAGCAGGACCTCTGTCTTGTCTGGACTGAGCTTCAGTTTATTGGCCCTCATCCAGCCCATTACCTCAGCCAGGCACCGGTTCAGTACAGCCACTGCCTCACCTGGATTGGTTGAAAACGAGAGGTAGAGCTGGGTATCATCAGAGTACTGATGATTCCGCAGCCCACACCTCCGGATGACATCTCCCAGCGGTTTCATGTAGATGTTGAAAAGCAAGGGGGACAGAATAGACCCCTGCGGAACTCCATGGCATAACTGCCATGGCGCAGAGTCATAGTCCCCCAGCACCACCTTCTGGAATCAACCATTGAGATAGGAGCGGAACCACTCCAAAGCAGTGCCTCCGACTCCCAATCCCGCTAGCCTATCCAGAAGGATACCATGGTTGATGGTATCGAAAGCCGCTGAGAGGTCCAGCAGAACCAACAGAGACACACTCCCCCTGTCCCTCTCCCTGCACAGGTCATCATACAGGGCAACCAAGGCAGATTCAGTACCATACCCGGGTTTGAAGCCGGACTGAAATGGGTCCAGATAATCATTCTCATCCAAGAGAGCTTGGAGTTGTCCTCCCACCACCTGCTCCAGCACCTTGCCCAAAAACGGGATGTTGACCACCAGTCTATAATTGGTGGCCATCTCTGGATCCAGGGACGCCTTCTTTAGGACTGGCCTGACCACCGCCTTCTTTAGAGGGCCAGGCACCCGGCCGTCCTTCAAAGAGGTGTTGATGACCTCCCAGATCCAGGAACCAATCCAAGAGTCTATAGATAGGCACAAGCCTGGCATCATGGTGTGGCAAGGTCAGGCAGCAGCAGGGGGCCCATAGCCCTCAGAAAGACCCAATTTTGCTGACCCCTAAGACCCTCCTCACACCACCACTGCCACCCCCCGCCCCCTGGAGAGCTGCACTGGCAGGATGGGCTGAATGCCTGGCTCGGAAGCCAGGCAGTGTGAAGGCTGGGGAGTGGCCTGTGCCACAGGGCATCCCCCAGGATGCCTCTCTTCAGTTGCAGCTGACCTAAACTCACCAAGGATGGGGGGCTGCTCTGCACAGGAGGCATTCTGGGAGATCATAGAAGAGCTGGAAGGAGCCATGAAGGCCATCGGGTCTAAGCCCCTGCTGTTGCAAGACACCAATTTACACCATCCCATTCAGATGGCTGCCCTGTTTCGCCTTGAATGTCTCTAGTCTGGGAAAGCCCACCACCTCTCCAGGCAGCTGGTTCCACTGGCATATTGCTCTGACAGTGAGGAAACTTTTCACCCACCACACAGTAAAGCTCTGTGAAAACTCTTGTGCCCCCAGAAGGCTTGGCTCTGAACAAGCAGCCCCTAAGAGGCAGGTGTTTGGCTGTGGCTGGCAGTGAGAGGCCAAGACGAGTGGTAGCAGCACAGGTGAGTGGATGGGGTGACCACGGGGGGAGGAGGGGAGGCAAGTGGGGAAGGTGTGGGGGCAGGAGGGGGAGCCGGGGAGGGTGACGAGGAGGAGGAGGGACCCTTGGTGGCACCGTGCCCAAGCGCATGCAGAAGTGTGGTGGTGGCCCTGGGATAGCCAAGGCTCTCTGGGCGAGTCACAAGGATTAATAGCTAAAACACAACATAATATAAAACCTTTAAATGTCTACAACAAAAGCAAACACAACGTAAACCCCAGCATCCATATTAAGCAGCAGGCTATAGAGCCAAAAACATAATCAAACCTTTAACAAACAAAATTGAAGGACTACAACCTCTGGGGAATTCTTTTTAAGTTATTGGGTGCTCAGACAACTTGCCAGGCCAGTCTGCCTGGGAAGGCATTCCGCAACCAGGGAGCCACCCCCGAAGAGGCCTCTCCGTAGCACCCACCTCACCTCCTCTGAGGGGCTCCCTGAGGCAGCACTCTGCAAGGAGCATGCAAGAGCAATCCTTGTGCTACCTGGCCCCAGGTCGCCCAGGGCTTTGCAAGTTGATACCGGCACTTTGGATTGAGCCCAGAGATTGACTGGAAGCTGGCGCAGTTCACAGATCATGGGCCTAACTTGAATGCCTCGACCAGTCCCTGCAGTCAATCTCAGTGCCCCGCTTTGAATCAGATGAATTTTATGGACCATTTTCAAAGACAGCCCCATGTATAACACATGGCAGGGATCCAAATGAAAGATGGCCAGAGAATGCATAGCTAGGAGAGCTTGGAGCTGTGTGCCCAAGCTGAGGAAAAGGCGCTCTGTGCCTCAAAGTCCACCTGTGCCGCCAGTGACAAGGCCGGATTCACATGCACCTCCAGGCCACACACCTGGTCCTTTAAGGGGACAGCAACCCCTCAGGCATCACTTAGCCAGTCAGAGGAACCTTCATCTTGCCTGGACTGGACTCTCACCCCCCATATTAGTGTGCCCAGCTGCGCATTCCAGCCACCCAGTGCCTTGCCTGGCTTTGATGTAAAGGAGAGCTAGAGCTGGGGGTCATTTGCCTACAGATGTCCCTTCAGCCTCAATCGCCCCAGAACCTTCACCAGCAACGTTACGTAGATGCTGAACAGCTCTGGGGACAGAACAGGGACCTGGGGGTCCTGTAGCATAAGGCACAGAGGAATAATACCTCTTCCCAATCTTCTGGTATCAGCCAGGCCATCCTTCTGCCTTCCAACAAACAGCTCAGGCAGAAGGATGCCAGAGGCAGTGCCAGTGAATCGCCAGGGCTCACTCCTTGCAGCCATCAGTTCTGTGCAGGAAACTATGCACACCTGGTAGGTACGTTCGCACATGTGATGTGTGCCTGCAGGTGTTTCACTCTGCAGTGCAGAAAGGGCAACAATGCTCGTGTGGAAGCTTCTGCGCCTGATGGCCTGCTCCAGTCCCTAAGTGTCCAAAGGGACAGGAAAATATCTGCAGCTTGGAGCGGCCATGGCTCCTGCACTGCAATCTACACACATCGTTCAGCTGGGCAGTTACTCTGATACTCACTTCATCTGCAATGCACACTCCTCCTCTTTCACGGACCAGCTGATAAGCCTCCTTTAGGAATCCCTTGGGATACTGCACAGCTCCATTGACACCCTGGAAAAAGTGTACATAAAGAGGAATTCAGCAGGAAGGGCTGCTGCTTGCACAACCTGGGAACCTGGTTTTTCACTGCTGAATAAGTGCAGTGCATTTTAAGTGCTGCTGGCATATCAGCTCCTCCAGAGGAAAAAAAAGAAAGAGGTAGGCCAGGCCAAAGACAAATTTGTCAACCTTGTAAAAGTGCCCTGCAGTCACCCAACTAAAAACTCCTTACTTGAATAGGCTCAGCAATAAATCCAGCTAATGCCTTTGGAACACAAGTCCTTAACGTGTCTCTGAGTTGCTCTACATACTGGCCCTTTGCATGGCAAGAACCTGCAATGAAAAAAGAAAGCAGCATGTTCAAATGGGATGAAGACCAAGGATGCTAACCTTTGAGAAGCATCTGCCATGATTCTGGAAGACTGGCAGGATGCATGCTTTCCCTGCCATCCATTTCCCCCTCCATTCTTTACCTGCATTATCACAGGGAACGGAAGGGAACTTGCCCCTTCATTTTTCTAAAACCTTTTCCTACATATGGGGTGCAGCATTCCTTGCAGAGTGCGTTTTATGAAGTTCCCTGTACTTGTTCTACCTTCCCACTCAAATTCTGCTGCAATCACAGCAGAACAATGATGAAGCATTGCGAGATTCATGAGGAATCTGTTCCATGGTCAAATAGCTCTGCTTTCTATGATCATCAGGGAGACATTGCAAAGGCGCTGCTGTGCCTGAACATTAAATGCATGTTCATATATGCACAAGGTCATTCACTGCAGTCCTGATGCTGCCTTATGTGCAATGCGCTGCTGTCAAAGGGATGTGCACTGAATGCCAACCCACACTCTGGCCACGTGGGTTGTGCTGTTATTCCTGGGTTATGCTGTTACAGGAGAAGAATGCCCACTGAAAGGGGCCCATCCCTGAAAGTTTTACTTTATGCACAGGAGTAAATGCTGAGTGATGTACTTTAAAAGTAGGAGACGCTAACATTCAAATGCAGAACCCTTTTGTTAAAGGATATTATGCACCAATACTGGGAAAAATCTTGCCAAACAGTTAGATGAACTAGCCCTGTGTGGTACAGGGGGCCTATATAATGTCCACATGCACCAGGCTCTTCCAGTTTACAGCCCTAATCCAGTGTTGGTCACTATTTCCTTTTACCTGTGTATAAAAAAATCTCATTAAACCCACCTGGAGAACAGGTGCATTTTCGAATTGTTTGCACTGGAGAATCTCGACAATAGCTTCCTCCCCAGGGGCCAGAAAAAACATCAGGCAACATGGTCTGAAAAAGAGAGGAAAGATTTTGACATCAGAAGTCTCTGTAACATGGTATATTTAACTTTACATATATAATGTAATATGAGTATTATCAAATATTTTAACTAAATTCACAATGGGATGTCACAACTGGGACAGCAGGATGTGTGGAAATGAGCTCCTGAGCTTCATATGAAAGGACTGAGTTCACCCTATATTTGAAAACATTTTTAAAAACACAGGCACACAGTACAGAAATGGAATAAAGATGGATTGAAGTGATGGTTACTAACCTTGCATAGTTGAAAATATACCCCTGTGCTTTTAAAAACCTGCTTGCAACTGTGGCAGGACTGAGCCAGCCCCCTGCAGAAGGGTTGTTAAATAGCCAATTGTGGGAAAAACAGAAGATAAGCCCAGGGAGATAGGAAAGGAGAGAACCACGATCAAAGAGCAGTCTGCAAGTCATACTGAATGGCGGAAACCAAGAAACAGATGCCGACTTGTATATTCTTGACAGATGTACCAGTCTTTCAACAGACGAGATGATGCTTCTGCTACAAACATCTCTTCTCAAAAAGACCTGATTTTTATCCGATGTATTAACAAATGGTTGGGAAAAACAGGTGCACTTCTAAAATGATTTTTTCTCCTGTTGAACCAACAACAGAAGGAAAATGAATAGACCTCTAACAATAAAAGATGATTTTTATTGATCATTTCCAGGAAAGTAGCCATGCTAGTCTATTGCAATGGAAACAACCAAGAGTCATGTACTACAGTAAAGACCAATGAATTTGCTCTGGCATAAGTCTTCATGGACCCTGTTCATGAAAGTTTATGCCACAGTAAATGTGTTGGTCATTAAGGTGCTACCAGATTCTCCGTATTTATAACCACCCCAACTGTATGACCCAAACTGCACAGTGCAGCAACCCAAAATTTGTTAAATGGTGGATCACACTGAATAAAGTGCTTGTTCTTGATGCCCAACCATTTCTGCACCATTTGTTTACTGTGACATCCAAACACCAAATTGTGAGTTGCCAGAAGAATAACCCAAGCTTGTTAACTGAAGAACAAACCATGGCTTAACAGTTGGTCTATTTCTCCCTCAACAACCCTCTGTTCCAAGTTCAGACATCACCATAAACAACCCAGTGAAGGCATGTCCCTTGGTTGTTTAGCTCAGCGGGAGCAAACAGAATCCAGCACACTTGCCCTGGATAGTGTAATGTACAAGCCAGGCCAGTGTCTTCAGTCAAAAACTGAGCTACATTCTCATTTTGCACACTTGGTGTGACTTAAGCTTGCACATTCCTATATTGACATACCATTGGCATGACACTTAAAAGTACCACTTCCTCACTTACCAAGAACACTGTAAGATGTGTCTAGTCTTTGAATTTAGAAATGTTGGGCAAATAAAATGGTCACTCCACAAATGATATTCCAAAAAGAACACAGTGGTGTAATAGTGGGCTGGGATCCGGGTGATCCGGACTTCAGTCCCTGCTCAGCCATGATGCCCACTGGGTGACTTCAGCCAGTCACTGACTCTTAGCCTAAACTACCTCATACAGAAGTACATGGAGAGGAGGGAGATCAGGGTACCTCCTCGGCCTCCTTGGCAGAAAGGAGGAATATATATGTAAAAGGAAGGAAGCAAGGAAAAGAGAGAGGGAGGGAAGGGGAGGGGAAAGACAAAACTCACCGTTTGGCAGCCGAACCCACTGGGAACGTTATGCTTGTAATTTATAATGTTTGTCAAGCCCATTGTGGTAGGACTACTCCCATGGTAGCTGCCTCTGTGAAAGAACATAATGTTGGATTCTAGTCCTTCCTGTTCATCTCCCTGCTGATGCTTTTACAAATCAGAGCCTTAGGACCTGCATTGGTCCATCACTTAAGAAGAAATTGGAATTGGAGCCCAAAACACCTGGCTGGTCACAGTGCCCATGCCATTGTAATTCAGGAATTGCTGTCATTACTGATAGGCCTTTCCAGTTTGACATGAAGCTCTGTTTGACACGAAGTTTCAGTTTGACTCTTGTCTGGGTTTGCACAATACAACAAGCCAGAGTATGGGCTGAGGCTGTGTTGAGTGGGGGTTGCTGTTGATTAGTGGATCGTTTTTATTTTTTTGGTGAGAACCCAGCCACACTAAGAACTCATGGGTTTTAATCTCAAACAACGGGAGTTGCTGAGCTGTGAGCTGTGGATTGTTCATGGTGAACAAACCATATTTTGTTAGTACAGCTGGGTTCATATAATACAGTAATTCCAGTTCAATGACATGTTTGGATGTATATATGTTCTATCTGTTTCAACAATTCAAGATATGCAAATGACACTACATTACTGGCAGAAAACAGCAGCAAATTAAAGCAACTCCTGGTGAAAGTGAAAGAAGAAAGTGCAAACATAGTCCTGCAGCTAAGCATGAAGAAAACAATAATTATAACTACAGAAAATTATACAATCTGAATGGCATCAGTGGAGAAACTGAGATTGTGAAATGAAATGAAGGAACTAGAACAGACCACCAAGTGTAAGGGTATTTCAGTGGAGACCAAGGCCAAGATCATGAATACTGCTGTATTCCCGACCACTATGTATGGGTATGAAAGCTGGACAGTGAAGAAAACTGACTGGAACGAAACTAATGCTTTCAAAAAGTAACCTGGATTGACAGAAAGATGAACCAGTGGATTCTAGATCAAAGCAAGCCAGAACTTGCCCTGGAGGCAAAAATTATGAAACTGAGGCTGTTGTACCTTGGGCGCATCTTGAGCAGGCAAGACTCACTGGAGAAGGCAAACATGCTAGGAAAACTCAAAGGCAGGCGAAGAGGCAGGGTTGACTTCATAAAGAAAGCCACAGCCTTCAGTGTAGAAGAGTTGAGCTGGGCTGCCAGGGGCAGGACAATTTGGCTGGCACTTATTCATAAGATCAGAAAAGTCAGAGATAACTGGACAGCATGGAACAACAGTATGTGCTGTCAATTGATGGGTTTCTATGCAAGCGGCTTTATACTATGTACAATACTGTATCTCTATGGTTTTTAATCTTGTAAGCCAGCCAGACAACTTTGGCTATTGGTGGTTTAGAAATCTAATGAAATCCACACTCAACCCATGCTCAACCGGTACTCTGAACTCTGACTGTAGCATTAACCAGGTCAAAGGCACATAGTAAGAAAATCTGCATTTTTAATAGGAGGTTCAGAAGGCAGAAAGCTCCTAGCCATTAGTTCCCATTAATAGACAATTCCGGGCTATTAATCAGCAATATACCTAGCAAAGGACTAGTTGGACAGCTGGCCAGCAACATAACAATATGGTCTGAAAATATGCATGGGGATCCAGTCGGGCAGCCTTAGTTTCAGTAGAACGGGAAGACATTTGGCAGACTAGGATACCTGGACATATCGCCAGGCTAGTTACGGAATGTGGGAGGCTGAATAATACGTTTATGGAACATACAACATGGCACTCAGTCAAACAAATCACGATGCCATAGGACAAAATTACCTCAAAGAAATGATGTCAAAGTTGCGTGTAAAAACTCTTGCCATCAACATTGCCAAGTCATTGGCTTCAGAACCACTATTGGTTAAATAAATCACCTGGAACAAAGATTGTAATTGGAATGCGGGATTAGAGAGGAGACTGAAGTTAATCACAAAGCTTATTTTGATGCGCAGTTACCAATCCAACCAAGTGCAAACACAAAGCTCTAAATTAACTAAGACTGCCTTCTAAATGTTAAAATTTGCACTGGAATTCTGTCTTTCATTAACTATTCTAGCTTTCAGATGATTACCACTCAAGCATTTTAAGCTTAAATTCCTGAGGATGTAGCAAACAGCATACCTTTAAGGGTTCTGGAAGCAGCATGGTCAATTTCTCTGCATATTCTTGGATTGCTGGGTGCATATAGATACTGCTGGTGTGCCACAAGCGCCCAAGCTGTTTCTGCACCGCTGTTGTTAACTTCCTGGATGTGTTAGAAAAGGCGATAATTCATCATAAATCCAAGCTAGAGGAATATCACTCCCTCTGTACCAAACTCAAGAATGGAGCTCCAACATAGCCACTGTGAAACCAGAGAAGTTATCAGAATGCTCAGAGTATATTTCCCTCTTGTTCCAAAGAGGTGGGGGAGGGTTAGATGGCAACACAGGCAAAAGCAGAGCCTGTTTCAATTCAGTTAGAATGCAAATGTATTCAAAGTGAGTGCTCACAGTAGCAGCCACTGGAGATGAGGCCATTCTTGCCATCCTTATGTTGCCCCTTGTGATGTCAGGGTTGTGTCCATCCATTCTTTCGCACAGAGACTGGCTTATTAGCCCTCTGTAGAAAACAGAAAGGTGTTGCGGGCAGGCGATGGCACATCACCCGCCAGAAGATGCACAGGACCGCAATCTTGCGATGTTGTGACTGATATTATTATGGACTGTGGGGAAGTTTTCTGATGATGGGAAGCGTTCACAGAGTGGCCAGTTGTCGGAGAAGGACAGAAGAGGGGAGTGATTTATAACCAGAACGTATCAGGGAAGGAGGAGGCATGGGAGGCCGGCCAGGGACATCTGTCTGGTGTTGCTGTCCTGAACTCCAGAGGTGTAAACTGCTGGCAGCTGGAGTAGCAGGGGTGGCACAGGGGACGGGGGCATCCCAAGATTGGCTGCCAGGGCAAGGGGGCTGAAGGACCTGATCCTCTGGTGGGTCTTTTGTCTCCTCTGGACCTAGCTCTGGCTGGGGGTGCTCTTCCCTGACCAACAATTGAGACCTAAGGAGGCCCCATTACATAGATAATGCTGAATCAGGGTTGGATTTCTAGTTGTATTTGAGGTGGAGCATTAAAGAGTCCAGTTCCCTGAAGGATGGGGTTCTAAGTGGGTGGTTGTATTTTTGCACTTGGTCGCTATATTTTGTTTTCTGTTCCCATCCTGTTTTCTGTAACCTACTCTCCATCTCTCTCCTTTCTTAAATTTATTTATTTATTTGATTTATTGAAAACATTTTTATGCTGCCCCCATCGCGACAAAGCCTCGGGGCGGCTCACAACATAAATAAATTTATATTCCACATGTGTGTAGCGTCCAGGCGTGTGGCACTGCTGAATCTGGTGTCTGGACCACAGGGCAGAATCTATGAGTAGGGTGGAGACTGGACAAGAAAAGGGGGCTGAGGCAGGCCTTCAGTCCTCATTACAGGGTCTGTCGTATCGCTGTGCATGGTTGAGGAGATATGGGGGGAAAGCTGGGTATCCCGGCTTCTTTCAAGGTCTGATTGCTGAGTTCAGATTTCTGTTCCCCGACCTGTGAGCAACTTCTTTAGGTTTAGGAGCTGTCTGTCTGCAAAAAATTTAGGGTTTCCCCAAAATAACTGTATTCAGGGAGCCTGAAACAAGACAGAGGAGTCCATCTGGGGTGCCTGATGAAACCTAGGCCAACACAAGGGGATGCCACATTTCTATCTGCCCAGATCCGACTAGCATGGAGATGATTTGCTCCTCATTGGCTGTGCTCATGTCTCGTGGGCACTATGTGACCCCCAGGACACCTCTTGGATGATAACTCGCATGAATAATGGCTATGCGGCTGGGGGCTGATGGGTGTTGTAAGCCAAAATAGCCGGCGGCCACAAGCTACCCACCCCAGGCGAAAGCATTCACATTAGTCGGTGGGATTAACAGCATACTTACGGGTGGCAATGACCCACACTGACGGTGGCAATTCCCGCAAAGAGGTCGAGGTACCTCCGTCCTTCTGAGTCAAACAGCCACTGCATGTGCCCCTGACAAATCAGCAGGGGCTTCTTGTATATGGGGGACAGGGATGGGGAAACATTCTGTTTGTGGATCTGCAGCATACGCTCCAAGGGATAGGACTACAACCAGAAAATGAAAAACTTGATATATTTATGGATTCATTTCCATTCCAATGATGTGTCCCCAACATAGCAACACATTCAGGAGGTATGAGGGACCATGAAATAAAACAGCCCTGACATCTGAGATTTGCCTGCTGTGACAGCCTTCTGTGACTGTTCCTCTAACCCCGCAAGGTAGGACAGGATGCAAAGCATTCATTTGTCTCTGTTTTTCATTCCTTAACAGTATGGTCGGCATACTTGCCAAGCAGCCCAATACAAGCATAAAAGCACTCTCAGGCTGACCAAGGAAAGAAAATCAATTCCTGTTTGCAAGATATGCATTAAAGATGCTGAAAAACAGTCAGCTGATGGTTGACAGTGCTGAACAAATTTCAGTGGTCAGAAGACCACAGTGCATCCCCGGACCTATCCAGGGGCAGCCTCTCTCCAGCTATGCCACTAAATGTGCAGTGAAAAGGTAGAGATTTTCTTGAAAATCTTTGGAAGTAAAAGTTTGCTCCTGTGGCAGAGCAGGAATGCCTGCCTCCATATATCCCTACCAGACCATTCAGATATTCAGTGGAGGCCCTGGAGGCCCTTTTATTTCATATATTATTGAATTTTAATTTTAGATGTTATAGTTTTGATTTGACTATGGTTTTATTCTTCGTTAAAATATTATTTCCAGAAAGGGTGGAGTAGGAAGTGACTGGGTTCAGACATGAGAATCTATATGAACATGGGCTGAGTGCGGGTGATTGTTGAACCATGGATAGTTGCTGAGCTGTGCATTATCATGTCTGAACCCAGCTGTGCTAACAAACCATGGTTTGTTAACTACCAACAACACACAGTTAAGAATTGTATTCCAGAGACAGACACTAGCTTAATGGTAAAGTGAAGGGTAAATTTAATCACTAGCATCTTTAATTTAAAAGACTGGGTATCAGCAGATGTAAAATCTCAGGAAATTTCTGAGAGTTTCTTCCCATTAAAGTAGACAAAGCTTGGCTGGGAGGACAAATAAACAGCAGCTTGTATCACCCACACTCAAGAGCTGAGTGCAGGTTGAGTGTGGATTGTTTTTGAACAGTGAGGGCTGCTGAAAACTGGATTGTTGTGCTGTATGAAGCCAGCTGCAATAACAAAGCATGTTAACTATGAATGACCCATTGTTTCTTCTTGGGTTTTAAACTATGGGTTGTTCACCATGGTTCATTATTTCACTTGGATTCAGGCAACACAATAACCCATGTTCCGCATTAAAGCATGGTCCAACAACAACCCCTGTTCACTCATGCAGGGCGGATGATCACGTTATTTGAGCTCAGTCACTGTCCCATGAATGGCAAACTGCCCTGCCTCAATGAAGGACAGATCCACAGTACAGAAACGCATTGGGTGCATCCAGACTCATTAAGTTACATTCAGTTCCCACTGATTTCAAATAACTTACAGAGCCATCTCTCATATGTATACTCAGAGGTCCTACCGAGTTCAATGGGGCTTATGCCTAAGCAAGAGTGTACAGAGCTGTGGCTTTAGCATGGATCAAAGTTAGTATTTCTGTATATTATGCACAGAGCTTTTTTGAGAACTAGTAACACAGGGAAGTTATGATTGGGCAGCTTATCCTTACAATACAGAACTAGCAACTCACACACGTACCTCATATTTTTCAGGTAAAAAGTCACAAGGAGGCATTTTTGATTGCCAGTTGAAAGAGTTTTTCCGTTCCTGTTGCCTATAGAGCTCTAATGGGGGGGGGGGGGGAATAGCAGAAAGGTAAAAACGTGTAAGTGGATTTTCCAGCCTTCTCGCTAGTATGCAGAGCTTGCACAGATACCAGAAGGACCATTTATGGTCCTCTCATTCCCCACTCCCATTGCTTTTTCCAGCATTTTTTCTGCCTGAAAGTATCTGTTAAGAAGGTCTGGTGGGACAGTGGCACAATGGTCACTTCCAGGGGGAGGTCTCCTCACGCTTACCGTCAGAAGTTACTTTACAGCTGTTCCCTTTTAAAATGGGGTTTCCACAGGAAAGCAAAATGATGAAAGAAGCAATGGGAAGAGGCAGGAGAGCGATGAGGACAAGCCAAAAAGTGTCTGGATCATACATGCCCGCCAGCAAAATTCCATGAACAGGGCAGGGCGACTGCATATGAAGCCTCATATACTCACTGGCTGGTAGCTTTGAGCTGCCCATGTGGAAGCACCATTAGACTCATAAAAGGGTTGCAAACCATCTTTTAGGACTAACCAGGGGCAGGAAACTTCTCCAGTTCTCCTTGATATTTGAAGCACCAGGATTTTGGCTTCCACAGATGGGTCAGTTTGCCCTCCCTCGAACTTCATTGCCTGGGCATGACCTTGGGCACTCATCAGGGCCCATGCAAAGCCACAGGTGGGCCTTCCTGGAACTGGCACCCTGCAGAGGTGCTGAGTTGCAACTCTCAGCATCTTTCTCCAGCCAGCTGGAAATTACAGTCTCAGATTGCAGGCTGCTGTGACTAATTTTGTGTGCATTGCCTCCAGCTAGTTCTGCTTCTTCTGCAGTAGCTACAAATACCCCTCCCCCCCGCCCATCTTGGGAGCAACAAAAGATGGAATCAAAATATGTTGCTGAAAGGAAGCTTTGCAAACACCCCGCACTGCAAGGAAGGATGAACAAATGACAGATAAACTCAAACAGGAGCAAGAGGCTGTTTTCAGTTCCAGAACTGTGCTTATAATTTTTATCACATGCAAATCTACTCCAGGTCTTCCTCAGGCTTCATCATTTTGACACTCTAATTTAGAGTTTTCCGGGGGGGGGGGTTGTTATTACTGCTGTTAAAGAATTCGGATCCCAGCTTACTGCGAATCCCTGGAAGACCTACTGGTAGTTTCAGTTTACCTCCCGCCTACCTACCGCTTGTCTAAGCCAGAAGCCCTGACAGTCCACAGTCCAAGTTGGTTTAAACCTGCACTGAGCCTTCGGCCCTCTTTCAGCTCTGCTGTCCTGTGATTCTATGGTTGCGAAAGGGTGAGATCAGCTAAGGACGCCTCCGTGTGAAGCTCCTTCCGCTTCTGTGTGATGCATGCGCGATTGCGGGCAGCGCACCTTTGCAAGGGTGATGCCCTGGCCAGACCCTGCAACGCAAGCAGGAGCGGCTCGTCGCTACGCTGGACGAAGGAGCCAAAATCCTGGGGCGTGAGCTCTTCCGAGATTCAGGCTCGCAACGTCTGCTAGCGGTCCGCGATCCAACATCCTCCTTTTGCAGACAAAGGAACCGAGAGAGGCGAGGGCAGGATCGGGCCCACTAACCGCTCGCCACGCAGCCTCTCGCTTCGCATTCGGAGATGGTCTGAAAGGGGGCTTGCGATGACGCAGAGTTTGCTGCCGCATTTAAGGAAGGGTTGGGGTTTTCTGGCGAGTTTCCCCATCGCCTTCCCCCATCTCGGCGAAGAGGGCGATGGTGCCACAGCGCCTATCCTTCGTCGTTCGCTCGTCGGGAAAGAAGCGGGGGGAGTGGGGCCCTCCTTAATTTCTAAGAATTTCTTAATTTCATTTGTTTCAGCAAACCTTCCCTTCAATATTTGCCGCGCATGAGCTGGACGCGGCTACTTAGGGAAATGCACTCTGCACATCCTCAGAAGTGCGCCCTTCGCGGTCCCCAGGGTTAATGTTCTCCACCCGTTCCAAATTCCGAGGCTGATCCGCCCAGGGCACCAGCTCTTCCTCCGGGTGGTCGTTCAGGCAGCAGGAAGCCCGTCTGTCTGTCCGCCGCCCCCTTACCTCTCCTAAAGGGAAGCCCCGCCGTGCTGGGTCTGTTCCCGGCCAGGAGCCGGGACAGACGCCGGAGAAAGAGGCCCCCTTCGAGCTGAGCCGCGACCACCATCCCCGCCGTAGTAGCCGCCGCCGCCGCCGCCGCCGCGGAAAGGGACAAGTTTCAGGTGGCACCAAGGGGCACCAAGGGGCACCAATGGCAGCCGAGCTGCAGCCGCCGCCCCCCTCGCCTCGGCCAGCGCGCTTCGCCTCGCTGCGCTGCTTCCACCTCCCCCTCCGCTCCTGCTCCTGCTCCAACCCGGGTTGGATTCCCGATTTTGCCGTGCTTCGGACAGACACATGAAAAGCAATGGGATCTCAGTTAGGGTCCTGAGTTGTGCGTCCCATTCTTTTCAGCTGCTCTTTTGCGCGCATGGGGTTTGCTGTAGCCAATCCAAGGTCTCGCGAAACCCGGATGAGACGCCTGTGGAGATGTGCGTGTCCCGTTACTACATGGCAGGGAGTAAGAAGAGAATTTCTTAGCATGTGCAGAGTGTGCTCCCTTTTCACTTCGGTGCTTTCTTATAATTAAAATATGATTTACACAGAACTCAAGGCTGCCTAGCCAGACCATCATGTCCAATCTGAGAAGTGTGACAGAGGCAATGTGGTGTAGTGGTTAGATTGTTGGAATGGGACTGGGGGGATCCACTAGTCCCCACTGGGTGACGCTGGGCTAATCCGTCTCAGCCTAACCTACTTCACAAGGTTGTTGGAACCATATCAAGAAGAGAATCGTGTTTGCGGCCTTGGGCTTCTTGCAGGAAAAGCAAGATGCAAATATGATTTATTACTTTATTACTGAGCAGCCTCTGACATCTTCTACATCTTGTTCTGTCTTGTCAGTGTGTGTGTGTCCTGAGCATGTACAGGGTGTTTTTCTCTCACACCCAGATAGCAGAGCCCTCCTGTTTCCACTCTCTTAGGGGACTTCCAGCAAGGGAAGACTTCCTCTCCCGTATTTCCCCACCACTGCTTCCATCTTACTGTGGAAAATAAGGAAAGAAAATTGTAGTGCTAGAAGCAGCCTTAGAATTAGCTTGCAAAACTGAATATAAATTATTATTATGAATACAGTTTATAATGCCAACTCTTAGAAAAACAGTGGACTATAAATGCAGTTCCACCCTTACTGCCTCACCTCGTGTTGTCTCCCAGTATCTGCCCTGGTTGTCTGTTGATCTCCACCTGCTCTGTGTTTGAGGACATTTGCCTTTTAACACTGTTTCCCAAATAATGTCCGTGAGAAAGACAAAAAAGGTCCCTCGGGAATTCAGCCGCAATGCTGAGGGGCATCGGAAGTGTTTTGCTGCCTGAGGAGGGACGGTGGTTGGTGGCCCCCGCAAATCAAAGTGCACTGTGCTCGAGGCCACGCAAGTAACTCTGGCACCTGAAGCGGAAAATCCTGCAAGCGGCCACCTCATTCCTTAGCAGCAGAAACGCATCACTATTGAATGCCACGTCAGCCCAGACGCCAGGGGACCTAATTCAGTCTAGCAAGGAGTGCAAAGCCTCAGACCGCCTGGGGTTCCAGCTTGCCCTCTGGGGTTCTCCGGAGGCCACGGCACTGGATTCTTGTGCTCTTTCCCATTTCCAAAGGAGTGGAATGCATCTCCTAAGTATTAGCCCCCTCGTTGTTGTTCAGTTGCTGGACTCTTTGCGACCCCATGGACAACATTTCTCCAGGTTGTCTTGTCCTCCACCATCCCCCGGAGTCCACCCAAGCCCACAACCTCAACCTCTGCCATCCCCTTCTTCTTTTGCCTTGGTTGCGAAAATTTGGATAAATCCTGGCAGAAAGCATTGCTTCTGTGTGCTTTTACGTTATAAAATCAATCCTGCACTCCTTCTCAAAAGTACCAGCTTTCCAAGCTAAGTCACTGTGTAAAATGGCATTCCTCCCCCCTCCTTTCTCTCACTCTCGCTGCTGTAAGCCGGAGTAGACAGGCCATTCAGTCAAGTATACATTATATACCTTCACAATGTCGCAAAATAATCCTTGTAGGAATTCACAGTTGACCAGGAAGTATGTATTTTGCAAGCCCGGAGCGCTCCATGCGCCCTGGCCAATCAGAATGGTCCGGATGCATTACTTAGAGTCTGAGTCTAGATGAGCTTGTGAGTTCATGAATAGTTTCTCAGTAGCCTGAATTTACATGTCTAAGCAGACCTCAAATGAAGTGAATGTTACTCAACTGAAATGTCAATCCACTGCAATTAGAAATATTGCAATCTCATTGTCACTGTATGATTGGCTGATCTTCCTTTATCTGTTCTGTATGTGATGACATCAGAACCTTATTGTAATGCCTGCATTCTGTCATCAATTGCTTTGTACTTGTGTACGTGACCAGGAGGGTATGAAATACCCTGTAGTTGCATTGAAACCTCACAGTGAGTTTACCTCTGCTTGCACAGTAATGCATTGTTGTGAGTTTTACAGCGGGAACCTGGGCTAAACAATAAAGCAACAGATAGTCTTAATGCTTGATCTTTCCCATGAACCTGAATTTTATTTCCTCCTCACAAATTGAAATTCCGGCATTCTGGCACCTCCAATTGTTCCCAGCATCAAGGTCTTTTTCAGTGAGTCCTTCTTTCTCATTAGGTGGCCAGAGTATTTGAGCTTCATCTTCAGTATCTGGCCTTCTAAAGAGCAGTCAGGATTGATCTTTAAGATTGACTAGTTTGATCTCTTTGCAGTCCAAGGGACTCACAGGAGTCTCCTCCAGCACCACAATTCAAAGGCCTCAATTCTTCAGCGCTCAGCCTTCATTATGGTCCAACTTTCACAGCCATACGTTACAACTGAAAAACAATAGTCTTGACTATATGCACTTTTCTCGGCAGGGTGACGTCTCTGCGTTTTAGTATGCTGTCTAGATTTGCCATAGCTTTCCTCCCCAGGAGCAAGTGTCTTTTAATTTCTTGGCTGCAGGCTCCATCTGTGGTGATCTTGGAGCCCAGGAAAATAAAATCTGTCACTACCTCCATTTCTTCCCCATCTATTTGCCAGGAAGTGAGACGACTGGATGCCATGATCTTAGTTTTCTTAATATTTAGTTTCAAGCCAGCTTTTGCTCTCTCCTCCTTCACCCGCATCAAGAGGGTCTTTAGTTCCTATTCACTTTCTGCCATTAGAGTGGTATCATCTGCATATCTGAGGTTGTTGATATTTCTTCCGGCAATCTTAATTCCAGCTTGCGATTCATCTAGCCCGCCTTTCTCATGATATGCTCTGCATATGTTAAATATGAATTTATGTAATTTATATTTATATATAATATATAAATTTCCCAATTTGGAACAAATCAATAGTACAGTTCTCACTGTTGCTTCTTGACCAGCATACAGGTTTCTCAAGAGACAAATAAGATGGTCTGGTACTCCCATCTCTTTAAGAACTTGCCACAATTCGTTGTGATCCACACAATCAAAGCCTTTAGCATAGTCAATGAAGCAAAAGTAGAAATTTTTCTGGAACTCCCTAGCTTTCTCCATGATCCAGCGTATGTTGGCAATTTGATCTCTAGCTCCTCTGCCTGTTTGAAATCCTGCCTGCAACTCTGGTGGTTCTCAGTCCACATACTGCTGAAGCCTAGCTTGTAGTATTTTGAGCATAACTTTGCTAGCATGTGAAATGAGTGCAACTGTATGGTAGTTTGAACATTCTTTGGCATTGCCCTTCCTTGGGATTGGAATGTAAACTGACCTTTTCCAATCCTGTGGCCACTGTTGAGTTTTCCAAATTTGCTGGCATATTGAGAGTAGCACTTTAACAGCATCGTCTTTTAGGATTTTGAATAGCTCAGCTGGAATACCATCTCCTCTGTTGACTTTGTTGTTGCTAAGACTTCCTAAAGTTCATTTGACTTCACATTCCAGGATTTCTGGCTCGAGGTCAGTGACCACCCCATCGTGGTTATCAGGACGTTAAGCTCTTTCTTGTACAGTTCTTCCGTGCAATTTTGCTACCTTTTCTTAATTTCATCTGCCTCTGTTAGATCCCTGCCATTTTGGTCCTTTATCATGCCCATCTTAGCATGAAACATTCCCTTCATATCTCCAATTTTCTTGAAGAGATCTCTAGTCTTTCCCATTGTATTGTTTTCCTCTATTTCTTTGCACTGTTCACTTAAGAAGGCCTTCTTATCTCTTCTACCTATTATCTGGAATTTTGTATTCAGTTGGCTGTATTTTTCCCTTTCTCTCTTGCCTTTCACTTCCCTCCTTTTCTCAGCTATTTGTAAAGTCTCCTGAGACAGCTATTTTGCTTTCTTGCATTTCTTTTTCTTTGGGACGGTTTTAGTTGCTACCTCTTGTACAATGTTGGAAACCTCCATCCATAGTTCTTCAGGCACTCTGCCTATCAGATCTAGTCTCTTAAATCTATTTGTCACCTCCACTGTACTTTCATAAGGAATATGATTTAGGTCCTGCCTGAGTGGCCTAGTGCCTTTTCCTACTTTCTTCAATTTAAGCCTGAATTTTGCAATAAGAAGCTCTTGATCTGAGCCACAATCAGCTCCAGGTCTTGTTTTTACTGACTGTATAGAGCTTCTCCATCTTTGGTTGCAGAGCACATAGTCAATCTGATTTCTCTGTTGACCGTCTGGTGATGTCCATGTGTAGAGTCGTCTTTTGGGTCGTTGGAAAAGAGTGTTTGCTATGACCATCGTATTCTCTTGACAAAAGTCTACCAGCCTGTGACCTGCTTCATTTTGTACTGCAAGGCCAAACTTGCCTGTTATTCTGGTTATCTTTTGGCTTCCTACTTTAGCATTCCAGTCCCCCATGATGATAAGGACATCGTTTTTGGTGTTAATTCTAGAAGGTGTTGTAGGGCTTCATAGAACCAGTCAACTTCAGCCTCTTCTGCATTGGTGGTTGGGGCAGAGACTTGGACTACTGTGATGTTGAATGGTTTGCTTTGGATTCGAACTGAGATCATTCTGTCATTTTGAAGATTGTATCCCAGTACTGCTTTTTCTACTCTTTTATTGACTATGAAGGCTACTCCATTTCTTCTGACGGATTCTTGCCCACAGTCGTATACCTGATGGTCAT